CCCCCAGAAGAAGTGGTAACCTCATCGCAATCTTTCTCCGCAAATATTACTTCAACCACTCAGCCACAAGCACAACCCACAGAGGAATCTGATAATATTCCTGGCACGAGTGGAATTTCAGAGATAATAAGTGAGCAGACAGATATAAAAGAACCATTACAAGTGGCCCACACAGCTAGTAAGTTCATACATATAACTGGGATATTTAAATAATTTGGTTTATTCAATATTAATAGTATTTAAAAATAAGTTCTTCGGAATTCTGGGAATCTGTTAATTGCTGGTTGTAATTTTGTAAAATTAAACTATATTTCACAAAACTTGGACCTACATCGGAGATCATTTAGATTCTAAAATATTGTTTAAAAAATGGAGTCTGAAACAGCACTTTAGACAGGAATACAAGAGAGCTATGCTCAAATATATGGACACTTAGAATAAAACGAAATATATTATCATCACTTCACCATGAAAAACATAGGGTACCCTACGCCTTCAGTACGGTATCCTGCACGAATCTGAACAGTAAAACAGCTACATGGCTATGGTAACTGACTCGCTAGTAGGCCTACTTGGGTTCAAATAACGGTTCGGGGACTGTCATAGCTCTTTCATGTAATGATTTATGTTGTTTACATCAGAACTGTAACAAAAAGATGAGAGCGTAATTCAGAGGTACCGTACGGTACCATACCAGTAGCTGTTGCTGTACTGTCGGCATGCTATTCGATCGTGGAACGGTTCTTCTCGGGCATATAAAAACTCAAGTCAATTTGCTCTTATTAAAATTAACATATACGGTAGGCTAGATTTGCTAGAAAACCTACATTTGACATTACTGTAATAGTAAGATCGCGAAAGGAATAAGTCAATTTTCACTGTGGTACGGTAACTGAGCAGTACCTTACCTGTAACTGAGCAGTACCATGCCTGCAGGCTCGATCACGCAACCGCTTGAAATAAGTTTAAAACAGTGTTCCCATGAGTGAATATTAGGACAGCGAAATTTTGAATGAAATATCAGATCTCATAGGAAATTTAGGAATAAATAAAAGTAATAGCCCTCTGGAAAAAAATCAAACTTTAACACTGAAAATTTCGAAGCAATTGGTCAAGTATTCGAAGAGAAAGGCGATTTTAGGATAATGATGGTGACGAAGAAAAATAACAACAACATAATATTGAAACAATCGTTATGTCCACAAAAGTGTCCAATAACTACTATCCTTTCATGCCATCATTCTAAATGTAACCTTAATTCACCGATTATTTAATTGACTCATGTGTTGGTATTACCATTTGGTCATCGTGCATCTGTTTTCAATACAAAATGTCAGATTTTAGATATGTCTGCCATTGCCCATTACCACTAAGCAAGATTTTATATACCCAAGCGAGTTATAGGGTATCTTAAATGATTTCTTTACATCAACAGCAGTGTCTGGCGAGAATGAAGTTGTTGAACCAGAAGATGCGAACGAACTTCGCAGGCGACGATTGGCAAAACTAGATTCCGCGAAAAACTTGCAAGAAATGAACAATGATACCCCTGGAACTTCCTCATAACGAATGAAGCATTCGACGTATCCTGAACGCACAACAAATATCTAATTCCCCCTGCCATTTTGTACATAATGAATTATATAGTATAATTATTATTTGACAAGAATGTAGGAGTCTAGCAAGGCGAGATGTGGATTTAAAGACACTTGAATTACCCACAATAGAGTTGGCGGTGAATGAAAGTCAGTACTGGCCATTCCACGAAATATGCTCGGGAAGGACTTTTGAAATGTTTAAAGGGATAGAAATGAGCTGATATTACTAATTATACTTCTAAAAGCTTTTCTGGTTTAACCTGTGAGAGACAATCACTTGTTGGTCTTGTATTTGCATTCACAGGATCCTTGCAAAACATGTAGGGATTTGGAGCAAAAAAAATTTGTTTCGTACTGGTTGAAATTTGTAAGCATGAAATGAATAGCATGCGTCTCAGCAAAAAAATGCTCTTTTGACAAAACTTCAATCCTTATGGAAACAGGGAAAATCGAAGTGGTCTTAAAAGTGTAGCGCAAAATTCTGCTTGTAGCACCTTTGCAATATTCTATTATTATAAATTCTTTGTAAGTTGGTGAATGGTGAAGGGTCTATTTTATCATAAGTTTTGTCTTAGGTATATTTTTTGTTTTAGTATTTTTGTGCAAAAGAAACTATGTGATTTTGATGTGGTATATAATGGAAGAAATACAATTATACATCGGAAGAATGAAAGCTCTGGGTTTACTTCATTGTGTTGTTTAAATAATATGTCATCAGACCTAAGGTTTTAGTAAATAGTGAGGTGAACCGTGAATGGATGCATGGTAGCAAGTCTACATGTAAAACTGGAGCTCGCATATCAGTCACTTTGAACGCTTCTTGGCCCATTGTGAGAAACCCTTGATTAGGGATGGGCAATATAGAATAATTTACTATTCTAGAATAGTTAAATCGAATCCAGAATACCGAATCCTATTCTATTTTCATACTTATTCAAATAGTGGGAAATTCCACAATTGTAAATGTATTACTATGAATTTATTTTTTATTTGGAAATGTCCTGAACATTTTTTTTCATTTGATATTAAACAGGCATTTCCCAGGACAATACAATTTAGGAATATTACAATATTTTTTGCCTTCAATTGTTCCAAATGTATGTAATCCCTAAATACTGAAATGCTTAATTAAGACACGCTTTACACACTTAATAGTAAGCGGTTAAATACAAAAATAGATATGAAACGGCGTTAAATCATTTTCAATGTTAGTCTGCCGAGTTTACTAAAACATACCCGCTGAGAATTAATTAGATGCAGGACCAGCGTGTGGCCACTGCAACCTATGCCGCCGTTGTGAAATATTAAATTTGACCACTATATTATATTAAAATCAATTTTTTATTCTGTGCTAGCAAGACTCCTAAAACCAAGTTCTCGTAAACGCGATTCCCGTACTTAGTTATTAGGTAATAACATCTAAAGACTAATTCCTTTTCTATGATTATCATTATCTACCCAGACTTGGCCCTACTTAAACTCAATACGTCACTATCTTCGCCAGATGCGGCAACTTTTTCTTTAAATTTATCGGCGACTAAAATACTACAGACACTCGATCAAACGTGCGTCTATCTTGAACGATAGGAAATATGTAGGCCTACCGGTAATCATTTGAGAGTGATATTCAAATGTGACAGATTTTCGCGTATTGCGATATAACTTTGTATTTCGGAAAATTGTGTGCTTAGTTATTGCGTACTTAGGTATTAGGTGATAACATCTAAAGACGAATTCATTTTCTATGATTATCGTTACAGAATATTATCTACGCCAGATGCGGCAACTTTTTTTTTAATTTATCAGCGACTAAATACTACAGACAATCATCAAACGTGCGTCTATCTTGAACGATAGGAAAGGACCGAAAGAAATGTAATGTTTTGAGAGTGGAATTTAAATGTGACAGATTTTCGCGTATTGCGATATTACTTTGTATTTCGGAAATGGTGTAAATAAACGAGATTTCCACGCGAGAAAAAACGCTCGTGCGATATCCACGCGAGAAAAAACGCTCGTCTTTAATTGATAAATTAGAAACCCGAAATACAAAAATTGACGCTTGCCGCCGGAAAGGCGGAAACCGAATCCTGATATCGGATCCCGTTGGATTCGAATACTCCGGATTAGGTATTCTATATTGCCCATCCCTACCCTTGATCATAATGGGAGAACAGTAAGTTGGATTGATATAAGCCTTACAATTGTACCTGTCAGACTAACTCGTAACCAGTCAAGCTCAAACATTAAAGTTTTGTTTGCTTAGTAGATGTTCTTGTTGTATTATCAGACAATATGAATGGTATACAAAACTGGCATGAAAACTAAATTGTGAAACCCAATCTGGAAGTACAAAACATCCAAGATTCGACAAACCATGTTAAATTTAGCAGTTTGTACCATGGCTTACTGTAAAACAGGCCCATAGGCATTGCCTCACGCTTATGGTATAGAAAATGTAGGTGATTATTGTGACATCACTGTTTGGTTTTAGCTTATTTTACTTAATACCACCACATGACCAACCTCAAAAGTCCAAAATAAGCTCTAAAGTTTCATGAAAAATATATATATTGACCTGGGGTTGCACTGGACACTTGAAAGTTGTCTTTGGGGTCGTTCTGAAAAAAGCTTGGGAACCCCTGCACTAGGTCATCCTGCCCACAAAAGATACCTCAACAAAGAGGCTAATTTCAATTCCGCTTTCATGCTCAATATAAAATAAATATATCACAAGAAAAGCAGTTTTTATCATATTGTATTTCATCAGTCTTCTTCATAATCTAGATAGAAAAATTAATTTTAGATGAACTACAATTCCCCTGTATATTCGCCAGTTCCCTCATATATTTATTCATGTAATGTCAGAATAATACATAGAGTTTTTCTTATATTTTTTCAAGCAGTCCCACGGCTCAAAGCCTTCATTTCATGTTAAGACAATGCGTTTACAACAATATTCCAATACCAAATTGATCCAAAACATTGATCCTAAGCAATCATGGCCTTGAATATGGATGGGACTCTATTTTGACACCCGTTGTCGTTTGCATTTTCCCACCTCCTGGTGGTAGCTGAGTTGGGTTTCGGGACTGTTGTATTGAAATATCACGACCGTACGTTGAGGCTGCAATTAATTGTACAGTGTCATTCTGATTAAATGTTGGTTTTATATTTTTCATTTGCTGTTGATCGTTTTTCCAATTATGTAGAGAAAGTTTTATTCTTTCTAACATTTTATCACAACATTTGTTTAAGTTTTGACGGCTGCATCATATACATACACTTGCTTCATTATTCATTTGACGTTCCGTTTGTTCGACCTCTGGATCAGGTTTGGTCCTTAGATAATCTGGGACATACGGCATGATTAAGATATAGGCAATCTAACCTTCCGTTAGATTAGCCAAGATATTGGTCGTCATCCTGGCCCAACGTAATGGTAATAGGATAATTTTGAAGAGGTGCTATTTTTTCAGCTTTCAATAAGTTGAAGAGTGAACTCATTTGACCCGATAACAGAGCATAACTATCCAAGACTGATGTCCAAGTAAGAGTTTCATGTTCGTGATCTATTTTTGCAATAAATTGTACCAAAGCATTTTTCAATTCTCGAGAACGATTCATGAGGGCTTCAACTGATTGCTCGAGCACTTTTTCTTCTATTCCTTGAGATTCCATGATATTATTTTTAGAAATAAGTGTTGCAGGCTGATAAATATAAACAGTACTCATTATAAATCTAAGATATCAATTTGCATAACTTCAAATCATTTGATAATGAAAACTACGCAAAAATCAAATACAGCCCCGTCAGAAAATTTGAAACTGATTCTTATCACAAGCCACAACACAGTTTGATAAAAACGCTAATACAAGATGGAAAACCGGTTTAAATAGACAGGTCTTATATAAAAAAGAAGTCTGTAAATGTTTGAATAAGGTAACTCACAAATCAGGCTGAATATCGTTTCATTAAGGTACACAAAAAGATAATTTCAAATTTCATGCATAGAAATGAAGAGAACAAATCTTGATTTCTAAATGAACCGCATTGTAATATTGATAATAATTTGAAGAAATAATCTGCAGAGAAAACTCAATTGCAAAACAAATAAATTAGAAAATACTCAAGTTATAAATAATTTTTCAAAAAAGTCTAGAAGTACAGTATTCCAATACCGATGTGGAGAAATATGAGAATAGAATTTTTGTTAACAATATCAATATTAATAAACATCCATGCTATATGGTATATTTGTTAGGTAACATGAAGATAAAAAAGTGCTCTGGGAATATATCAAGTACTGACTGACATTGCAAATTTCATATTGATAAAAATAATGCTGCGGTAACATGGTACAGTACAGTAACAATAATACTGTTCATCATTCATAAGGTATTAATAATCAAGTGATTAAAAATTTTACAGAAAAATTAAAAAAAATGATAACAAATTGATTTATAAGAATCAAGTGCAATTTGCAAGAAGTTGCAATTTGTAAGAAAGAATTAGTTATATAACGATGAATGAAAAAGGACTTGTTCAAAACAATTTTAAAGCTTCAGAGTGTTGAATGTAATTTGAAATTTCATCGGAACATTTTAAAAAACAGATTAGGCTATAGAGGATAATGGGCACATAACACAATACAGAGGTAAAACGACAAAATTGTGAGAAAAATAATCAACTATATTTTATTATGAAATCTAACGCAAGGCAATTCTGTAGTCTTGCGACTGGGAGTAATTTGTACTCTTTTGTATTGTTGACATCCACCATCAATTCCCATGTAAATTTTCCAGTAAACGTTTTTGTCAAACGCTGTAGGATATACTGAATGAGACGATGTCCGATACATACACGTTCCCCACCCCCAAAAGTAAATATAGAATTTGCTGATATAGTATTTCCCTGATTTAACCATCGATCTGGATTGAATTCATCAGGATTTTTAAACACATTTTTATCTCTATGGGCAAAATATGAGACATAAATTACAGCATAACCTTTTGGTATTTTATAGCCACCAATAGTCGTATCTTTATTTGCAATGCGTCGTCCTCCTAAAAACGGAGGCCATAATCTCTGAACTTCTAATAAAATTCTTGAAAGAAGTTGAGAATCTAATGCAGCACTCTCACGTAAATTAGCTCTTTCTTTCGCAGCCATTTCTAATATGAACGAAGTAATAATAGAAGAAAATGCTTTTGGAATAAGAGAGGATATGAAGAGTAAAATATGCTGTTCTATATTTTTATCCCTATTCATAAATGGCACTTGAAGCATCTGTTGTATAACGTTGGACTTGTTAGGATTGACATAGGCATCGTTTTTGGGTACTGATGCATCCAGTTTTGATGAACTATTATTCTTCTCTGCTGCTATCATTTTTCTAATATGAATAAGAAGTTTTTCTTTTGCTTCTATTGCTTTGCTCCAACCTAGATTGACCAGCAAAGGAATTTTATACACTAACAGGAAGGGATATAATGCCATGCAATGCAATGTGCCAACTGCAGAATAGATTTTGACATTCTGATGAGTTCTGAAAAATCCAAGAAAAATTTAAGACAGAATTTAGTCATCAAGAAGATTAAATTCTTCATATACATTGACTAACTCTCCATTCGTGGGAAATTTTCGAAAAACTTCCCAAAAAATTCCTCGATACTCAATTCATACTGTGTTATATTATGAATATAGGAGTGAGACAGTTCCTTAACAACTTTGCTGCTTCTCATTTTCAAACAAAAGATGTCTCCATAAGAATTGTAAAGAAATTCTCTATATCCATGATCGAAATCTCTCAGATTTTCATATAGAATTTTCAGTTGTTTTCTTGATGTGAACAAACAAATATAGTTGGTGTATTAACAGTCTTGTTAGAAAGACTTTGATGAGGTCTCAGATATTTTGTGGTGATAAACAGTTCGGGGTCCCTGTAAATTCCACCGACTTGTCGCCAAATATTGGTATCCACATGATCCGGAAGTTGAGACATGCCCTATCAAACTTACAGCATTTTTGAGTGTCTGTGTTTTGATCAGCTGATGGTAATCCCCGATATTATTGATATCTTTGCATGTTCTGATGTTTACTTTGAATGTTCTGTTAGATAATCAGATAATGAAAATATTGTAATCATACAGTCACGATACAGGTAACATTTACCAAATACTTAAATCTGCAAGCGGTCTTTCTACTTTATATTCCCGCAAATAATTATTGCGTCTCATGTACTTCCTCACCTGAATAACTTCTAATGGGCGTGGCGTAACAATTTTTGAATATATGATTCCTGACCCCCACCTGATGACGTCATCAAAAAAATTACGTCACTGCGACGTCACAATAACGAAATACAGCTTGCCAAAGTATAGAGACGGTCTGGGTCTCATGTACTTTCTTACCTGAATAACTTCAGTGGGCGTGGCGTAACAATTTTTGGATATATGATTCCTGACCCCTACCTGATGACGTCATCCAAAAATTACGTCACTGCGACGTCACAATAACGAAATACAGCTTGCCAAAGTATAGCGACGGTCACCCGTAATGGCGCCTACGAGTATGTCAACAAACTCAATACGTCAGCGACCTCTCTCTTATCGGGGTCGTTGTACAGAGCTCAAAATTAAACAAGGATCACAAGCGACTAAATTGTCGCCATAGAACGTTCACGTTATCCCATTCCGACCAATTTTTTGTCCAGCAATAGCTCATGTATCGTGTTACAATCTGATAGGGCGTAATACGACACCACTCTAACTCTAAGCAAGGCTTTAGACGAGCAGAAAGGACATATTAATTTACGCGATGGTTGAAGTTGGGTACCACACGCCAGTATGTTCCCCAGCTTTTCTTTTTAGGGGGGGTGTTTCAAAATTTAGGGGGTGGTAAATAATTTGCTATTAGAGATAAAACTAGGCTATTTGTATTCTTAAAAAAAAATGGTATGTATTTAAGAAACGATGTACCGGTACATGGGGGCCCCCCAAGTTGATTGACGGCAAGCCAAAATCCACAGCAGAATGAAATTGTAGGGCCAAAAAAGGGGAGCGAGTAAAAGTGCGGGACGACACGGCTGGGGTTCAGCCGTGGAAAATTTTGAGAAGTAGGCACCAAAATAGGCTCTAAGCTTGATTTTAGATAACCTAGCATCGCAGTTTGTTATGTAATGAAATCAATAATTATAATATTTAGCTGAAAGAATTCCCGGGGAATAGATAACAAGCACGGCGTTCAACCGTAAATATATACTACTACGTTTCAACAAGTAATTTGCAACTGATAGTGACTAATGAAGTTACTTGCTCATCTGGCATTGTATGAATGGCTACGTATGGCTTGTTTGTAACACATTTCTAATTTTTTTGAACAAGTTTGTTTGACTTTTGTATGAAGTAAATTTTGTAATACGCTCGTCAACTGATCATAATGTCGCATAATGTTGTATTCCTTCAGAACTGAAATATTTTGTTGGTAAGAAGACAAATCGCTGAAGTTTGATTCTTTTCAATAAAGAAATAAAAACGCTGTCATTCATCTAAAAAACGTCTGTTTTCAGTGCCTAGTTTTCCGTTTTGTGACATCTTTAAGCTTTCTTAATATACGGCTGATATCTAAAATACCGCAGTGTGTTATCCTAATACCCATGCGTATACATAAGATACCGGAATAATGCAATTGTTACGAAATAAACGTGCTTAAACTGTGATAATGATGTAACAATAGACGGTATCTAAAACTCAAAAGGTACCACATGAAGGATTAAACTATTTCACTCAAGTTCGGCGGGTCATTTTAAATCGTCACGCGGGCCGTAATTGGCCCGCAGACTGCGGTTTAGAACCCCTCAGTGTGGAATCGCACCTCAAAATTAGGGGGGGTGTTTGAAATTTTAGGGGGGGTGTTCACCCTCTATAGGGGGGGTGTAGGGAAATCACTGCCACACACATAAACCCTTGTTATTTTATGTCCAGCAATAGCTCATGTATGCTACAATCTATTAATAGGGTGTTATACGATACCGCTCTAAGCAAGGCTTTAGACAAACAGAAAGAACATATTAATTGAGGTTGGGTACGGCAAACATAAAGACTTGTTATTTAATATCCGGAGATTGATCATGTATTGTGCCACATTTTAATAGGATGTGGAATGTCTTCACTCTATGCAAGGCTTTTTTACAAGCAGAAACCGACATATTAATTTGCTTTAACGATGTGAGTCACTTTGGTCTAGATATACGGTACTGCGGTAGTAAGCCTACCGGTAATTCATTTTTAAAGGCTCAATATGCAGCTTGCTAATGAACTATCCTTTGAATTAGAAAATAAAATGTAACTGTCTAATTCTGGGTTGGAGATTGGCCATGGTTCATCAGTTCATAAAGTTAGGAACAGGATGTTCATTGCTCAACAGATTGAGCCACTCATATGGCTTCATTTATAGAAGATATCATTGGGTTTATAGAAATGGTGAAGAGGGATATGATGAAAATGAAATCGAATCGAGGTTCACTTCGCTGTCGCCAGGTATAGATATGAAAATACTCGTCATATTTCGGGAATGCTGAAATTTATGAGTTGTTCTAGGTCTGGTGAAAGGCTTTTCAACCGTATTTATTAGGCTACATAACTGTTGATTGAAGGACAGTTCACTATTAAAATCAATGGTCCCAAGCTTTTTTGTTGAATTCTTCCTTTCCCTATTTTGGAACCCACTGTGCATAAAAACTACTTTATTTGTTCAATCTTTGAAGGATCCATTGCTAGTACATGTAGTAGTATGCACAAGTCGCACTCCAGTTTTTGTACAGTTTAAATAGTTTTTTATATGTGTGTTCGTGAATGAGTATTATATTTCGATAGAAAAAACTGAAAAATGTTATTAATACAACAGCAAATACAAAGAAGAATTCCTTCCAAAAACTGCGAAATTCCTCCCAATTGGGAAACATTGATATAATACATTGCTGTGGACAAAGCTATACATGGTGCACATCAGAGCACCATGTGTCACGCATGTCATACTTCATCATAGCCCCATTAGCGAATGATCATATTGACATATTTGCTTCTGTACCTTCATCATATTATATCCATATTAAGTTCATGCATCTGAAATAAATAACTGGATATCAAAACCATATTCGACATGGACTGGTAACTGGACAAAAGGCCGTGGTTCAAGTACGGCATACTATACAAATCGGGTGACATTTTCTCGTTTCAGAGAAACCCATTTTACAGATGATCAGACACCCATCCTTTGGGAGACGTCTGGACATTGTTGTCTCTCAATATCGGTAATAATACTGTATAATGAAGCTGCGCAAAATACTAAAAAAAGCGCAATCTAGTAACGTCATCATTGAATTCCTTGGGGAAAAAATAATCCGATTTACCGAAAAAAAAAAATTTATCGTAGCATTTGAGAGTTTTTAGCAAAAACGGCAATTTTGGTCATGTGAAGGTTGCGATTAATTTAGATTATTATTGAGACAAGCGTGGCGCGATATGAAGCATCTGACGTGGTCCCAGAAGCCCCTCGTTTGTGAGACACATAGAGTGTTTGTTTTATTGAGCCAAATGGAGGGAAATTCTTGGAATTTGGATAGTGTGCTGTACTGTGGTTTGCCATATGATCTTATCATCTTTCTTTTTCGCCTGGTTAAATATGTAAATCCTAGTCTTAAATTTAGTAATTTTATTATTCAACAGGTGGAAGCATTGATCTGAAATTAGGAGAAGTTTCTGTTGTGACAATAAATAATCCAGAAAAAAGAAATGCGTTAACAGGTACTTGTGGTTATACACCCTTCATCATTTCATTTGTAGCGTATTTATAGCTATTAGAGCAATCTTATAATTTACCACGCTCAAGAATATTCTGTGCTTTCATAATCAAGAGTTTTGAATCACCTATAAAATACATGATTTTTAGCTCCGAATTTTTATTTTCTTTTTGCTGCAAAATCTTTCTGTCTATGTTTTAATTATGATAAGCAAAGGCTTATTTTTTTTATAGATGAATTCGATAAACATTGTTCAAATAGGATTTTTTCATTTAAACCACTTTCTTTTAAATATTGATCAGTTCTTTTTTGTAAATAATTCATGTTATATTGCAAATAACTTTATTGCATTCAAACAAATATATTTTGAGTGTCATAAATTTATTGTTTTAACGCAGAAATTTATGATTTCAGTTATTAATTTTTGATTCATTCAGGAAACATGTTGGTGGAGATGAGAAATGTTGTGAAACAATTGTGGAAATCGAAAACTACAAAAGCTGTTGTGTTGTGTGGAAAAGGTGATGCATTTTGTTCAGGGACTGATTTTGGACTTGCTACACAGCTGACAGAACCACAGGTGTGTTTGCTAAATAGACAACACTATGATTTGTTTCAAGTCATGGTTGTTGCTTGGATCAGTGATTTTCAAGAGAGAATTGTGTAGCAGTGTTGAGTTTAGGTTGTGGAAGCGAGAGCCAAAGTTGGTATGTGCACTTCCCATGCTGCGTGGATTTAAATCCTGTGACGGATGATTATGTATGAGGAGATTTCTGGACTCCTCGGCGCCGCAGGTTGGTTCATGTAACTCCCATCTTGCATTAAACAAATTTTTAGTTAAGATAAGTGTAATCTTTTCGTTTGGATAACTCGAGTGTCCTCAAGTCTTTAAAAAATGTGTCTCGAGTAGAGTCAATAACTTGTTTATATGTAAAACGCTATCAATAAGGCTGTTCCGTTGCTTATTAATGTGTTACTTGAATCTGTTAGCAATTACTGACACAGGATCCGCTTCAGGTCCGTAGAACTTGTACTAAATTGAATGAGATGACCTTTTAATGTCTTCTATGATTCTGATACTAATACTACCCAGTATCGATATAGTTCAGAGTTTGGCACTCATTTTTCATTAATTTATTATCTTAGGATGGAACAAATATGTGCATGTATATGCAAAATACCATGACACTGTTTCAACTACTTCCATGTATAACAGTAGCAGCAATCAAAGGAGGAGCTCTTGGAGGCGGGGCTGAAGTAGCCACTGCTGCAGACTACAGGTATCTTTGAGAATTTTACATTTATTCTAGATCTTTCTTTGTTTTATAATTTTATCTTAGTATTCGATTTGTATGTGATGTTGAAATGTGTACCATCTGTACCCACAAATATGGTAGATGGTTGTATGGGGACTATATTTTACATACTATATGGTCTAGGGATAATCAGTGGTTCTATAGCAAGTGTGTTACTAGCCCTCCAACTGTTAAACCAATATGTGATATTTTTGTATAAACCGCTAATTTTACAGACTGATGTTCCCTGACTCAATGATTCAATTTGTTCACAAGAAGATGGGAATCATACCAGGTATGGAGAGAATACTCAGTGAGCCCAATGCTTTTTAACCTCTGTCGAAAATTTTTACTTAGATTAATGGCACTCCAGAAGTATGTGTACCAATATGGAGTTAACTAATTTTGTTTGCCTACTCAACATCAAGTTGTGTAAAGGGACTGAAACCAGTGGGCAGCGGATATATTCATTTGGCTAACACAGACAGTCCCTGAACTCGTGATGGAACCAAAATAAGGAAAATCGGAATAAAATTATGACCTAACCATAGGAGTACCAGATTAATCAGTAGTTCATTTCTTACCATACTGAAATCCCACTATTTGGGTTATGTATTCCTATCAGTAGTCCTGTAGTCTGATGATAAGACTTTGATAAACCAGTTTTTGCTATTGCCATATTAGATATTCAAAGCCTATTAAGGCAGGGATGTACAAACAGATTCGAATACATTCCAAGTTCTTTATATAGAAAACAATCAATCCCTTTATGTTTGTGTCGTTTTAGATGTGATCAACATGAAGATAGTGTTTTATATGTACCTAATTTTACACACAAACATGCCTCCAATTTAGAATGTATTCAAAAATATTATCTTAAGAATGTATTTGGAATAGTGAAATATTTAGATTTGGCCATCCATGTATTAAACTTTCTGTCTGTATTCAATGAAAATAATCTCATTACTTTGTTCAATGTTGGAAACTTCAGGTTGGGGAGGAGTTACAAGGTTGCGTGACATTGTTGGTTCCAGAAAAACTATGCATTTGCTTGCATCTTCAATGCAGATTGACTGTAAATCTTCTTTGCTCATTGGACTGGCTGATGCATTGGTTTCAGGTGATTGGTTTAATCTATCATTTATTTAATCCAAATCTTCACTCTGGAGGACAAAAAACAATTGATATGTTGGGAGTTACTGTTTTATTTTAGATCGAGATCTTTTCTGTAAGGTATAGCTTACCAATTTATTGCAACCTGAGTAAGGTGACGGACAATGTGTGCTAAGACCTGAAATCTTTACCTTGCGATCAACCTCTACAGCGCTCTTTCCATCAGTGTGTTGGAGATGCTTAAGTCATCGACGCGAGTCACCAATTATTGAGACCTGGAGTGACATGAGGCATCTAAACGAAATGACTCAGACTCTCACGCACATGGGCAAACTGCAACCCAAATCCGGCCCGTTGGGTAATTCAATTCAAACCTTGCTGACCCCTGCTCTATCGGCTGACTGCCAGTGAAACCTAACCCTGTAATTCACTCGACTTTACTCGAGACTTCTACCCAACTAGGGGCGGAACCCAAATAAAACATTCCAGAAACATCATTTGAAACTATAAGTGTGTATATTATAAGCAAACCTACCAGATACGAAACAGATATGATTTTTAAAGTGTAGCTAGGAAGTTTAATATGCTGATTATTTTAAGCAATATACATGTATTGATAAAGACTTAAGATTTGAATGTAAGCCCTGGAGCAGCTCCATCGTTTGAGAACCACTGCCCTGGACAGTACTGGCCTGAAATGCCTCGCAACCATTGTTGAAAACCACTCCTCTCTGCCATCTTCTCAAGTAAATTTTTGCCATATTCTCAGTGACAACATCAAAAATTATCCCTAATACCATTTGCCTATATATCTAGAAACTGACGAAGAAGACCTTTCTACTTCTGACGTAGCAGAAAAATGGTTGGAACAAACTTTCAAACTCTGTGAAACGGATGCCAGTGTATTGCGAGCCATAAAAGCAGCTGCTTATGATTCAACTATGGAAAACAACCGCACTTTACCTTTATTTTTCAAACTAAAAAGGGAAAAAGATATCTTAAGCAGTGTGTGGGGAAGACCTGCGAACAAGAAGGCTTTGAATAAAGTCAGAATGAAAAATTCTTAAATATTGTGTGCAATATCTATACCTTAAAATAAATTTATCTTCAGTAATTATTGCTCGGTGTTTAATTATAAGTCTTTCAAATTTAGTTTTGCATATGTCAGGCTAATAACCGAATTGCTTAATTCATTTGTGGCGATTTGGAGTTTTTTTATATAAAGTAGGTATTTATGTAGTGCTGCGCACCTGTCTGTTAACTCAGATTTTATTTTAAGAATTCCAAAACCACTAAAAATATAGATTTTGTACGACATGCACATAGCGAAATTTTACCTGCCATTGGTTTTCAATTTGCTGCCGCGGTAACGGTAGCTCGTCATCGCTCGTTTGTGGCGGCTAAAAAGTCAGTCACTATAGGTTTGTCCGTAGCGGCCATGGTATGGAAATACCGCCATGGTTTTGCGGCAGCTGCAGACGCCACGGAATACTTAAAACTGCACTTGAAAAACAGGATGCGCCGTGTTCGCATGTAGTAAGCAAACAGTGTTGCTTACTTGCATCACAATTTAGTTGGTCTCGCAGATAGTAGAGACATGAAGTCTTCATTATTATAGTTGCAATGAAGCTCAATCTTCTGTGAAATGAAAACTGTTTGGATGGCGCCAAAGAAAAGATATGAAGAGTCGGATTTAAAATTCAGTTTCGTGAAATTCAAAATCAACTACTTTGCAACTACAGATGTTTTTGTGTTTGTCTCCAACAGCAATATGCCGCCCTTTCCGTGACGTCATTAGCATTTTTGATTTAATGTCATTCAACTTATTCTTTGCAATGGCATTCATTAAAACAAAATATATTGAGTCAAGCTTATAATTGACGATGATACGGAATTCCTAGGTTTGATATGCAGAAACAGGGACAACCCTTCTCACTGAGATTAAATCAAGATGTTGTTTGGTATTTATGAATTATTATGTTATTGCTGCTATTAAATTTGATAAAATGCATGCTTGAATTTTATTTTTAATGTTAGGGGAAATAGAGCTTATGGTAATTCAATTTTTGGGAGCACGTATCGGAGCTTTTCAGTTTTGTGAAAACAGGGGGTGGCAACATTTAGCAGATTGTGGGCCAAAATTTACAACGCAGACAGAAATGATTTTCCTCATAGAAACCCTTTCCATTTGACATTTATAGAATGTTGCTACTCGACATATCGTCTTAATTATATTTTAACATACGAACCAACTAACTAGGGATGTGTGGCGTATCTAAAGTGTGGCAAGCATGGCTCGTGCCATAGTCAGGGGCGCAAAAGAAGCGGAAAGTTTTAATCGTAAAATGTTTTAATAGAATAATTTCAAATTGGAAATAACTGAAACTCGTATTTCTACACAAATATTAACGTACATGTATTTCGTTTAAATAACAGTCATTATAAATTGTCAACTAACTATCAAGTGTGGCGCATTTTAAACTTTGCCCTAGATTCGCCCTTGCTAGGAGTAGTAAATTGCATTTTTATCGAATATTTTTAACAAATACGGAATAGTTCTAATTTACAATCGACCGGGACGTGGCGGGTCGATAATAGATCCAGAAATTAAAACTTAATTAAAAGTAACTCAAAGCATATCGTGGGACATCTCTGGATCTTGTTCGAAGCGACAAGTATTGAATAAGCATCATATGAAAAAAAGCCTCTGATTTTGTTATAAAGTTTGGTCAGCGTGATTTATCCTGTTGTCCACACCATAACGTCGGTAGTATATCTTTCTGCCAATTATTTTTTTTTCTCAATAATGTAGCATCTTAAATACTGTCTAGAATAAAATTTATCTAGATTATTATATGACTGTAGTGATAAAAGGTTAATGTGACAAACAGCATGTTGCATCATTTTTTTGTTGTTTCGCTATTTTCTTACGTCACCTAGACATGTGATTCCTAATAACGAATGAAAAAGCATCTTCATTTTGCGGTCTCCTTCACCCGCTTTGTTTCTTTATTATACCTACACCTTTTTCTTGCCACGTCAAAATTTGTCTGCGCTCAGCCGGTCTTTTCAAATTTGACGCCGTCAGGCGAGCGCTGATTTTATATTTGTGAATTTTTTAGGTTTAATTGTTTATTTTCATCTTTGTGTCGCTAATCCTCTTATAATCCAACTTTGTATTAAGTCACAGATATTTATTAAGACTTTTGTAGCTATACTAATGCAGTTACGCTAACCTATGCCTGCAATTATTTTTTCAAATATCTACAAAATGGAATTGAGATTACAAGTTCTGAAATTAGCGAGGCGAATCCAAATCAGAATCTGTAATATTTATTAGAGATCAACTCATTTCTTCAGTTAGGCCCAAGAATAGTACTAAATGATTCTTGGCGTGTATTTGTTGAACTAAAGACGACGGCGTAAACAAATAAAGGCGATCGAGAACAAGAAAATATTCGAGTTAGAACAAGTAAGATACTATGTATATATTCAAATTTACAATTTGGATGAATTCAATAATTACAAATTGCCCGATTACGGCTTTCAGCTCGTGTCAGCGTTTCCAGCCTATATACTGCATGTTAGCTATGTTATATATTTCAGGTCGTGTTAATGCAAACCGACTGGATGCAAACAAACTGCGAATGTTGACATCAAAAAACTGCTGGAGCGGAACAAAAACTACGGTTAAATTAATATATATTCATTAAATTAGGAATTTCAGTTAGGCCAAAGATGTTTGGACCATTCCATCGTTACTGAAATAAGAACCCGACAAGATCCGGTTGTGCAGAGATGTTTCGGATGATATATACAGGTGATATTATTTGCTTAAATGTTTTTGTCATGTTCTCCTATATTCTAGTATTTGTTTTTTAAAACCGTAAGTATAGTTAAGGGGAGGTGATCAAGGAATAATAAGGTAATTTAATTTATTTACAACGAGTGCAGTCAATGTAGTTTGCTGAACCAAGTTTTATGATTGCGACAGTGCCATTGTATTGTCTTATATTCCACTTAAGAGAAATGAACATTTGCTGTAAGCGCATTTCAAATTTACATTATGAATAGTCTTCCAATTATTAGTCGTTTCGGCAATTTATCAATAAATGACCTGGCTCCCTTTGCAGGCAGTTTAATGTTTTTACAGTTATGTTTACGAATGCAGTTAGATCAATATTAGGCCTACAATTGATTGGCCGTTGAATTGCATCACAAATTTTGGAATTGTTGCCGACGGGATCTGCTGGTAGACGACCACCGAGGTTATTTTTGTTGATGAACATAATGAATAAGAAAAAAAGAAGCAGACCAATTTTATGTCTCAATTAGTAAATGGAATTGCGAAATTTTTCCCAACTAAATTACCCTTCCAATTTTATGTTGTATCAATATGCAGACGGAAGTGGATCTTCAGCATAATTGGATTCTAAGATACAGAACAATTTAACTGGAGAAGTTTTTATCAACGCAAATCCTGTAAGACTTTTTTGCCGCGATATTATAACGATAACGATCTTTTTGGCTTGTATTTTATAAATTTAAAATTGGCGATTAAATTCAATTTTAAATTTATTTAAGGTAAAAATTGCTGTATAAAATGATGTGCTCATGTCTAGCTAGGAATCGATAAACTGGGTCAAACATGAACTTCAGTTACTCATTATCTGTTATTAAAAGATTTCAAAATGCTTGTTCTGAGGAACAGCTTAGATCAGTGTTTCTCCCGTTTCCTTGTCTTCTAGCACTCATGGGCCTGTTAATCATTTCAGTGGTATTTATAGTGCTATTTTGATAAGGAGATTTCAAATTCCATCATGTGCAAACAAGAACACCATGTGAGATGTGAAAAGCCTATCAAGCAATGAAACTAGGAAGAACGGGGAGTTTTCCCTCCCCATCTGCTCTGTGGGTAACGTGCCCAGGTTGAGTAGAAGAAGTAGCAAATTGATAAATATTTTAAAACTTTATTGCATTGAACGATTTTTCACCTCACTTGGTTGATGTCGTGTCCGGTCCAGAGTATTATGATATTTTCTTGAACCTGTAAATGGAAATGCAATGCATTCGTACGAAAAATAAACTTTACTGTTGGTACAATTTTCTAATCGGTTTCTGGTACTCCCGTGGCATGTGTGCCATGTTAGGGTTAGGTCATAATTTTATTCCGATTTACCTTATTTTAGTTTTATTATGACTTCGGGGGCTGTCTGTGTTACCTTCTGTCGATGGGTTTTAGTCTCTCTACATAACTTGATGTAAAGAAGGCGAACAAAATAGTTACCTCCATATTGGTACACACACTTCTGAAGCGCCGAGCGCCGATTTTTTCTCCAAACGATATCAGCATAAGCAGCAATAAGTAATCTGAAACGACATATAGTTTCAATAAATACCTTTTCCAAGTTGATGACGTATTTGAGATCTCCGGGTGAAATGAACATGCGGCAGATGAATTACAAATCAATTTTCAGCTTACCGTACGAACTGTGGATCTTTCTCGTCTCCTGTGAAACATTCAAAGAGTTTAGTTATTACTGTTATAATTAATAATATAAGTTTAGTTGGCACTGAGAATGATATTAGGAAATTTATATTAGGTTTCCAAGGTAGTAAGTCTAAGTGGAGAAGTGTTTGCGCAAGGAACACAAATCTACAAGCGAAATTGTAAGTTCTTATGGCCTGGGATAAAAAATAATGATAACACTACATATGACATTCGGAAATTTGAATTTGCTTCCTAGGGCAAAAATATAATCTGACAACCGCTGTGCCTTGCCTAACAAGACTAAAAAACGAACGAACATGGCCGAATATGAACTTTTGTGACTCATTAGATGGGTATTTTCAAAATCATCGTTCCGAGAAATACCCTAGGAGCACTAAATAAATATATTGTTCTCACGTTTTAGTAACTTTACCGGCTTGAATGAACGATTATTTGACGCGGGGGAAATTATTTATTGTTGTATATCACCTCACTTGGTTGAGTTTCTGGGCGGTCTTCTCAAACACTCGAATATTATAAAATCTTCTTGAACCTGTAAAGGGCAATAGAATGATAATTTTATTCTTGTTATTTGAACGCAATGCGTTTGTAAAAAAATTCCGATGTTGGTACAATTTTCTAATCGATTTCTGCTTTCTGCGGGGACTAGCCAAGTGACTCTTGTAGTGTTTGTATCTAGAATTATGGCCTAACCCTAACCTGGTACACATACTACGTTGCGGTGTTACCATCTTGGTACGCATACTTCAGGAGTACCAATTTTTTTTCGGATTTGCACGTAGATTAGAAACGAGAAATTCACATTGCAAATGAATTTATGCATTTTGCTGATATTTATTATTTGTAAGCTTATATTATTTCACCCAAGATCAGTAAAATCAATAATAAGCCCTATATCAGGACCCGCACTACAGAACCCGCTGGTGTATGCCCGAACGTAAACAAAACAACCACCACCAGCCAGGACTGCCACTTTCGATGTTTTATAGCTAGATCTAGATGTATATAATTTGTTATAGCTGACAAACATAGCTATACTAAAAACATTATTGGCAGGGAAGAAAGTAAGCTACAAAACTGCAATCTTGTAAAGTCAGAAAGTGGAACAATAAGATGGTAACAGCAATGGTACTACGTCATTTAAATGTCGATGTTGAAAAAAATTTAGTGCAATAAACTGCGAAAAAACAAACTGACAAAGTCAGCTTTGCGCCTAGCATTTTGCCCCCCTTCCCCCTCTAAGTGCACTGTGTCCTCTTCGGTGGGTCACGGGGCCCCCAGTTGGCAAACGTTTGTCGATTGCGGGCCAAACTTAAAGGTTGCAAGTCATTGGTGGGCCGCATCACATTTTTTCGCACAGTTCTCAGTTAAATTTTAAGCAGTGCGCGAAAACTGATCATTCGAATATTTTCTGCGTCATTGAACTATTTGCACTCAGCATCAACTTTTTTACGTTCTGTTGCCATTCGTCATATAATAATCAATTATAGGCTCATTAAACGAATGATTGTGAATTATATACTTGTTAGGTTACTATATAATTTAGTGTCTCAAAACAAATTCTGTCACGTAAAGAATATGATCGTCAATTCAGCTGTTTTGTCAATATAATTCGGTGAAGCGTCGCGGGCCGGATTATATTGCTCCCCGGCCCGCCCCTGATACGGCCCGCGGGCCCTAGTTTGCCGACCCCTGGCCTAGAAGTAGCAAATCAATAAATATTTCATCCAACGTGTTAGAAACTATTGCATTGAATGATTATTTAACGCAGTTGGATATTTATTGTTGTATCTCACCTCATTCGGTTCATGTCACGCCGGTCTTTTTGAGCACTCGAATATTGTGAAATTTTCTTTCCTGTAAATGATAATAGAACAATCATTTTATAATTTTTATTTGAATGCAGTGAATTTGAAAAATATATATTTAGCTCGGCTGTGGGTCAACTTTACTAATCGATTTTTTAACAAACGATAAGTTCATAAGCAGCACATATGTGAGCAATGTATAGTTACAATATTCATCTTTTCCAAGTTGATGACGTATTTGAGATCTTCGGATCATTCAGTCAGCCCCATGATGACGTAAACACGCACCGCAAAAATTACAAATCAGTTCCGAGACTCGCCGTACGAACTGTGGATCTTTTTCGGCTCCTGTGAAACATTCAAGAATTTAATTATTAATATAATTATTGATAATATAAGTTCAGCTGGCCAGAGTTAAAAGAAAACGAGAACATCAAATATGACATTCGGACATTTATATTTGCTTTTCAAGGTAAAAATATAGGATATGATTTAGGATAGGATTTACATATTTATCCCGGGGGAGAGGAAAGCCGATAAGACGGCTTATCCATATGGCGAACCACGGCCTCTCGTCCGGTTACCATTCCAAGTCGGGTATGGGATTAGTTTTACTGTATTGTTTGTTTTCGGAAGCATGGACTTGGTGGTGGAGGAAGCCGTAACCGACCAGCGGTTACGTGAACCACCCAACGACGGCGAGGAGTCCAGCAATCCTCTCGCACATAACCATACCTGCATGGGATTCGAACCTGCGAACCCACGCAGAGTAGTTAGAGGTGCGGTCGCATTCCTAACGCTTAGCCCGTTGAGCCACACCGCCGCGGTGACAACTGCTGTGCCCTGCCTAGCAAGACTAGAAAACGAATGAACAAAGCCGTTTATAAACTTTAGCGACTCATTAGATGGGTATTTTTAAAATCCATATTGGTACACACACTTCTGGCGCGCGAATTTTTTTCTCAAACAATATCAGCATGAGCAGAAATAAATAGACTGAAACAACATATAGTATCAATAAATATCTCTTCCAAGTCGTATTTGAAATCTTCGGAACATTCAGTCAGTCAGTCCATGATGACGTAAACATGCACGGCAGGAATCGCAAATCAGTTTTCAAAATCGCCGTACCAAACTGTGATTTTTTTTCGTGTTCTTTAAAACATTTAACAAGTTTGTTACTACTGAGTTATCAATCATTCAATAATCAATTACTTTGCTCGTAGCGCCGAAGATGCCATTAAATTTTTGAAATTCCTGAAGTAAGATGGCGGCACCGGCGGTGTGGCTCAACGGGCTAAGCGTTAGGAATACGCTCGCCACCGCACCTCTAATTACTCTGCGTGGGTTCGCAGGTTCGAATCCCATGCAGGGATGGTTATGTGCGAGAGGATTGCTGGACTCCTCGCCGTCGTTGGGTGGTTCACGTAACCGCTGGTCGGTTACGGCTTCCTCCACCACCAAGTCCATGCTTCCGAAAACAAACAATACAGTAAAACTAATCCCATACCCGACTTGGAATGGTAACCGGACGAGAGGCCGTGGTTCTTATCGGCTTTCCTCTCCCCCGGGATAAATATGTAAATTCTATCCTACCGGAACGTAGTAGCCTATTGCAAAATCTTGAGCGGATTCAATCTCGCTTTCGTGAGATATCGCGTGCATCTAACAGACAGAAAATACCTATCAACATACTTATCGATTAAAAGCGATAAATAATGGATGTTTTCCCGACCTCTGGCCCCAGAAAAAGCGAGATTGAATCTGCTCCAGATTTTGCATTTGCATTCATCATATGTCGTACCAGAAGCCTATCGATTATGAAGTATAATTAGCGAGTTATTAATTAATTAGTGATGGAACACAAGGTGTCACTATGGAGTAAGAGCGCTGTTTTGGGATCCCCTAATTTTCGATCGATAAGTCTTCGGTCTCTGACCGATATTCTTGTATTGGATGTTTTCGGCTTTCTTCCCACAACAAATTTTCAATTCCTCCAGAATGATATGCGCAGATACCCTACAATCATCTAGTCTAGCAAGTTAATGAAATAATATGTCTATCTGAAATTGGTTGCTGTTTTCCACCTGAAAGCGATTCAACAGGCAGTAATATAAGGAATCATACTAACTTTTGCATTGCTATGATAAATTTTATTGCATTTATTAGATTCATAAAAACATACAAATATGAAAAATCAATCATGCTGTGTAGTTTATTAATACAGTTATTACTAGAAATGATAAAACATACATCACACAACAGTTGAGATTCAGAACTTGCATTTTGGTAATGTACAGGATGTGTGTATAACAGAGAGGTAAAAATCTTTTTTTGCTGCAGCGCTTCGTGAGAACATCGGATTAAAAATGATATGAGTAAAAAGGAAAAATGAAATTGCTATCATTAGCTATTCAGTATTTCAGAGATAAAAGCTATTGTTTTATTGGCGTAACCAGTTAGCGATTGTTTCCATTTCCTGATGTCGTGCCTGAAGAAAAGGAAGAAGAATCTTATAAAACAGAGTCAATTTACTCAAGCATGCACCCTGTTAGCCCTAGAGATAATAAGCGCTCATAGGTATGCAACACGATAATTTCACCAGGAGGAGTAGTTTGGTCTTTCTTACAGCTCAATATGCCATTACAAAGTCCATCGTATTAAACTTTGTGAAATGAATTTATTTGGAATTACTATTACACACTTTTCACAAACTTACAATTTGAACGGATTTGGGGTCCAAATCATTTTTGTGTCGCAGATCGAGATGATGAGCAGCATTGGCAATTGATAAAATAAGAATTTTTTCATTCTGAGATTCCAGTATTCCGCCAACACTCCATGGATCCAATTTACCATTGCTGTGATACAAGCATTAGTCAATGTGCTAGAAAAATTCACACAATGTACAAATAACAAAACGAATCCAGTCCATATAAGTAATGTGTATGAATGACCGCAGCACCGCACTATACTTGATTGATGACAACGGGGCTGTCACTTGATGAAACACCTTTCAACACATCAGATTAAAAGATGGGAAGGAGAGTTAGGAGTATTCAAAAAGTTTCATTCAAGTTCAATAAAAGAACAAGTAGATATAGGAATGCAGTTAGGATATAGAGCGGGGAATTCTTTTAAATGACGAATATTGATTTAATATGTTAATCAGATGATATATTTCTCTTGACCCCATGATATATTATTTCAGAATGTCTCAATTTTTCGAACCTAGTTTTTCATACAGCCAAGTAGATTTAATGTAAACGAACTTACCTGAATATAATATTACTTTCTTGTGACCAATCTCTACCACCAAATTGCAATATTGGCCATACAGGTCTAGGTGTGGTGCCAAACTTCTTTTGACATTCTAAAAATTATGAAATCATATGTGTATTGATTAGTTTTACCCGCGCCAGCCACCCAAACCAAAGATTCGTTTAACGATGATGTCAAAATAACAGTGCAAACATGGAAATGACATAAGCAAACAAATAGAATTGTGAATCATGTGATGTAACTGTATGTACCTTTGGTAAAATCTTCTATTGTCCATTTAGCTGGTTTGAACATGTCATTAAATCCATCAGCACAGAAAGGCATCACCATTTCAGTGCATGTCTGGTAATACCATAGCCTGTAATTGTTTAGTTTTAATGCAAGATTAATCAAAGATAGGTGAGCACCCTTACACCTAAACTAGAAAGATCAACAATAGAAAAGTCACAAGCCACTGCAACTAAATTCCTAGCTACAGCTACCATATATCTATATCAAAAGTAAATCATTAGAAATTGTGGAAATCTTCACGCACACAAGTTTACTTACGTGAAATCCCTCAAAAGGCCTCAAAATATGCCCTCTACAGTAAATAGAATTTTACCTGTTTGCATTCAGACATAGTGTAGGAATGAGAGCCCCAGTCAAATTGCGTGGTAAATTTTATAATAATATAACTATTAAATGAATCATACCCAGCAGATAAACCGGGACTTGCTTCTGAATCGAGAGAAAAACAATCAGATTGACCGGAATAATTATAAAACACTCCAGCAGCTTCTCGAACTTGATTGAGAAGTTCAATGCCTTGAAGTTTTGGCTTTGACAAAGGTTTACAGGTTTCCTTCATTAAAAAGATTTAAAATGAGCTAAAAAATACCGTTCAAAGACCAGAAAAATTTTCTTAAATACTATCAGATTTATTTCAACATGATTTTGACTTTTGAGTTTTTTCATAAACATATGGTAAGTAGTACAATGAAGTGTACTCCCAAAGTGCCAGGTTAGGGTTAATAATTTTATTCCAATTTTCCTTATATCAGTTCAATTACGAGTTCAGGGACTGTCTGTGTTAGCCAAGTAAATATCCCATTGCCCATAGGTTTCAGTCCGCTTACACAAAAACACAACTTGATGTAAAATACATTTACCTGTATGGGCCAAGCTGGAAGTGGATTCAAAAAATTTGTTGGATATGGATAATTCACCATTGCTAGTGATGACCAAGCATTTGATAACCAATCTTCAAGGGAGCTTACATCTTTCAATGACTTGCATAAATGAAACACTTTTGTCAGCGTCCTGTGATACAAAAAAAGAAGAGTATACCAAAATACCGGTAGGTAACTGATCCAAATGCATCAAAACAATGAAATAAAATACAAAACTTTGTATTTATCTTAGGTGGTCAAATAATCTCAAATTTCACTTAATATATGCATACTAACCAAATTTGGACAAATAATTGACGCATTTATTTGTTATTTGACTTCAGTTACATTCAACTTTAAAAAACCAAGTGATATTCTTCATGAGAATATATAAACCAATATTAGGAAATACTCCATACTCGAATCCATCAGGTTGTTTAGCAACAGATTCGATTGTCTTCCACGAATTCCTGATATTGACAGTGCATTCTCTACCTCCAGGAACATTTTCAAAATCCAGTGTTACTAGTTCATTGTACTCAGCACAACCAACTAAACCAGGAAAGTAACGAACAGGTGCTGACGCGGCTAATGATCTATCAACAACAACAACAAAATTGAGTCAACAGAGGACAATCTGATCACATAATCAATATACTCTTTTGAGTTTTCCATTTCTGGTGACCATATAACCATTTATATAATGGTATTCATAATTTTTCTCTGTCAAAATAGTACATCTAACTAATGTAAGAGACTGATGATCATCTTATTGATCTTTTTCTGTGTATGACACTAAACTTAATATAAGCGCTCGAAATACATTATTACTGTAATTGTTGCATATTGATAGAATAGACATGTATCAATTGATGCAGTCACATATTGATTTTATAACCATTTTTGTATTTTATCTCTTACTGGTAAGAGATACCGTAGTTATATGTGTTGCCTGTTGCTGTTACAGCAGTATTTATGACAGTACTCCACAACTTATTTTACAACCTCAGCGATGGTGACTCGGCTTGGCAGTGTGGCACATCGTGCTAAGCGTTAGGAATATGCGTTACCCTGCATGGGTTCGCAGGTTCAAATCCTGTGGGAGATAATTATGTGCAAGAGCCGAGAGGATTTCTGGACTCCTTATTGCCATTGGGTGGTTCACGTAACCGCTGGTCAGTTACAGCTTCCTCCACCATCAAGTCCATGCATCTGAAACAAATCACTGGCAAACTAATCCCATAACCGACCGGCAACCGGACGAGAGGCCGTGGTTCGCCATATGATTAAGCTGTCTTAGCAGCTTCCTTTCACATCTATCCTTTCCTAACCATTAAAATGATTTCAAAATTGACCGGACATATTTAAATGACTTCATTCGTTTTCCTACCCTGTTACAATGTGAGGATATTTCTGTCGAATCCATGCAGCAAGCATTCCGCCATAAGATCCACCAAATGCAATTACATGGCTGTATTTTGCCCCATCAATAGTTTCTTTCAAATATGTTATCAATCTTGCATAATCAGCTAAAGCTTGTTCCACAGTAAATTGACCAAATTTGTGTACATTGTCCTGATGAGAGAAATATTTAAAGCATTAGTAAGATGGAAATGAAACTATTTTTGAAAATCATGGTTAAGTATATATCAGAGATACCCAAACCAAGTAATCTGTTATTTTAAATAAATCATGGAATAATACTTTTGCAAATGGAATATTGAATATATAAACACAGAACTCAGTGTATATTTCAAGAATTTGGAAATGCAGAAAGTCAATACAAACTATGATTGATTGATATTTGGTTCTCCATTTTTATTTTCAAAAATCTAACATCGATCCATATTGGGAGACTTTTGGTCATGCCTGGTAAAAACGATTTATAATGTTCACTGGTTGAACATCACCTAATACTGAAGCAAACTCATGCTTTGAAAGTAGCGTACGGTATGTCTGAAGTGTCGTTAAATAAGTTCTAGCAATGAATCTTTGGTGTGAAAGGTATCATATCGCTTACCTATATACAGTTAGTCACGATAGAGTTTAGTGTGATTGTACATAATATTAATTTTTCATGATTTTATATATTCATCATCATAATAAACCTAACCATCAACTGTTATCAAATATTCAAAAATTATCACTTACTGGATTAGGGGAAAGGTCAGGAAATGGTTTTGATTTTCCATAATATCTGTGCTCAGCAAACACAACCATTGCACCAAACTGTGGAGCAATATCCCATATAAATCCCTGAATCCAAAAGTGAATACAAATATGAAAACAATTAAAGAACATAATGTAAAAAAACACTATCAAATGAATACCACAGAATGCATTTAATAAAAACACAGTGAAGAAATAGGTTTATAAAAAAATCACTTGAATACTCAATCAAAGCCTGGTAAAGGTAAAAACAAGAAGAATGAGTAATTTTTTTTTCCATTTCCATACAAGTACAGTCACATATTTAGTTATGGTTCCGTATATTCACATACCGTGTTATTAACAAAAAGTGTGATATCTCCTTCGTTTCCAGTGTAAAAAAATATGGGACCACCATCCTTGTTCCAATATTCTTGTGAAATCAAATACCTCTGTTCATAAGTTGAATCAATTGTTGGATTAAAATGATCCATCTGGAACATAAAATAACTGTTAAATTGTGTGCTCCATTCAACTTTACCGATATTCCTTTACCAGAAGAACCAATGTACTTTGGTAAATTGTGTCACAAATGCAGATATGACTTAAACTTTTTACAAGAAGGCCAGCAATCGAAATATAGGGCTTGTCAAAGTATACGTACGATCACCCGAAATGGCATCTGTGCCGATCATGGGCCATTCCAAGCAAGTGTTGAAATTCCACCAATTTTTTTAAAAGCGTAGTGAAAGTAATTTTTTTGTATTTTTTATATCATAAGACATTGGAATTTTACTGGACTGCATTCATTTCACCGAAAAAGTTAAAATTTCACCCAGGTTTTTGATGGTTCACACAAAATGGCCCGAAATGTGGAAATTTTGGTGTAATTGACATATTTTGTGATGATACGAGACACAAAGTGTTTATGGTAATTGTGTGATACAGTTATTCCATATAAAATAGACGCACTGGACTTAATTATGTTTAAATGTTTGCAGTGCTGTAGGACATGTCTTTACCTATTTAATGATTTATTATCAGAATTTTAAGAGATGATAGGGGTCGCTGTTCCAAAGTGGAAAAATGTCCTGTAGTGTCACATATAATATGCACATCATTGGCGTGGATCTACAGTGTTACATTAAGTAACTTGAGCAACACATAGAGGGGTCCCTCAGCTATCGCATCAGAAAATAGTATGGGCTCCTGCTGTACCATCGTGACAATTTAAAGCATAACACGATGTAATGTTAATACATGGTGGATTTGCCGTCCCGTAGTGCCACGCTATATTTTACTATATATTTTATATCTACGAAATAAGTCTTGTGTGTAACTTTTGTGCAATTTTGTTCAAACTCTATAAAGCAATTGCAGAACTGATTGGACAATGAAACAAAACATATAGCTGAATATGTAAAAATTTATTGTATTTAACAACATGCAGACATGCAAAACATCTGGAATTGTCCTGTAGAGTCACTTGGAATAGCCCTGAAAAAGAACCCCTGGCAGCGATCTCTCTTATACCTGTATACCGGGATCGTTGAAACAACTTGCTTGATTCCGGGTGATCGTCTGCGCATCTTGGATCTGTGGATGACAGTTCGTACGGTACCGGTACGGTAGAGTTTGAAGGGCTCTATTAGTGTATTATGTCACTGTGACGACATAGTGACATAATTTTTGGATGACACAGTCAGGTGGGGGTTAAGGTTAACATATGCAAAAATTGTTATGCTACGCCCATTCTGCCATTAAAAGTACTTTAGGTATGAAACTACATGAGACCCAACGATCATAAAAATAGCACTAACCTTTTGTGTGAAATACTTTGTTTGTGGATACGAATAATTCAAATTTGGGCCAACATATTGCATAGAACTTGCACTCTGCCATAAAACACATATAAACATGAAATACAGAATGCTTTTAGCTATTTGCACTCGGGATGCCATCGCTCAGTCGTTGCGAAACAAGATCACAAAACAACAACACAACACCGGAGCAGCAACAACCAGACTTTGGCCACAACCAAACCCAAAACCCGCTCGACTCACAAGCGACCACTAGCGGAAGAAGACAGAGGGAAACAACAATGAACTACAGAGCCCTCAAGCGAATCATAGTCATTTTAGACTTACAATCATTAGAAAAACAAGAAAGCAATGCTCAAATATATAGACATGGAGACCAAAAAAAAAGAACAGTAGTCCAGCTTACCATTTACAGTACCGGTCCCGTCAGAAAACTACTTTACCCATGCGTTCACATCGGCAAGAGCTGTAAAAGACATTAACCGATTAAGAACTAGTCCAGCTTACCTTTTACAGTACCGGTCCCGTCAGAAAACTACTATACCCATGCGTTCACATCGGCAAAAGCTGTAAAACACATTGAACACTGACTTCAAAATTAAAATAATTTTATCTTTTGCCTTGGCTTTGGTCTTACTTATCACGGCTTGTAAATTCACCGTGCCTGTTTGAAGTGAACGGTAATATTATTATCGCACGGGGATACAGATATTTATTAAAACGATAATTTAGGCTCTTATGCTTTTTATATGGTGTTCGTGTTATTTTCGTATTAGATGGATAAACCTCGCAAATCTGCTATTGCGTGAATCCTGAATGTTGATTTAGAATCGCGATTAAATAAATTGGCAATAAAGGCATTTCTATGTGGTCCAAAAGTCTTAGTGCCCAATAAAGGGGCCAGACGCTAATTATAACTAATTCTTTCAAGTTTTAACGTTTTTTTTCAACAAAACAACACCCCGACGGTTATTATAGGTAAAATCGTTACTGAGTAAGGTACAATTTCATTTACGGAATTCAGTTAGGCAAATTCAACACTTCACTTAACGATTTTGTTTAAATAAAACTTCCCAAATGCTTCAAAATTCAACAATTTTAATCATTTTCGATGATAATAGGCGCAACAATTTTTAAACGAGCCAGTGTGCATTGTTACAACAAAATTCACGATTGATTCTACGTTCTACTCTTGTTTACAATTTTAACATTCCACCGGCCATGCATGGTCAAGTGAAATGTTGACAATAATAGAAAGTTCATTGGAGGGAGTATGGCCTGTCATTTCAGATAACACTCATTAAGTTGTAACCAAACTTAAGAAGTGTTTTCCATACAAGTAACTCATACAAGCTTTTGAAAAAACTTTGACTGGTCATTTTCAAATCGATGCTATTTATACAACTCGAATTTGCTGACAACCTAAAATCGCCTCGAAAAAGACCGAAAAGTCGTTTTAACTTTTAATTTCTATGCTTTTCTGGGGTGTTCATGTTATTTTTGTATTAGATGGATAAACCTCACAAATCTGCGATTGCGTGAAACCTGAATGTTGATTTAAAATGTTGAATAAATAAATTGGCAACAAAAGCGTTAAAATTTATTGGCAAAAAGTCATTTTACCTTTTAATTTTAATCATTTTATCTGAGGGCCGTGCAAGAAATGAGTAATAACTTGTCACCAAGCATACGGAGTTTAAAATCTGGGACATATTTTGAATAAATAATCTGGTTTAACGTTTCTAAATTTATGTCGGTAAATTTTTTGCAAAATCTAGAATTCAAACGATACGTTAAGCGCAAAACGAAAGCAAATAACACTTCTCAAATTTGTCCCATTTTTTCTGATAGGGAGCGCCGTGGGTGAATTCTCGCGCAATTGACGATTGATTTAGAGACGCGCGAGTTCGGTGTCCAAGCAAAGGGGCGCAGGTCAACTGATACCGGATATTCGAATAGTAAAATGCCATTCGAATATTTTATTGTTCGATTCGATATTCAAATATTTTGTCCATCCCTAGCTGTTACATGTGTTGCTGTTACGATGTCATGATATTTCGAATACGTGGTTAAGTTTTGTTGCTATTTTAACTTGCGTTAGTAGTGTGCGGCTCTTTACAACTTTGACGTTTGAAATTTGGCTCTGGGACTAAAAAAGTTTGAGAACCCCTGATCAGGGCTGTTCCGAAGAAGACTATGAATTTAAAAAACATTAGGCCTATTCGAAACATATCTACAAAAAATATCTGTTATATAGTTATCTGTTATATGCTTATTTAATCAAATTCATTAGAAAGTGTCATATTTGTTTATGTTTCAATTTTCATTCATACTTTTTACTAGCCAGCGAAGAACATTGTTTGGCACCCCATGGATTTCTCGGAGATAGCTTCAATGAAAAAGTCTATAACTTGAATGATAAAATTGAACTTGAATGCCGAAATGTTAAAAATAACATTTTTCCATATCATTTGCACCGGATCGTGCAAGTGGGCTATCCACGATATCGAATGTATGGAACAGACATCAAACAAAGACACTGAATCAGCAACCTTATCGGATCCATTTATCGACGGTTCTGTTCCAATGATAAAACAACCACCAAATAGTGAGCATGTTATGAATGACAAATATTATAATTCGGGGAAGACATTCAACGTTGTGCCTGCGCCATTGCTCAATTCGAGAAAAATTACCTGTCCATACATTCCCATGTATATGAATCGTTCCTATCGACTTCATGTTTTCAACGTAGGACAGAGAATGATCCTTCGTTGCTTCAAATCGGGGGGATAAGCTTACTGTGGCACAAATGAGAGATGGACGACGAGAACCAGCGGCTGTAGACACCTGACTTCACATGGAGGACAGCTAGCAGATATTCATTAAAAGAACCTATTTTGTATCAATAAATGTACTATTTTATATTGAATGATCCATTTTAAGTTTTCCTTGATTAAAAATCAAATCATACAAGTACATATTATCAACATCTAAATTAATACGTGCTTGCGTCAAAAACAGTAAAATACTCTTTAAACGTTAGTTTTGGCAATTCAGTATATTTACGAACAGATCCTTTCGATCTTACATGGATTTAGCTTTATAAAGTTAAAATAAAGCGTAATATGTCCTCATTTCGTCGCTAGGGGTGCTGTGCGCACAATTATATTAGTACTGTACAGGATTTTCATAAAGAAGTCGAAGGGTGACAAAACAATTTTTAGCGAACCTTAATACCTTTTTGCGCTTAATTAGTCATATCGATCACTGTCAATTTGAGCTGTGTAAGCACCCCGATGTTTTAGATACTGAAGACTGACGTAATGAAACTAACAGGAGACTCATGTATCAGTCTATACGACATTCTAATGTTTGGTTTGTATAAACAAATTAGATTGAACGGACGAGATAGCCAAAAATAAGTAGTCACGATACGCCCGTTACATCGAGTTTTGTTTTTATTGACATAGATATAAAAATTTACCGACTTTTGTTGGGTTCTGACCTCTTCTACTTATAGAAAGGAAAACTGTGCTTTTGTCGTTGATGATGCTAATGACGAGGTAAGGTTTTTTTCTGTGACATCAGAAACTCAGATAACCCTTTACGAGTTTCACTATTTCAGTCAAATCTGGTTTTTATTATACAACATCACCACGCTGGCCCTTCTGTATTATAATTCTGCACACTGCTGGATTAAGTGATAATTTTATACAGTTATAAACAATTGAGTCAAAGATTATTCCTGGTCGGTATACGAGAACTGTTTTGTCATGACCATGTATTCATGGGCGCCCGATATTGCGCTTAAATTGTTTTATGAATATCCCATTACGTTAAATACTCGTATACAACACATATATATTGCATTTACGCGAGCGTATATATAGAAATATACTTACTATTGTGACAGTCTTGTTGCAATCTTTAAGTTTTTGACGAATTGTGGGCAAGAATAGGTCAATGATTGTTCCTCGTTCTGTAGTTGAAATACAAATGCGCACTGAAACAGATTGAGGAAAACAGTTTAGTTGACGAAATTTTATATGCGCACGTAAAATGCTCGTATCTTCGCGCCGAGGATTACAATTGAAATAGTAGGTATGATTGTGAATAGTACTGAGAAACAGTCACATGAACATGAACATCGCAAAAAAGAAGACAAAATGAAGGCAAAGATATAAGACGGTGGTGGATAAAAAGTATATTCAATGATATATTCTGGGTTAGGGTAGAACCAAATGCTTAGTTTGTGAGAATTTGTAAAGAATGCTCGATAGAAAGAAACAATTTCCGATCTAAACTGAAATTATTGTTATTTTTTAAATCTCTAATTGGCCAGATTACGGGTGTTAATATCAACGTATTTAAAATACCTTAGTAATATAGTAATGGCGGTTCGGAAATGTCATTTCCACATTCCTTCGCTCTGAAGGGATGACGTAGTAACTCCATAAATACAGTAAAGTGTTAATATTTAAAAAAAACTGAGCGTCTCATTATAAAAAAGGAATTTAAGTGAATTGCAAATAGGTGGTATTTTAAGCATTGAATGTAATATTGCGAGATTTTGGGCTGTATCTGAATCCAGTCCTGGATTTGAATTGAGCACTCCAAGTCTTTATGACCAGACATTGACACCGATTACCAAGGCTATTTAAATGATTTATTATTTCAATTTCCAGGTCTATTTTGATTTTAAGTAGAAATTTTTTCGAGTGTCTCGAGTATGTAGATTCCACTCTTACTGAGAATGCGCATTATATATACGAGCCAGTACAACTATGTAATATATCTATTTATGGTGACGGCATATCTCGATCATATATCTTTCATATTATAATTTCATCGTCACTCCAACCAGATATCTCAATTTGAATTTGCTTGGATATAAATGGTGTTGGAGTGTGTCAAAAAGTTTTGTAATAATATTTTGACAAATTTTTACACAAATTTGACGTTACTTCTTCCTTGCGTTTATATACAATAGTCAATCGTAAATAGTTTCGATCGTAATTTATAGCATCTCGGTTAACTTAAATTTTTGTGAATAATGTGAAATAATTTCATGTAATTATTTATAATGACTGAAAGTTCCCACGAAAAATAAATTCACAAAATAATAGTTTATCTAATGATATAATTGTGAACTCGAATAACCTTAATTATAATAATTATAAAAACAAATATGTTTAAAGAATAATTAAAATTAATTTTACACTTTATCATCATGCATCCTATGTATGTAGTTAAAAAAACAGAGATGGAGGATTTTTAATTACATTATTTATTATAGAATTTTGAAGAAATATAGAATGAAATTTGCAGGTGGTGTCCAAACATGATTTCATGATGATGAATGCAATTCGATGGTAGTTTGTAATTGGAGCAACACCGATCGAAGCTCAAATTTAGTTTCAAGGGAGAAACTGATTTACGAAAAGAAAAATTGTATTTATTGGTTTTCCGTGTTTGCGATCATTAGGGTGTGTTGCGAAACCGATCATTTCAATACGTATAATAATAATTTTATTCTAAGAATAATGGTAAAGATATAAAAAATTGCCCTACTTTATTTAAAGTAATAAATTAGAAAAAGAATTTTGATGGAAATTATTACATGAGAGCTACTTGCGTTAAGTACTCAATTTTTGGTTCATAATTACATTGTCGCTTACCCAAATTTCCTTCACATCTGGTTATTAAATTGTTTAACTATGTAAGAATAAAAAGCGAAGATAAGAAAATTAAAAATAAAATAATAAATCATTACCCCAAAGCCTAGATTGGATTTAGATCGAGGATCATTTTAATTATTCACAAGTAAACTTCAAATATCAAAATATTGACCATGTTTATTGTGACCTGTTCATATATTAAAAAATTGTACCAATTACGGTAAATAACCGCATTATGACGTGGAATATCTAACACGTACTACTGAAAATTGAAAACAAAAGCACTGCATTGTTTCAATTCTATCGTGAACTTGGCGTCAAAAATAAGGTAAACATATTCTCTGTGCGTTATATTATATAAACATTAGGTTACCCTAATGATGTCCTCAATACATTTTTATAATGAAATATACCGGACTGTGTCAAGAATATGACATTTAGATTATGACAGACCATCAGCCATGTAAATATTTACAAAAAAAGAGAAGAGATTGCCGTATAATACAACACTAATAGCCCCGAATAGTGAAATTGAGAGCACAATATTCGCTTACGGCAAATTTAGGCGTATTATTATCTTCAACTTGAATCGTTTCGTTAAAATATTTTGAGTTGGTTCGAGACGTCTCCGTTATTCTTGTAGTGCTTCTAACATATTTTATTTGACGTTGCGGTTTTTGGCAACGCATTTTTGTTTTTAGTTCGCGGAAGCAAGATGGTTAAATTTGCATTTGCAATTATTGTTTGCTGGGCTACTTTGCTGCATAGGACATATGCAAGTAAGTACAACAAGCTTACTTCTATTTGATCTTATTCTTTACTTTTATTGCTCATAGCGAGGTTAAACACACTTAGTCAAAATCCATTGAATCGAATGCAACTTGGGGTCTAATTATGAAAATATTGTGTTCCAAAATAGGTCATTATTTCCCCAACTTTCATAATTTCAAAATTGTCAAATCATCCTTTTCATTAATGAAAATTACAAGTAATAACCTTGATCGTGCGCAATAGTGAAAGTCTACCATGGCGTTCAGATCTAGCTTTTATGTAGATCACAAATTGCAGCATAAACAGTGAATTTCATAAGCAATATTTAATTGATTTGCGTTTCAACTACAACTGAATATTATGTTATATTATTATTGTTATCTTATATTAGTTGCGGTGCCACATGTATTCGCGATCGTTTCGATATTTTGTTATTTAATATTCTGATCACATTTCGTGTAGTGTACGTCGGTAATGAAATGTCAGGTGATTGATTCTGTGATTTTACGAATAATCATAATAGTAAAGAAAAAGAGTTGAGTGAAAATCGAATTTTCAAGTATCTGAATTATATTTATTGATACAATTTACCAGGTTGTCCATCAATAACCGGTGAAAACAGGCAGTACAATGCAGGCGAGAAAGTGAGGATGCAATGTGGCGAAAGACCAGGTGTATATTATGAGGCGGAATGCGTATCGAATGGTTTCTGGATCTACCCAACACGTGATGCAATTTGTAAACATTCGACACCAGTCGCCGCACCAGCTTATCAACCTCCAAACGCTGTCGTCGTGGTTACGAAGCCAAAAAAATGCAAGTTCATTCCTGGTTATATGCGTGATATAGATGCTGGACGGATGTGGAAGAATGGCGATCGATACTGGATGCGATGCGAAGATAAAATAAGACTGTTTGCAGCCACATGTAGTAATAAAGCTTGGCTTTTCGAGGAAAATGTTTGTCAGGGTCCTGCACCAACCGGTGGAATTCTCTCAAACCTATTTGGACCAATGCAAGTCGGACCGCGGCCAGCATTACCATCAACACACCCTAGCCCAGATGATTATAGTTCAGATAAACATACAGAAAAGCCAATTGGCCAAGGTACTGAAGTTTTATAGGCTAATTGAATCTTCTTCTTTTTTCGAAATGAAATAAGTATTGTTAGTTATTAGGAGTAGCATTGCTGTAAAGTGCTACAGCTTGGGCGACATACTGGGCATGGAAAAACTTAATAACTAAATGCGATCCTTTTCTATTTTATTTATTTAGGTCTTTTTGACGGTTTCTACAATGCTCTCGATGGTTTGTGGGGACCGAAAGAAGGTGACGGACAAGCTTCAGGAGGTAACTATAGTATCTATTAAAGTAAATGTATAGATATTACTTTCGTACAACAATTTCAATTTTGAAATCGCGATCTCGTACTAACATCACATAATGCCTATAGTATGGATGACGATGTTTTCACAGTACTAAGAATGACACAGTTTATTATAACTCAGTATGCCAAGAAGACGAAAATGTTTTTAAACCCTAATTCAAATAGGATTCAATCTTACTTTACTGTATATATAGAATGTTTCACCAAGGACTCAGTAAAAATTATTTATTTCTCACACCTTGCACATTTATGGACTCACATTTGCATATCAGATGTCGCAACGTATTTTTCATCATATTTAGGTCTCAACTTGCAAGGACTTCTAGATCCAGTGTATGCAATAATAAACCCAAAACCGGACGGCCCCAAGAAATATATTGGTAAGATTTTTAGTTGCAATGAATATATTGTTTAAAATTGGTATTTGCGCTTTCATTCATTGACAAAAGCGGGTTATCGTCGAAGAACGATGATCGGGATGTAACAAAACGAATTATAATATAAGCAAAATTTGACTCAAGTTCAAAATGATGTTAATATGTAAATTATGGTAACACTAGCATTTGGAGAAAATTGTTTACAAAAATATTTACTCCTAGTAATTAATTTTCCGTCCATTTTTAGAACATTAAAATTTGAATTTCATTTGACATTTAAGAAAATAAAAATCCCCTATTTATACCTAAATTTGAAAGAAATATCACCGCTACCAAGGAGTTTGAATCAATTTATTTCACTAAAATAACCCAGGTACAAAATAGGAAACAATTGATTAATGACAATGCCTCGTTGATTTTTTGCAAAATCGTTCATTAACATAATTTAAACTGATCGATGAAATTTTTTTCAAATCCGAGTAAGACAGAATAAGAGTTATGGAACATGAAGTGGACCTATGCATCGTTTTTTCTTTTTGTATTTTTCTTCTTATTGTTGTGAAAAATTGCTCTTCTTTTCAATTGCTATACCAATTATTTAAATTTTTCAGAGGTTTAAGATTGTCGTGTTCTCTGAAAGAGTATGACTTTTATTTATTAAAAAAAAATTACTGGCGGCTCTATGGGATCGTTTTACTTCACAAAGTCCTGTGTAATGACGTCATCAAAATTGAAAATTGCGCACCATGAGAGATTTCTCAGTCGTGTTTTTACGATCTGGTGGTCAGACTCCTGGTGCTGTAAAAGATTTGATAACATTTTAGTTTGGCTTTCGTGTCCTTATATTTGAGCATTATTCTCTTGCTACATCTGCTATCAATTATATCAACAGATACCCATGAGCATTGTCCATACAACGAATTCATGGATATAGAGTATCGGCAAAAGGTTTTCTCACATGGTTACAAATACAGGGCTCATTGCAGTAAAGAAGAGTATCACGATAGATATTTTGTCCTAATTTGCGAAAATGGAGTTTGGAAGTACGATGAAAAAGATTGTGAAAGTATCAACAGTTATTTCACTCTAGCCTTCAATGAATGTAAGATATACAAAAAATTATTGTTTATAAACATACGCCGAAAACATATATTCGATCAGCCACCCCATTACCCAAGTACCTAATTCACTTCTAAAATCAGACTTACATCGTCAGTAGAAAAAAATCTTTTACGTATCAAGTCGCCACCAGTGTTGGCATTTCCTGCATAGAAGGCAAGCAGAAAATAATTCAGTGTTTCCAATTTTTTATCACCTCAAACACTGCAGCTATTGACTGATGTACCGATCATACTTTAGTTCATCAAACTCTTTTGATTTCTGGCAAATTTCCGAGCTTTTTGATGATACTTCAAGTTTAAAGATGGGATATAATATAACATTTTTATTGTTTTTTGCAGATCCATATTGGCTCCTTTCACTTTTGTTTAGGGGTAAGTGTAAATATTAAATAGGTTTCTTGTGCAGTTTTGAAACGAAATTTAGGAGTAACCTGACATTTTCGTGTTACCGCATGATATTCGTACCTTCGAAAATGCAAAAAATGGCTTTTATTAAATATATTTTTGACATTCTACTACCTGTATTTTATAGTCCTTGGATAAACGGTCATCTGGTTGAAATAAAACCGGACGACCAAAGCTGTGGAATCGGAGTAATTATTGTTATTCGATTGTAGTCGTGTCCATAAATTCCCCACCGTCAGAAATCGGATTCAAAATTTAGAACTACCCAGTGTGGGTAATTGTAGAAGTCTAGGGTCTGGAATGAGACATTTATGACTGTGACGAAAAACGTTTGCGCAAGATAAATTTTTGGTATCAAAAAAGTTCAGCCCAAAGTTGGTTGCGGAGTGGATTTTTTATTCGAGAGTCGGAACGGGATGAAACTGATCTTCGTCTCATCAAACTATGAAACGAATTTATTTCAAAGTTATGAAAGATGGATAAAAAGGCAAAATATTATTCTTCACGCTCGTAAGTTGTAGCACATTTGGATCCTAATAAATATCACCAGATGCCTGGCCGATCTTATCGGAACAAATGTCCCGACCTGAGTCCACCCCAAAAGCGGTCATGCTTTGCAATGCTTCTGCATAAATTCAACCTTCTTGCACATTGCAGGTTAAATGCCGTGCGTTCGGAAAGATCTTGGAAGTGTTGGGAAGCAAATTTACAACTGCTCAAATTCACGATTCCTCAATGAAGCTTTGGAAAAATCCGTCTTAACTTGAACATTACAAAAAAAAAACATTTATATTGTCTCGTTTGGATATTAAGAGTGAACGTATGATTAGGGTTATTGTCAATAAATCTTTCATGATGGCAGCTCCTGTTTTCCTTTAATTCATTTGTTATGAGTGTTATATTGGTCATTTATGTCGATATATCTAAACATTTTTTTACATGATGGTGTCTTTGTTTTGTTTATTTATAGTACTGAACAATGTTTACAATAAATGGAAATTAGAATTCACTGTGCCATATTTTGATTAGTCATTAATGCTGACAGAATATTGGCATACAGTGTGTGAAGTATTAATATACCGCTACTATAAGTTTTAAAATTCCGCGTCATGATAAATGAACTCAATACTTCGATTCCTGACCTGGCCGAACCTCAAATATACATCCGAATTCAGCCCGTATATCAGTATAGTGGCGAAGTTTATAGCTTGAACATTCTTATAGCACTCAAACAGCAGCGCATTTATGAAATACAAATCTGGTCGTTTGCGATCTATTAAGAAACCGACTTGAGGATTCAGGATAATCAAATTAATTATATACACTGATGTCTGTCAAATCTGATTTTAACTTGAGCATCGTTGAACAGTGGACATAATAAATCAAGAGCTGTTAAAGTGCTTTACGTCATATCATGCACGGGTCGTAGTCTATGAATTTATGATATATTGCAGTGATACCAATAGTAAGACTAAATGATGTTATAGAGTCTAATATTTCCTATCATTCACTTGGGCATTGTATATACAAAATGTCAAATAAGACATACATTAATAGTGAATAAAAGGATGTCATATTCATGATGAAGTCGGGACAAAAACAATATTAGGAGTGAGTACATGAAAAAACGTATACAACCTCCAGGTATTCACGTTTCGTTTAAACCAAGCTATCTGCTGGCATCTGTATGGCGAGGATATACCAATAAGAAACTTTTACGACTCTTTCATTGACACTCTTTTTACTTATAGCTGATGCTCGAGACCTTGTTTAGAAAAAATTGTATGCAGCTAACTGTTTTAATTGTATGATGACGTGAAACGATCGCACCTGTGAACAAGTCTTTTAATTACTTTTTAATTAAGGCCGTGATTCCGATTACGTTCATATAAACAAACAATATCGGGATAATGATATCTTGAGGGCTGAGCTTGGCGTGATTTACAATTAGATTTAGGGTGATGGTACCGTAAGACCTACAAAACACATTAAGTTAGATTAGACTGGATTTACAGAAAACAAAAATGTTTTAATCTATGCTTCGCAAATATCAATTTTATCCATTCAGGGAATGCGGGGCAAGGTATAAGTATAATGTAATAAAACTCCTTCATTTGCGACTTAATAATACCATACTCAATTTCGAAAATTCTGACTCAAAAGCGAATAAATTGTAAGACTTCCGTAGCCAAATACTATATCATTTCTATATTTAATTTTAAATGTATTATCCTCGCTATTATCAAGGATTGGGGAAGATATGTATTCCAATTCGTCAATTGAATTTTGGGTTGTCATATCCACATTAGGTTATATTATAGAATACGAGATAGTATACTGCCATAACCACCACCAAGCGTAGGCATTCCCTGTATTTAAAATAATTGCCGAAAACGATTATTAAATCGACGCCACAAGTGAGGGTTTTTGTAATTATTTCAATATTATGCTCAATTTATATTTATATTGGCAAAAAGTGTGTGTTCGAATTAATAAATACAGCCGCTGTAAACACAGTGTTCAAAACGAAGATCTGTAAAGATATGTTGCCCCCTGTATAAGTTTTATAACTCTCAATTCTTACCTTATAAATCTCCCGTTTCGATAAAAAAGGCATTGAATCCAGTTCAAGCCACAATTATAGTTTTGTGGAGAAAAGGACATGAAAACGGATATTTAAACGGCCGATTAAACGATATCAAAATGAAATCAATACCATAGGCTTCCATATTATATGGTAGCTTCCGGCGAATTAGGATTCATTATCGCTCTTCCCGTTTATAATTAAGGAGATGTATCCAACAAGAGATGTCGCGACAGGTCCCCGGGCTTCATTTTCCTACGTGTCGATCGCGATTTATCCCTCCGCAGCGCTTTGAATTGGCGCATTCTTATCTGTCGCTCGAAGGAGATGGCCATGTTTACTCAGGTTTTAGTTATTTGCTTGGCTGGTCTACTGCACAATGCATTTGCAAGTGAGTTACTTTTAAATATTATTTTTTAATGAACCAGTGAAATATGACTGATTTTGAAAATTTGAGGCAATACTTTACTAGTCTTTTAATACGACGATCACATAAGTAGAATTTTGATTACGCCACTTATGACAATGGGGAATAGTCCAGTATGGGTTTGCAATTGCAAATCTCTTATTTCCTCATCAACATAAAATTGCTTTTTCGTTGATATCAGTAAAACAACACCTCGCTGTAGTATAATTGCGTAATTATACACTTTCAAAATATAAATCAAGGGGTAGCGGAGAATTAAGCAAAGGCTATTTACAATCGATCAATGTTTTGCACCTCCTCGTGTATAAGATAAGCTTAATTATGCGTTGGTGACAATAAACTCTACGGCAACCATTTGGATAATTGACTTGAGCACCAGTTTGTTGTTCAGTGGTAAAATATTATTCACTTCTGGCTATATTTGTATAAGCCTAGTGATTAGCGATTTTCTACACCAGTTTGATCTGTACGGCTTAGTCGAACAGGTTTACCATCACAACTTAACGGTTTAAGTAAGAATCCAAGGTAAACCATATTAGTACAGTAAAAGTGATATTAAGGGCGTTTCCCATGACGCGAATTCGTATCACTTTGTTTATGTTATGGGATGATGTATCAGATAACAAAAGGTCATTAACTGATGTTCACAAGTATATTATGTATACAGTGTGTCGTTTTTCAATCCGCATGATTTACATCGAAATCTCATTCCTGGCGTTCAGGATAAATATAATGGCATATTATTCTAGAATTTGAACAATTTTCACAACAATGAGTTTACCTCGAGTTTGAGAAATATAGTTTGTAATCTTTGTGACCTGTGTCTATTTATAGAATTTATTGGAATCCACGCCTGTAATGTGTGCTCATACTGAAAACTTTGTTGGATATTTGCATTTTACACAATATCAATTCCCGATTGAACTGCGGTTACACTGAATGATCAAAACATTGTCTTATTTTTTCCCTTGTTTACACTTCAGATGTCTGCCCATCAATTATTGGAGAGAAAGATAAGTTTTATGAAGCTGAACAAACGTTAATGTTTCGGTGCGACAAAAAACCAAACATGAAGTACACAGCTGTGTGCAAGAATAGTGGCCTCTGGGACCATTCAAGAAGTGATAACGAATGCCAAGGAATTCCGGCTTCACCTGATTCACCAAAATTTGTTCCACCAGCACAAACACCTAACGAACCCGTTCCACCTATTCTTGAACCCGCTGCTCCAGCACCGGCTGCACCACAAACAGTAATCTCTCTACCCCAAACTGTTGTTTCTGCACCCCAACCTGCGGCACCAGCACCACCTGCGGTTGAATCACCGACACCTGCCGTGGCAGCTGTTCCCGCAGTTAAGCCGGAAGGCTGTTCATATCTGCCGGGCTATATGCGAGTTGGCGATGCAGAGATAATTTGGGCGGATAGTCGTCAATACAGAATGCGGTGTGACGATAACACAAGATTGTTCGTTGCAACGTGTAGAATCAAGGCATGGGTATTTGAAGAAAATTCATGTAAAGGCCCACTACCATCAAACGGTTTCTTATCTAACCTTTTCGGTCCGATAGACCAGGTTGGACCACTGAGACCTGGAATCGGACGCCCTCCCTCTGTCGTCCAGCCTAATGTAAACCCGCCAACATCTGTGGGTGGTCCACCTCAAAATACATGTAAATATATTGAAGTTGATTTAATATTTCTATCCTTCTTGTACATTTTTACCTTCTCTATTTCCATATTATATGTTTTTGTTTTAGTTTCATCCTTCTTTGACAATATTGCCGATGGACTTAATAATCTATTGAAACCATTAACTTCTCCAAGACAAACTGGCGAACAGACTCAAGGAGGAGGTAAAGAAATATTATTATCGGTGTCATGCATATATTAACTATATGTAAATATCTTAACGATTGTTTTAATTTAAAACCTTAAATAAACGCCATAGAAGATAATTTTCATTGGTCAGTCCAGTGGTTTCCAAACAGGGTTCCGCGGCACTCCAGGGGTTCCTTTAGTACAATCCAGGGGTTCCGCAATTTCCAATCCAATATATTTTTATATTAATATATTTATATAAAGAGACATATATAATCGACAACATTTTCCTCGTATTCTAAAAATTCACATGTTGAGTGTGAATATATTTAAATTTTTCAATGTCATTAAACTTGCTACAGTTTAAAGACCATTTTGTTTTTCCATTATAAGGGTTGCTTTTGTATATATTTATAATTTATACAATTCAGAAAATAAAAGACAATTAGACTATTGTACTGAAGTTCCCCGAGTCTCTCTTTCATTGGGGTAGAAGGTTGAAAACTACTGGGTTCGTTGACCGTTCCTATATAATACTTGTTTTGTTATACACAGGTGGTTTGTTCGGTTCCCTTGACCGTGCTTTCAACAATCTTTTCCAACCAATCACGAACCAAAATGTGAATCCAATAACCAATATAGGTGAGTGAGTTTTTCGTCGTACTATAGCTAGATTAAAAGTAAATAAATTTAAAAAAAATTGTGGCCCCAAACGATTCAGAATACAGCAAGGAATAATTAACTGACCATTGGCTCACAGTTGCAACAACGACAACTCTCTCTTTCTCTAAATCTAAATATATATATGCCTAGTTGTGACTCGTTGAGTTTAAGTATTATTTTTGTTAAACAGAACCTCTAGATTTTCAGGCGGATCTCAAGCCTTGTGCTTACGATCCTCAACACATCCAACAAGGAGACGAGAAAATACACTTTCATCACGGTTATCGTTACAAAAAAGCATTATGTAACCAAGGTACTAATAGGGTTTATGAAGTATTCTGCAGAGACGGTGGTTGGATATTCGACAAGGAGGCTTGTGTGCGCCCACCAAATAATGGAAATATATTCAATACGAACTTACCCGGCGGAAGTAAGATGATATTTATGAATTGTTAATACTTATTTCACGCAAAATTCCTCGGTTGTTCCATTCATAAAATGTTAACTATAAGAAATATTACCCTGTTACTGTACCGCCACCCAGGGCCGGTTTCAAAGTGTTTGTCGTACCATTCAACGTTTTTTAATTAACACGGAGTGCACCTATGAATCGTTTTACCGAATTGTTGTTGTTACTGTAAAAAAACGCCTTTCACGACCGGGCCAACCTATTTCAGAATATACCTGAATATACAAAAAAGCTATTGAAGGCTAAGCCTTATATTTTAGGACTACGGTGTCGTATATTTCAACTAAGTGTTGCTAGTTTACTTCAATTCGTGGACACATGGCTTTGACATTTGCGTACATCTATTTGATTGCTCGCTTTTTATTACATACTGGGTACATTATCTACAAAAAATCTAGTGTTGAGTGATATTGAATCAATTTGAGGCTTCCGTACCTACCATGAAAAAAAGGAACATTTTTGTCGATAATACTATTACATTTTATTTCTATGTAATCCATCAAAAAAAGATCTCCGTTTTATATGTAGTTTGGAGTGTGAATTTCTCAAATTTAATAGATTTATTCTTGTGACTCTAGTTCTCCATTTCAAAATAAGGTCATCAATAACTTAAATAAGTACCTGATTAGGCATGAATATGCAAGTTTGAAACATGTTTGTTCAAGATTTACATTTATTCTTTTTTTACAGTTCCATTGTGGCTGCTGGCTCTCGGTGGTAAGAATTTTTTTTTTTTAAATTTAAACGATACCCACTGATTATTTAATAGAACAATCTAGTCTCTTATCGAACACAAAGATCGATTCTCAAATTAATGTAAAGATATGTCATTGAATAATACTATATTTTTTAGAACTTGTGACAACCACTAACCACTGGAAAATAAATTCATTTTATGAACAATGCCATCTAAAATGATTTGCAAAATCTTTGCCAATGTTTTAATTTACATCATTCGAAATTTTCAGGTTGAACAAATTCAATGATTTTATTGCAAAGCTGTCCACGATCGTGGTTCGTAAACGTCTGGACTCGGATGGTGTTCTGATGGAGAAACATTATAAGCTTTCTAGATTATTCTACTCATACATTTTATTTGTCGGTTGAATTAATATCTTAATTCAAACAAGTGTTTAATAAAGTTTTACATTTTGAAATATAGATCTAATGTATATGAGGGGATCCGGGCTTCAGTTCAGAACACTTCATAATCCAGGATCTATTTTTACTCCGCTTTTGCTGAAGAAGTTTCGCTTGGAATAGGGAGTACATTTCACCAAAAAAAAAAATTTGCCTCGTTAAATTAGTCCTCTACATTCAACGTGAGATATTGCATAATGTAACGAAGCACTACAGTCCGAGTTAGATAATGAAATAGAATTAGCCTGTCAACCTAACGCGCCAACTATAGCCATTCCACCAATGAGTCAATGACGGGCTATCACAGGGCTGCCATAAGGTGCTTTGTGCTTTGTTGTTATCAGTTGATAGGTCAAATTAGCTCTACTAACCGATTTTAAAGTACTGTTTTATTTCGTGGTTATATTTAGTTCATTACCTTTATAGTTAGTATCAAGTTCAATTGCGTGGAAAAAGCACTTAATGCATGAAATTAAATCAGACTTTGTTTATAATTAAAAATTACACATCACAAAATATTTGCTTACGGCAAATTAGGTACCGTTACCGCTCGTTACGTTTATACTTAAAGTTCTTAGAGAAAGTAGGCGACATCCCCAGGCTTCGATATCTGCTACGTTGTGGTATTTTTATCCCAGCGTCGTTGTTTGCAAAAATCATTCCTATTTGTCGCCTGACGGAGATGGCCAAAATCACGTTAGCCGTGGTAGTCTACAGTTTTGTTTTGGTGCTTGGGATTTATGCAGATGAGTATGGTAAGAATATCTGTATTATACAAATACCTAGGACAATAATATTTCTCTTTTCGTAGTAAAACGGGGAATTGTGTTTAATTAGAATAATATTCCAATCGGGTGTATCCTGTAAAATATTTTGGATAGGCACTAAATGAAGACTACTAATGAAGTTGATACGCGGGAAAACAAAAATTCAGATTAGCTAGGGTTTCGTTGTTAGGGAATTACTTCAAACCTCAAAGGATTCAAGTTTGTCTAGCTTTGCGATATATACTTGAAATAAATAACGAAATAAGAGTAATCCATCGGGAGTGCCAGTCCCAGTTTATTCGTACAGAAGAATTAATCATATGACAGATAACGAAACCAAATGAGTGTTCGAATTTAGTGAAGTTTTTTTTTTCGATAAGTCGAAATCCATTCTGTTATATGTTTGGGGCTTAGAACAAACAATTCATTCCAGCAAATCCATCATCCGCTGCCTCGTCCTCAGTTATTCACAAATCAAGGGGATGCATCCATCTCCCACGATACATGCACACCAGGGACGCAGGTCAAGTATGGGGAAATGGTCGACAATATATAATGCATTGCGACGACAAGGAAAGATCATTTACAGCAACATGCCGAAATGATGCGTGGGTTTTTGAAGACAATTTCTGTCAAGGTCCCGTCTCTACAGGCGGATTTCTCTCAGATCGTTTTGGGTCAATACAGATTGGATCCGTTAGATCTGATCCTCCTCCATATCGACCACCCAGTATTATACCGGCAGCAGGTACATAACAGCCTTCTGCTAACGCTGTTGTGCAGTACGTCGGTGGCTTGAAGTTGACAAAATTTAACAATCGGCATTGGCTGAAAATATCATGTTCATTGTCATCAATTAACTCAATAATGTAACACGTTAAGTACTTTCACACTAGCATTTCATCGTTACTTTAAAATGTATCAACTTTAGGGGAATGTTTAGCACATTGAAATTGAAGTTATCGAAATCATTATTATGAGAGTTCATCTCTGAGTTTTTTCAAACGCTGGTCGATAAATTATTTAGTTTTTGAGTTTTATAGCATATTAACTGAGTAAACGAATTCAATACAAAAATAAGGTGAATGTAGCCTTACAAAATTGAGATCCATATTAGAAACAGATGAAGGGAGTAAAACGGAAACCCTATGTTCTCATATTTGAATTCTGAAAAGATTTAACACAACTAAATAAATTAAAATCTATATCTCGCATTATATTAGTGAGATACACCATGTTACTACAGACGGACCAAAAATATATAGGATTGAGCAACAAAATTCATTTCTTCTATTGCATTTCATCTTACTAGTAATATCAACATTTATTCTAACCGTTTCAACTAATGCGACTATATAATAACCACTAAATACAGCTACTATCACAATTCTCACTCAACTGATAATAGATTTCAGTTTAATAATTTCTAATAGTGTATATATATAATTTTTCGTATTAATTTCATTAGTTCACGAGAGTTCAGAGGTGAATCAAAACAAAGAGTGACGCTTTTTGAATATAATTTTGAGATAGGGTTTTCAGAATAAATGATGTCTTTCACTCAATGTAAAAAAAAATTACCGTTGCTGCTTCGAAGGCACAGACTTGATTTCTTTCTGTGCTGGAGTGCGAAACATTTTTGGAATTTGAATAAAATTTTACCAGATGTATTGAGTGAACTGAAAGAAATTAAAACTCCAATTTATTCCAGCATATTCCGGACCCGACGATCATGCACAAGTCGTACACAAACCAAAAGGTTGCATACATCTGCCTGGGTATATGGATTCGTCGGATGCAGGAAAAGAATGGGCGGAGAATCGTCAGTACACAATGAAATGCGAAGACGGAATAAGATCATTTGTAGCAACATGTAGAAACCGAGCTTGGGTTTTTGATCAAAACTATTGTAAAGGACCTCTACCGTCAGGTGGACTATTTTCAAAACTATTTGGGCCAAAGCAAATTGGATACGATAGACCTCCACCACGTCCACACCACCAACCCGATGTTAAACCAGTTGATCTTGGTTACCATAACGGCGATAAAATATCGACAGGTATATGATTTAATATACTCTTATATTTTGCCCGTATTATACATGTTCGGCTAGTACCACTTTGTTGACAAGACGACCATTTTTATCCGTATTTCAATAATTTAATTAGACCCTCAGGGCACTTCCAGGAATGATTCATAATTAAATTATACATAGCACATTTTTACGAATTTTCATAAAGTATCGATAATTTTATTTATCCATATACTAATTTAAGGCCATCGGAGTTATTGTATACTGGGGTACATGTAAGAGGAGATTTGTTTCATTACATTGCTGAAGGTCCGATCGTAATCTTTTGTCTTAATTTTTTAGGGTCACCAGTACTCGATGGTCTCGTAGACTCATTGCAAAACCTGTTCAAGCCCTTCACAGCAACAAAAGATTCTCAACAGATTGATGTGGAACACGGTAATTTTGTACCAAGGTTTTATTTCATAATTACGTTAGTTTTTCGTAATATAGGGGCAAGAGACAACATACTCAAAAACAACGAAAGGGTTCATTTAGTAATATTGTGTTCGAAAACAATTACTCATTTGGTCATTCATAGACTGGAAGTAACTATACATAGCTTTTTCTGGAGACAAAGCAGTTTTCAAAAAAATTCTCGCCAAACTCGTATATCTCGTTTTACGGTATTCAGAGAAAAGTTTTCCATTTTCGACTGAAAATTTAGGCAAGCGTCGACGACTTTTCATATTTCATCCATTGCTTTATTTTTAGACCTTTATGGTGGATTCAACAATGCATTTAACAATCTGTTCAATTTTGGCGGAGATCAGAGAGGTTAAATATTTTATATTTTCCATGATTATCATATTTAATCAAATCTGATATAAGATGAAAAATGGAAAGTGGAAAATTCTTCAGTGCTGATTTTTAATTTGGATATTTATCATTATTATCAAGTAGTGCATCTATGCAATCTGTTAAAAATGTTCCTCTGAATGCATTTATTCATATGCGGTCGTTTCGGCTAACAAGCTTTTTTAAAATAGTAATATTTGGCGTTAAGTGCCTTTGGCGTTTGCCTAACAAACGCTTTTCCTCTGTCTGTTTGAACAAGTCAGTTTTTTTTTTTTTTTGATAATTTGACAAAATTCAAATCGTCGCATGATCAATTTATTCGATCAATGTGAGATTCAAAATAGTCAAATAAATATAATTGAAACATTTATAAAGACTCCAATGAAAAAAGTGAAAATGACAGCGTTCCAAAAACAACACAATTATGCAATTACATTCAAATTTGTTTGCAATTGCAATACTTGATGCGCAACATGTAAAACGTAAACGCAAATTGCAGTCATTATTGTATCTCACTTATGCTCTCTTTTAAACATACAGATGATTACACGGCATGTTCATATGACTCAAATCATATCAAACCACAAGACAGTGGAAGGACATACGGACATGGGTATAACTACAAAGCGGTTTGCAAACAACACTACGACCGATATTATTATGCAACGTGTAAGAATGGACAATGGATCTTTGACGAAGGCCCATGCACAAACCAACACTACACCAATAATCCATTCGACAACATATTCACTTTCGACGCTGACTTCAGTGGTGAGCGATGACATGATTACTATTTAGTTATTAGACAGAAAATGGGCATCTAATTGATTTTGTTACTATTGTTTCGATAAAAATGATTTTCTCTTCAAATTTGCAGTCGTCTAATACAAAAGTACATTCTACATTTATTTTTGTATTACATTCCCTCCAGGCTCCCCGGTGCCGTTTAAATTTGAACGAATTGTAAATCTGCGCCTTCGTGTAGCGATTTGCGATTTTGTGTCCATGTCCATGAAGATTGCAATCTTGTTTTCTGAATCGTACACAAGTGCAAGAATTTATTCAACTTTTTTGTACATATAACTATGATATATATATCTTTGTGATAGGATGTATATTTTGTTAATTTTGAAGTACCTCTTTCCAACCAAAATTGCATTTAATTTATATCGAGCGGTGAAATTTCATGATTTAGAAAAATAATCATATCTGGAAAATTATCACTCTTTAAAATATATGCATATATGCTCGCATATATGATCATTTTTGACAGGTTTATTCAGCGGATTTAATGATTTGTTTGGCAACCTATTCAACAGTGGTCCATCTACAGGCGGGGGTAAGTTATGAAGTAAATTCAGTTTTTTTTTCATTTTTACAGAATTATAATAGTTTGGTGACAGTTCTTGATTAAATAAGTATAACTTCATGGATTTGATCATTTGTTTGGCAACCTATTCAACAGTGGTCCAGCTACAGGCGGGGAAAAGTTATGGAGTAAATTTAGTTTTTCTTCATTTTTACAAATTTATAATAATTTGGCGACAGTCCTGGATTATATAATTATAACTTATAATTTGCCAAAAATACATATTTTCGAGTATTTGTCACACATAACCTGTCCCATTTTTGTTGTCTGGTTCTTCATATTTTAGTATTTGTGTAATCACAGCTCGCCGGTAGATAATTCTAAGGCATACACAGACATATCTGTATACGTGCATTATATTAGTATCCACGCCAATATCAGCTTTGTTACCTATCGATTTTAATCGGTAAGTATGTTGATAGGTATTTGTCTGTCTGTATGTCTGTTTGCCTGTTAGATGCACGCGATATCTCACGAAAGCGAGATTGAATCTGCTCCAGATTTTGCATGTGCATTCATCTTATCTCGGACCAGAAGCCTATTGATTTTGGGCGAATTATGTCGTATAATTAGCGAGTTATTAATTAATTAGTGATGGGACACAAGGTGTCACTATGGGGTAAAGACGCTGTTTTGGGGGATCCCCTAACTTTCGATCTATAAGTCTTCGGTCTCTGACCGATATTCTCGTACCTATACTTTGCAGATTACAATAAGTGCGCCTACGACCCAAGGCGCATGAAGGGCGATTACAGCAGTGGAACTTACAACCATGGCTACCAGTACAGAGCAGTCTGTGAGGGGTACACCGATAGATACTTTTACATCATGTGCAATGATGGACAATGGGTGTATGAAGAAACGACTTGCTCATCGCCTGGACCGCATGGTACTATTTACTATTTAAATACAAATACCTTCTTAAAGTAACTGAGTTCATTTTGAAAAGTGGGATTCGATTTTTCTTATTTAGACAAAATGCAATGTTTGAATAACAAATTTCTGTTTTTAATTGTTTTCAGGTTCATCGTTTTTCGACAACATGTCTTCTGCCTTGAGAGATCTTTTTGGGCCTTTCCTTGGTACAGGAGAGCATCATGGTAACTTTTCAATTCACAATTGTTTAATGAAAATGTATGACTCATGTCTGAGGCACAAATAATCATACTTTCAGTTCGGCATTTGGTGTCTAATCTCAGAAATTCTTTATAATATCTAGAGCAAATAAAATGACATTCGCTTAATTGTCAAAATTGCACAAGTTTTATTTTTATTTTTTACAAAATATACGATTTAGTTCCCAATTTAACACATTGTTTTCCCTGCTTAGGAGACTACAGAAGCTGTACTTATAACCCTGTTCATATCAGGCCTGACGACGGTGGGAAAACGTTTCGTCACGGACATCAATACACCTCTACTTGCGAACAATATCCAGGACGACATTACCATGGCATCTGTAATGATGGTCGATGGGTCTTCGATGATACGCATTGCTCAGAAGATAAATCTTATAGCGAGGGTTGGAGAATTGAATATCTTAAAATTAAATGTTACATAAACACATATAGGGTTTATAAACACACACTTGTTTAACTATATCTATACGCATGAACGACTATTTTTAATGTATTGTTATATATTAGAAGGAATTTATTCATTTTATATTTATAGAGGACGCACTTTTAATATATGTGCACAGACGCATACATATTAATAAGCTAGCTAGATTTATTCATATTCAATATACAGGTGAGTTATCGCATATGTGTGATCAAAGTATAAATAAAGAATGTGCAAAATACTTTATAATATTTTTTTTGATATCATGTATATGATGTATTGCATTCACACAGGTGGGTCGTTTATGGAAGACTTTGCATCAAGTTTGAATAATATATTCAAGCCATTAACAGGAGGTTATCATAATACACAACGAGGTGAGAATGTTGATTGATAATTCGAAATGTAAGATTGAATACTTTTTCGGTTTTCGACGATCGAGCAAAAGGCGAGCAAAATTGAAATAGGTCTATATGAATTTCTATAATGTATTCTCTTAAGAACTAGTATTGTTGTTGTTGTTTTTTTGCAAATATTAGCAAGACAAATAGAAGGTCCCGAGAATACACTCAAAATTGAAATCCAGTAACTACTGCAGTGCCACAACTTATGATATTAGAAAATCAACAAATATCGATTCCAGCGACTCGTGCTCAATACTATATGTATTCTAAGTGCTCAAACTTTACCATCTCATATAAAAAAAAAATCTTTATTATCATGCAGGTAGCTACTCAAATTGCCAATACAATCCTACTCATTTTGCACCCGAGGATCACGTGAAAACATTTTATCACGGATTCAGCTACCGAGCAGTATGCAAGGGATACACTGACCGATATTACTATGGAAAATGTGAAAGTGGTCATTGGACTTTCGATGAAGCAGCATGCTCATCCCCACAGCCACAAACAGGGAACGGTAAGCGCAAGTTTTATGCAAAGAATGAGAACTACTAATTCGGTATGAAAAGCAATACACTTTAGTCGAATGAATATTTGTAGAAGGCGTTGTACGGGCGCTATAACTGGGTCGTGACCCTATTAGGCTACAAAAATTGACAATACAGTATTGTAAAAAAATCTGTCTTATAGATATATATATATATATATATATATGATAAAATGAAAATGGTAACTAATAACATCTTGACCGTTATTGCTTACTTGAAAACAACCAATTCCTCAAAACCCCAAAGACAAGTTCGCATTCTAATGTGTACTCGTTTTTTAAACCAACACTCAATCAAAAAATGATATTGTCATCAATTATTCTAACTTTATTTTCAGGTCTGTCAGGTTTATTTGACAATTTTGCTTCAACCTTTGATAACTTGTTCAGCCCCCTCACTGGCTCACAAGGTAAATATTATATATCATGTTTTATTACTTTTTGAAACTACTGTGTTTGTTAGCAAGTGATTGTAACGAAGACGAATATCTTTATGTTGAATGTTAGACTTTAAATTTATTGAATTGCGAGTTTAGTTGGTATATAGGCCTACACTTGGTTGCAATATGATGTTCACCAAATAAACATCTAGAGACCAAACAATTTAAAAAGCCATTTCCAAACTGTCTCGTCGTGTTCATACGCATATAATTGATATCTTAGCCAAAAAGGCCACATAAGCGTATAAGAAAACTGCTTATGTCGTAAAAATTACTGGTATTTTACTACTCAGGAACTCTCAGTAAACACCTATTACCCACTCTAAGAAAGCATTTTCAATGTGTTGAAATTGATAGTTTGTAAATAACTTGTAAACAACATGCTCAAGTTACAAATTTTCATAATATCTGCGTACTAGCCCAAAGCAAATTCATTTTTCTACGCACTGACTGTATTTTGTTTGGATACATTACAACCGACGAAAATATGTTCCCCAATTTGTTACGTCACAATGACTATTCCCAATGATTCGGCCGACAGCTTACGTTTCCATATATTCAACAGTCTTTATTGTATCATTTCGGTAGTCTATGCAAGTTTGGAATTCTGCCTGAATTTTGAAAAAAAGCGAATGCAATAGTTATATTGTATCGAATGTGCATTGTGTAACTATGGATTATAATGTATTTAACCCTTTCATATTAATAGCATGTAATATTTCCAATATAGGCCGCATTATGTTTTGCAACAGCGATAATGCATTCGCTCCATGTATTGCCTTTCTCGTTTCGACCAATTTGATGACGTATCGTTTCCGGTTTGCCGAGATCGCTCTATAATATTGTGCTTTTTGTTTCACTTGTGATCTGACCGTAATCTTACTGCATTAAGAATTAAGTGTGTACAATTTTATCTGTATTTGGAATTTGGAGATTGGAGTCACATTCCATAACACGTCCAAAAATATAGGGATAGGGATAGAGACTTAGGGATAAAGACTGTTCACCCTAATATTCAAAGTTCGATTCCCACGTTATTAATTTCACGTGTTATGGAATGTGACTCCAATCTGGATTCCCTCAGACGATAATAAGCACACGATGTTGATTGTCGAATTGTGTATATTATTGAAAAGATGCATGATTTAAATTCCAAATACAGATAAATTGTACACACTTAATTCTTAATGCAGTAAGATTACGGTCAGATCACAAGTGAAACAAAAAGCACAATATTATAGAGCGATCTCGGCAAACCGGAAACGATACGTCATCAAATTGGTCGAAACGAGGAAAGGCAATACATGGAGCGAATGCATTATCGCTGTTGCGAAACATAATGCGGCCTATATTGTGAAATATTACATGCTATTAATATGAAAGGGTTAAATACATTATAATCCATAGTTACACAATGCACATTCGCCACAACATACGTCAATGCTTGTACCTTTTTGTATCCAGGTAATAGATGTGCTTACAGTCCTATGCACCACGGATCTGGAGATAGCGGAAAAACATTTTCTCATGGATATAGTTTCAATGCGATGTGCAAAGGATATACAAACCGATATTACAATGTACGATGTAACGACGGGCAATGGATGTATGATGAAAGGCACTGTTCAACATCAGTTGTCCATCCTCTGTAAAATGTGCTCAGAAATCACTCAAAACAGCAGCATGACAACAGCATTACATTTTTGTTGAAATGTTGTTGACAGTACTTTGTATATGTATGATGGCCATGGGTAAACTTTATGTACATTTACCAATGTCATCTTTTATTCTTCGATAAATAAGATGCCTCAGCATTTCATAAGGGTTTTATTGTACTAACAATATCGTTGTCATTTATCATTTTATGCTTGTTACTGGCTATTATTAAATTCAAATATAAGGTAAATAATGAACCACAAAACTTATGTGTACGTATTTTTACAATTGCTGCAAGACAGGGGCGTGGTTTTACAGCTTCTAATTTTATACTTTCATATTATGGTAGTAATTTCATGTTCTGTACCAGGTTGCACGTCATTTTTACATCAAATCAGCCCTCAATTTGCCTCTGATCTTATGAAAATTGCTTAATTGTAGAATTCTCCTTGTTTATGAAATTTAAATGTCGTGTTATCTACGTACAACCAATTTTTATTACTCTGGTAAAAGTGGAGAGATCGCTCACTCATACTGGTAACAGTCGGTGGTTGACTTTTAGATTATCTTGATTTGCCGACGTTTCAAATCCTGTCAACATATACACAACATATCTGATCGAAAGCGATAATGATTTACGCAGAGTAATGATAAAGACAATCTATTTATACGCACTGTAACAGTTCTGGAACAGATTCTAAAAAATACGCAAATTTCCATGACTTTTCAAGATTAATGATTACCAAGTAGATTAGCTTTGGAAACAATAGCTGGCTGGAAAATTATAACTGTTATATTGTTGGTCTTTCAAGCCTGACATAAGAAAGGATCGATGGTTCAGGACGATATCTATCTTTGATCGTAATTCACCAGTAATTCTTTGACCAGACAACTTAACTGAATATGCAGCCAGGCCAAGCGAATACGCGAATCGGTCATGTTCATCTTAACTTATATTCTATTCACCGGAAGCATAAATAAGTGTAGGTGCTGAAATGGTGTAACTAATTAATGTGTAACTTTTACGTAGTGTAAAATAAGTGTCCATCTCATAATGATACGATTGTACAATAAGTTAACGATTTTTAATAATGTTATTGAATCATCCAAAATTAAATTTATATTCATTAGACCAAAATACAAATAGGCTTTTGATTATCTTAGATTGGATAGTTGAATACAGTATAACGTACTGTAAAGCACATCTAAACCTACCGCTGTAAGAGCAAAACAACATGAACAAATTGGTGTTTGTTAGGCAGTTTGCGATCACGTATCAGTACGATAAAGAAGATAAATATATAAAAACAAGCGCGAATAACACGTCACAGGTGATATTGAATTATATGCAATTTACGTATTATTGTACTTATTGTTACACACCCAGAGGGTCATGACGATAGCAAAGTCGTTATTTGATATTTTCGCTTTCAGTAATCCATTATTATGTTCGTAAATTTTGGCGAGGTAATAATTTGTGAAGATATTAAACTTTTCGTAAGTGCGCCCACAATTTAAAATTATTTCAACCGAAGAAGCATACGAATCGAGCAGCTCCAACAACTTAATAAATAGCAAGGAGAGGGAACAATGCCCAAAGGCAGTACCAAAGTTACAGTACAATACGTAAACATAAAAAAATTATCTATATTGTATTAGTATAAAAGAAAAATTCCACCAATTGAACAGTCATATCACACTGAGTAATCGTGTTCTATAATTTCACACACATAGTAGAAATGAAAGAAGAAAATTGTAAATAAAAATCATTAATATATACAAAATTAGAACAATAAAAAGAATTTCATACTTCAATGGATAGATAAAAACCAATAGTATTGCCTATGCATTACTTTTAATTTGTGGAAGATGGCGGCTAATCAGCACCAAAGTTGAAGATTTATGTCCTGTTTTATAGAATCTTCATTTAAAATCGTGGTTATGCGAAGCGTCCAAAAAGAAAAGACCATTTAAAAGGCAATATATATACAAAATTTAACTATTCTCTTTCCTCTTTTTCTCTGGTATTGCAATACAAGTATGAAAATACCGTTTAACAATGTATAATGGGCTTTGCAAAGCAGAAAAAATAGTTAGAACTTTTGATTGTCATTGAAGTTCGATTCGAGTTTTTTGGCAATTTTCAACCTACTACATATTCGATTCGTTTGTAGAGTTACTTGCTCCCTTTGAGTTTCTGTTTACGGCACCATAAACATCAGCTGGTTCGTGGGATCCATTCAAATTACCGTTTGTACTGCAATAATCAGAAAGTTTTTACTCTAGTTTAATTAGATTAGCAAAATGTAGTCTATGTAACTTCAAATTCTACAATTGAAAATGTTTTTTTGAATTAAGCTAGTTTTTAAACATATTTTTCTTTGTAGCAGTGCGTAGTTGTAAAACTTGTTTACATTTTAATTGGAACTACCGAAGGCCACCACCCGTTTTAACACGTTAGAATTGTTCCTTTACCGCCACCTACTGTGAGTTAACTTACCTATGATGCCCATTTTGATAAACGTTATCATTGGTTGTACTTGAATTAATAAGAACTGGAGTTTCCAATCTTTCTCTTCTCTGAAAATAAGTGAACCAACTATCACACTGCTGAAGCTTTTTGACAGATAGAATTCAATAATTGATCGTCATATTTAAAGCATATTTAAGAACAAGAGATCTATGCTCAAATATATGGACACGTGGCGTCACATAGTGGCAACTTTTGATGACGTCTAGCACAAAAAAAACGAATGCCATGCAGCTCACCGGAATATTTGAAATAAAAAAAGCAATAGCCTTCTAGCGAAAAACCTAATCTTCAATCAATGAAAATTTTGAAGCAATTGGCAGGCTTGTTCATGGGACATATTTTTTGTCCCATTCCCATCCCATAGCAATTATGCCTGTCCCATCCCATCCCATGGGATTCCTATTGGAATAAAATTCAATAAAAATTGTTAAATTTGGGTTTAGCGTCTACTAAATAGGACTAACAAAACAACAAATTTTATGCACTTTGTTAACTTTATATTCAAACCTATAATAAATGTGTCCATCAGCCCCTTCACGAAGTATATTGCTAATGCTGAATATATTTGGCTCTTCATAACTAACAAGAGAGATATTCTCAAATATATAGACACGAAGTTCATAACGAAATGTTTTACCATCATTTTCCCGAAATCCTACGGTTTTCGTGTCCCATGGGATATTCAAATGTATGCTGTCCCATCCCATCCCATGGGGCGTTTCAAATGGACAAGCATGACAATTGGTCCAGTAATCGAAGCGAAAAGCATTTTTTTTTCATAACGATACCAAGAATAATACAAATAAAAACAACAAGAAGAAGAGTTCCAGCAAAAAATGCAAAACGATCGTTATGTCCATTAACGTGTCCAATAATTTAACTTACCCTGCGTCTTCGTCGATGATGCAGACTACAAATCAATATGATCAGCAGAACCAAGAATATCAGGAAAAATGATGCAGCAACCACAATAAGCACAATGACGAGGTCAACTATATAAAATGAAAAATGAAATTTGTTATTTTGTGAAACTCCGTAGATTGAAGACACTTACTGTAATAGAACTGGTGTTTTGTCGGTGAAAATAAACACAAATGCAACAGACACAGACACACGAACGTTTGGTTGACTTTACTAAAATTAAGTGTTTAGTATTCACAAGACTTCTAGTTACTGACTTTTCATTTCAAAATAGCGATTGATTCATATGTATATATTTAATTGAACCTTTATTCTGGGTGAAGAGAAGTTTTTATTGATAATATTAACTCCATGGCGCCATAAAACAATCTAATTTTGTATCTCCAACTTTTAGGAGGCTGTCGATGTCGTCAGACTTTGAATACAAGAGAGCTAAGCTCAAATATATGGACTCGTCACAAGGTGTCGCTATTTTTTATTCTGACACATAAAAAACGAATCTCTTGAAGTCCACAGAAATTATTGAAATAAGTAAAAGTGATAGCCTTCTGGCGATAAAATTAATCTTTAACCACTGAAAATTTCAAAGCAATCAGTCAAGTATTCGAAGAGTAAAGTTATTTTATCATGACCAAGGAAAAGAATAATAACAATAACAAGAGAACTATGCTCAAATATATGGACACGTAGCGCCACCTAATAGCAGTAATTTTGATGACGCCATGGCAAAAAAAAAGTAATAGCCTTCTGAAGAAAATTTTTATCTTTAACCACTGAAAATTCAAAGCAATTGGTCCAGTAATCAAAGAGTAAAGCGACTTTTTAAAAACGTGTCAAAGAACAAGAACAACAACATAATATTGAAACGATCGCTATGTCCACTACGTGTCCAATAACAATTAGCAGGTAGTAAAATAAACAGATTATTTAGGAATACAACGTAAGCCCCGGTAAAAGTACAAATATGTTACCTCTAGTTTCCGTCGTTCCTTGTGCTGTTGTGTTAGTAACACTAGCTGAATCTAATATCTTCGCCGAAGTTACAATATACTGATCCCGGGGCTGATTGCAAATCTACGAAAAAGTTGCTTTTTGTAATTACCATCAATCACATAAGCTACCTGAGGTGCTACATCCTTTTTATGTACGAATAACGAGGTAATTTTAAATGAGAGCTTTGAGTCGAAACAATTTATACGATAACATTTTATTTGTTCTGTGTTATCAAACCGACTTGTGTTTTCAAAAAAAATAGTTGCCACAGTTGAGAGCCAATTTTATTGAGTCTTAGAGCAACGTATGAATTTTGAAAATCTATTTTTAATTTCTTTTTCTTTTTCACTATAACTAAAAACCATTAAATATATAAATCTTACCAAAAGACATCCAATTATTCCAGGACATTTTGTTGAGATATCACATTGCAGATAGAAACTATTCACACTTTCTGGGGGCGGAAGGAGAAATTTTCCGTATAATTTGTGAACTCCTCGTGCGTAGTCAAATTCGGTGTAGTAAGCAATTTCTTGAGAGCATCTGTCCAACATATTTGATATAGTGAATTAGTTAAATTCTAATTCCACATTAATATATTGCTCAAAAAGGGTGTTTATTTTGTATAGTCGTCTCCAGTCAAATTCCACCATAACATCACTGGGGATTCGATATTTAAAGCGATCGGGGGGATAATTTTCAAAACAAAATGCTGAAGTATTTTTGCAACACTTGAGGGACGATTTATTGTTTGAAAATTATATAATTTAAAATTTAAGCTTTCCAAGTTTTGGTGCGGTTCCAGTCAAATTTCATTTCCAATGACGGAATCGAGAGCAAAATATAGATTTATTTGCATCAAATCTAACAATAATGTTGCCTTTACGTGGTTGAACACCCTGTAAAATTAACTGATATATATTCGGCGACAAGTATCAATATTTCATTCTGAACACCTTCTTAGTTTTAAGTGTTTTTTTTAAATAATTTTCAAAAAATATTATGCTTATAGCCAAACCTACCCTTTCTTGAGTATGTGATATTTTTCACCGCTGCTAGGGTCTGTAGTTAACCAACAATCATACATTGCCAAAGATACACCTTGATTTGTTACAATGGCAGCAAACACCCATGAATCGCGATTTAATTCGGGATTGAGCAGTCGTTGTGAATATGTTTGGTCCTAAATGTAATTAGTTATAATGCACGTGATATCAGTGAGGTATCATTAAATTATGAAATATTGTAGTAAACATTTTTTAGTGTTAATAAGTAATTAAAAATCATTTCAATCGTTGTCTTTCTAAAATATATATTCAATCCGGGAAATACAAGCATTCAATAAAATTTTCAAGTGAAATTAAGTCATGGACAAGAAGATAGATTGAATAATCTTTGTTTTGACTGCTAGACAACTAAATCATATGACAAGAATATTTTATAAGAAGTCCTAACATCCAGTTATACCCTGTATATATGAAGTGAAGCACAAATACTGGTTAACGGACTTGTTGTTGAATTTACGATTGAGCACTGAGCATTGGCGAAGTTGAGGTAGATCATGAATATGAATCCTGCTAAAGATAACATTTATATGAATTAGCAATAGTTGAAAACACAGTAATTTATCTACATGCATGTATAGGAGATATAATTGAGATATATGGGGTGGCAGAAGCGATGATACATTGAAAAACTTCAAAAACACACCACCAATACGCATTAGTGCCAAAAATAATGGACCTCACACAAAGAATAAAGAGCACGTAATGTTATCCTTTGAGGGCTTAACCATAATGCTAGGGCAAAGATGATTCCATTTTTACTTATATCTAGCTATATATTATATATTAGTTAATATTATCACTACTAAAATTATAAAGAAAATTACCAATTGAAAGATGCTGTAGTTGTTGACTCATACTGCTATATTCAGTACTCCGCTGTTTAAATATTCTTTAAAAAAAATCTGCAGTATATGTATCTTGGGGTATATGGCTTGCAGTATATATATCTTGAACATTAAACAAACATTTACCGATTCTTACAGCATAAAATATGATAAAACTGAAAATATATCCATAGTTTTAGTTGGGAAACAAAAATAGAGGGAGAGATCTCGTACTTCGTACTAAAAATCAATTGATGAATCACTTCACTAAACTTGGATAGTTCGTATTCTTTGTTCTCGTCTAAGCATAAGCTTTTATCATAACAAGAGTCTATATCTTTATTGCTCGATTTGCCCTTATCAATTTGACTTTTCTATGAAATATGCTGTAGATATTATACGACAAATAGTCTAACCGATATTTTCACTTTTCTCGTAATAAAGCTTTTTTTGAAAATGTGTAACGTTCATAACGCGAATCTTGAATAAGGGTTGGGTAAGGAAATTGAGCGTTACATTATTAAATGGGAGAAGTACTCATGTTGGGGTTGGGTCGCTGACGTCACTGAAATGACTGGTCGCTTGTAAACCCCATCGCTCATAAACCTTATCGCGAGAAATGATTCGTTTCAGATGAATAACTGTCGATAATAAACCGCATTTGTCAAATGAATATTTGGTTAAGCTTATATTAATATACCATAAATGACCTTAGTAAACTTTACTATTGAATGCTTAATTTAGAACAATTCTGCTTTAAGTTGAATAAAATCTGAATGGATTTCAAGAGCAAGACACATATAATTAAAAATAAAACTAGGAGAAACTTTGTATATGAGCTTCAATATTTTTCTTCTTTTTGACTTTTTTCAGGGGCCGAATTACCGCCAAACTTCCTGTAAGGGCCTCTCAATATGTAATATCGAGTGTATAAAGAAATATATTTGGTAAAATGTTTTCGAGTTCTTACTCTTGTCAGGTGTACAAGTGTAGGTGAAATTTAAACATAAAGGATCGTTTATTAAAAATAAAAATAAATCGGCTCGGTTTTAGAAAATATACTAAACGTCCACAAAGGTTCAAACTGAAAAATTATGATACCAGCCAAACAACCAAATTTCTCATTTTTTAATATTATGATGAAAGTAACGTCGCATCGCTCCCCCTTATTCCCTTGATTGTGTCATCACACCTAACCCGAAACTACCTAAGTTATCAGAAGGCGTGTCGTGTAAATTTAGTAACCACGTCTTTTTTAAATTGGGAATGTCGAGTTAAAGTAAAAAAAAAACTAAAGAAATTTTTTTGTTCATGATAATATAAGCCAGGCTACGCCGGGTCGTATCTTCAACGTCTACGCCAACAACATATAGCGCATATATGATGGGATTCACAATTTTAAGAAGGGTTATCTTTTGTATCAAAATCACAACAACAGGTTCCCTAATTTCAGAAATCATGCTGAACCTATATCTTCAAAACTGTACTTTATATTTACTAATGTATGTGACTACGTAAGCTACAATAGGACGAGACGCTATACATAAATCTGATACATAACTCACGAAACGCCTAATATAACATCAGTCGGTCAGCTCAAAATCGGGTTCGCTGCCCATCACGACATTCCAATAACGGGTTCGCTTGAACTCATGTTAACCCTCTCAATTCCACCTCTGCGCGTAAGTATTATTGCACGTAGCTGCACAAAAGAAACCTTTTCTCTTCTGCCAATATATATGTAATACCTCAAGTTTACAAATTTATTTTCGTGTAACGTACTTGCTAAAATATCAACATTTTCTAAATTACCATAGTCGAAGACAACTTTCACTGTCCGTCCGCTCACTGATCTTAGTTGAGTACGGATAATGCTGTCGGTCCCTTTCTTTCAAAAATTGTCCTATTAAAACACAAAACAATCATTAATTTATGGTAAATGAAACGTAGCGCCCATGTGACATTACATGAAATAATTCTCCACATTCACTGACCAATTTAAGTTTTATATGGAAAGGAATTACTGGTTGCCACACCTTTATGTTACGCTTTCTTACTCTCAATTAGCCGACACGACAAGGTAAAGATTTTACCATATGCCACGATGTGTTTACCAGCCTGCATCTTTACAAGATTGCGTGTTTAGCAAAATCTTAACGCTCAATAATGATAAGAAATACGATTGAGAATAAAATAGACAATAAAATTATTGCTGAAACAAAATATACATCAAGTTCCTTTACGGTCGAGTACAAGTTTGATCTTTTCTCGTCAAATTTTCTTTAAAATGGTAGATAAATTACCTTGTAACTATCATAACATTTTCTGATATTTTTTAGAGTACTTATTAGCTCTTTGAAGTGAAGTTTAAAAACATGGAGTTGATTTTGTTGTTTGCAATTAGGTGCGAATGAGCGGTTATGACTTGTTTAAAATCATAAACATCCAATGAGTTTAATGAAAAAATGACTTATGGCGCGAAAATTTTTGTCCGAGATATCTAAATAAAAAGTCAAAGATGAAAGAAAAATGAAACGAAATATTTATTGTTATCGATGAGCAACAAACAAAATTGATAACCATTGTTAACGGCAGAAACTGGATGACGATCAAAAAATTTACCCTGTGGTTAATGTTGAATCATGTCAAATAATTAAATACGCAATATATTTTGTTTAATGTTTTTATCGTTCCTTGTTCACCGTTACATTGTTTGTGTGGTTATTTCAAAATTCTCCAAAATCCAAGACAAACAAAAAAACAATACAACACTTTGAGAGTATTTTAAGACGAACATTGTTTGAACATATAGTCCATTTTCTCAGGGTCGTTAAAATATATCATACAGTATAGTTATTTAATTATGGATAGGATAGTTTAAGCGCACTGGATAATCAACTCGATATAAAATAAATTCATAATGTGTATTGAACTCTATCTTTTTGTGACAGTCTGTAAAGAACTCCACTATCCATGACCACATTTGAAAAGTTTGCTTCAAAACCGTGATTCCGGTGCGCTAAACTGTATTCACTAAACGTGCCAAACAAGGTTTATTGGTGTATTATCTTCCCATTAGAACTAATAGCATATTAATATCACAATTATGTAATGCATGTATATGATACACGATTCACAAGATGGACAAATCAATACACAAAGCAGAAAATTGATAATATAGCATCTGAGTGTTATTTTACAATCCGTATTCATTTGCCATGAGACGACAGGAAATCCGTTACCCATAAATTGTTGGATTCAAGATTTCAAAAGTCATTAGATCACATTTATATCAAAATGTAACTTAACTATGATTACTGAAATTCTGATACCGCCCGATACGGAATCTTGCAAATGAATAAATTTTATATTTTTCCGAAGACACTCGCGCGCAATGACTTCAATGGGTAGATGTATGTTCACTGTTAGTCATTTGATATAATGAATGCCAGCTGTTATGATATGAGGCAAATCACCCAGCAACTTGCGCGCAATCACCCGAAACAGTTTTTCTAAGACTACAACCATTTTCTATAACGGGTTCATGCGCACTATAGAAAAATATATAAAGCCTAGTGATAATACCACATTTTTGAATATATTTTCCAGAATTACAACATTTGACGAAGCGGCCACTTACAAATTACTGCATTGTATTGGTGCACATCTATGGCTTACGGATTACGAGCTACCATCGCGAAGTATAACCCAACACTTTACAGTATCACGGAAATTCAAGTCAATAAATTCAAAATGTTGATAGTATAGCCTATATATTTCCATCGCAATCAATTGAATGAGAGATTCAATTATTATGGTTTATTGTAAAACAATAAGACGACATTTTAAATAGGCGGTTCGGTTTGTTTGTACATTCGTTTCATGTTTCTTCCTTCTATTGTTACTGCCTTTTAAATTCACAGTCCTTTTGTTAGATATGTTGGATCAACTGAGCCTGTATAGAGATATTATAGGAGACTAGATGTTGTTAGTACCAACAGGAATATTGTGGACTTGAAATAAATTAGTAATGGAATAACTTGTGTAATCATGTGATCTAAAATTATTCAAATTGGGCAAAATAAGATAAAGAAATTTTATATCGAATCCTATACCTTTAGGGTTTGGCTTTTGAATTTAATTTCGAAATATGCGATTTTTTATTATCAGCTATGAATAATATGTTTAGTCATAAAATGTAAGTTTATAACGACAAATAGGCAATCGTTTCACTCGGTTTCCTGTAAATTCTGTGCTACGTGACATGATTGTACTCACAAAAGGAATTTGCGGATAAAATTTATTTATGTAACAAAGTATAATTAAATGTTCTGTAGAATACTGTAGCGATGATGTCATATGATTATTTTCAGAAATATGTGGTGTTTGAGTAATTCAAGTAGTAAGTTATATATTGTAGCCTCAGTTTTAGAGAAAAGCTCGCGATTGATCTCAATAATTGCAAGGGTTAAAATAACAAACTAATGATCATGGAACCTTCAAAATATATATCATTTTAAGAAACGACGTTTGAATTTGGAGAAGAGATCACCATCGACAAGTCCCAATACCAAAATATAATGGACACCAGACAGTTTTTGTTATTATTTTACAGATCAACGCCGAAATGTAATATGCCATAGATTTACGTTTGCAATTTTGATTCAGTTCAAAACCTAAACAAGATGTTGCCTCTCATAGCAGCAAACGATAATTGGAACGTACGACGTCAGGTGAGTTTGACATGAGTTGCGCGAGAGCAGTTGATTTAAAGCCGAGGTTGAAGTTAACAAATAGTATTGCCCCGAACCTGACTCAAACTAAGAAACGTCCAACTTCAAGCCTGCATTTGCTCAATCCATAACCCGAACAATTATATCAAACCGGACAGGGACGGAACTCTGATTTGTTGACTCATAATTTATACAAAAAGCCGTGAATGGCTCGAAGCATGTACAGGGCAGTTGTTGTTAACGTCCAAACGAACGCCCTGCTATTGCACGATTTTTGTCATTCATACTTGGTTAAGTTACTTGATTTGTTATATTAGTCATATAATATTTTTGCATCATGTGATGTTTTTGCATTGTATTCCCGTTTCGCCAGTAGGTTTTACTGCCTATAAAACTATGCTTTCAGCAATCAAGATCCCAAGCTCTATCTGGATTGCCAGCTTTCACTACTTCCATGTACACCGGATTTGCTCCTTTTGAAAGGACATCGAGTCCATGGAAGCATCATATTCCGTATGTACACGTTATATATTTGACGACTAAGATAAAAATATAAAATCAAAATATAAGCAATTTCATCTCGAAAATTAGAAACTTGTTCCCGTCGATCAATGGAACAAAGGTGAAAAAATCACCGATATAACACAAAATGAAATTCCAATAATTGTTTAGGATTTTGTAACAAGTTTCTATCGTATGAATACTCTTAACAATTTATGTCGGCACTCCTAAATCTAAATTCACCCGTGTTTCAAATTTATAGCGATTCGGAACATCAAAATTAAATGTTTGGTGCATTTTTATAAACTTAGCTATGAACTTGTATTATATTTCATCAACTTCAGAAACAGAAATTCTGCAGCAAAAAATTATGATAAACTATCAGAAGACGATGAAACCAAAATGTCAACTAAACAGGTAGTTCTGTTTACCATGTTGATAAGGGTTCCACAAAATATTCAATAGTTCATGATTGACTAAAATCAATCGAGTAGCCTACAACAAAGCAATTAACCGATGATAAAAAATCAAAAGTTTTGGATATATTGTTCATGCACTGATAATAATCAAAACCTAAGTGATACTAAAACTTTACTTATTCAAACGAATTATATCATTTATTACTATACTTTTAGTTTGCAAAACCTGCGACAGTAGTTGCGGCAAGATCATTCCGTTCATCCACGGTTTTAAGACAAGTTCCAATAATGCGACGACATCTGGATACTTTTGGTGGCCGAATATTTTCAATTCCTGTCAAAACAAAGCCTGTACCTGTACATACTGGTCGATTTTTGGTAAGTTCTCATTGAACTAGAAATGTGTTGGTGGGTTTAACCAAGTATTTATATGGAATCTTGAAGTAAGAGAATATATATATACATTCATATTCTTTTTACAGTATGATCCGGTTTGTCCACCAACCTATGCTGGGAAATTGTCACAAAATGAAAGATTGAAAGCAGAGGCGGAAATGATACAAAAAGTTCGAGGACAAAAAAGAAAAAGAGAAGCGATAGAACACAGGCAACGTTATTCAATTTTGAAGCCTTATTTTTGACCCTATATATATTCAGTTATGATGATCAAACATTTCGACCAGCATGGGATGGCCAACATATATTTTGGCCATAAAATCATGTTTTCGTCCTAGAATGTATAAATGTCTAGTCTGCGAGACAGAATATAACTGTATTCGGAAAAGATAAGCGGCATGAAATGAATCCAAACTGTTACTGATTACTTGGTTCCGCATGTTTTTATTTCAATTTTCCACTCCTCTGATTTCAATTTTCACTCTCTTGATTTATTCATCAGGTGGGGCTGGAGAAATTTTGATCTGTCTGGAATGGAAGTTGCTAGGAATGCTCGTTACAGCATACATGCTGAAATACAAAAACTAAAAGAACTTGCACTACCACCTGCAGCAAGAGAAATATATACTGGTCGCGGAATTCGACTGCCAAGGTAATTTGGAGAAAAGTCTAGACTAGACTATATACCTTAGCGTATATTTTCTCAGTAGTAGACTTGTAATATTAATTGACTTGTATGTTTACAGTACACATCATAGCATCAATCCTCCGAGAGCTCGTCCAGCCACCGAAGGACCCATTGCGCCTCCAGTAACCAGACGAGGTGGTACATTTCCAACACTTAGATCATCTGCAGCTCCCAGCTTTGCAGGACCTAGTGCGCCAGTCAAGGTACAAAGTCACTGGGAAGCTTCAGCCCATCTTCAGTCAGAGCAGCAATCGAGAGCTTCAACAAAATTGCAAATTCAGTCAGTTCCTGCACCAGGTATTACTTTCAATCTAAAAGTTCTAATATAAAATTGGTAATTCTTGTACCGGGACGTTATGAGCATATACTAATTACTATGATACAAAACGCCCTCTAAACTGCTTTATCCCGTCACTGTCCCTTGAATTACATTTACCAGAGTTCGATGAACCAAGTTATCTTTCTCGCAATACTCGAGATTAGTATTATCGTGTATTAGTAAACTGTACTCCATCCGCTGACATGGAACTACTTGTGTGTATAACCTTTGCGAAAAAATTACAAATAAGAACATGGGGGCAGTTAAATGCAACATTATCATAACAGGCATTCACCCAAGTACTACACCAGTTCGTCCAGAAACCGTTGAAACGGATCCAGATAAAACAATAGTTTCCGAGATCCCCGAAGACGTTAAAGACAGCAGCGGCCCGACACCGGTACGAGAGTAATATCCTTCCCGTTATATTCAGTTTTTGTACGCATGACTGAGTTCAGTCACATGGCTGTAATCAGTGAAGTTGAAATCCCACTTGCAGTCTCACCACTGGCTGACACATGAGTCAAAGCTTTCAATTTCGTAGGCACGGACCTTTCCCCGAGCACCGACTTACTTGTTTACTTCATGACATTGGCAAATCAGCAAGATGCAAAAAGTGACGTAACAATGCTTCCAGATTTTGAGGCGTGGTCTTAAACATTACCTCGTTTTCGCGTTTTTGAACTCTATTCGTTAGTTTTCAGTTGTGTTTCGGGGATTTAAATGTAAATCAGATAATTCAATGATCACTCTGTCTTCTTGGGAGTTTTAATTTAATTGTAGTAATAAAAAATTAGTGTAGAAATAGCTGTAATAGAATGGGCTAAAATTCTTTACCTCTACTTTTAAAAAACAAATTGTTGTATGCGATGAATCACGATGATGGTTTGAAACACATACCCCATTTTACAGGCGCCAACTCGCGAAACCACTTTTAATATAAGTCCCAAAAATTTTGCAATGGTAAAGTATAGGAAGAATTTTTCAGGGGTTAAAGATCGGGGAAAGGTCCATTCATATGCCAAACTATAATTTGCTGCTTGTTGTGTCAGAATGAAAAGATAACAACTGGCCGGTTAAAACTGCAGTCCTCAACTCCATCTAAGTATAATAAATTAAATTATGAAGATCATTTCTACCATGGCTGGCAACCGGATCAGAAGACAGGTTGTCTGTATTATCAAGTCGTATTTGGCCTTTTTCCAAATTTGCGGATAAATATGAAACTTTATATCGTTTGTCTCATGACTTTTAAAATTACTGTCTTTGTTTTAATTCTGCAGATTGAATATCCACAGACTCCAAAACCTTCTGAACCGGTTGAAAAAATTGAAGTTATTGATCCAGACGTGGAAGACGAAGAATTGTGAGTTACATAAAATGTTTGAAATATATCGACACCTCAAAACCAAACAGTGCTAAGTCCACTTTTCCAAAAAATGACATTTTTCAATTGCTGATTTTCCTGGACTTAGCTCTACATTTTGGTCTATTTGCCTTATCTCTAGGTGCTCTAGATCTCAAGATAGCTATGGACATAACCCTGCTTTTTTAGGGCATTTGAGAACTAAACAGAGCTGTGTCCACTATAGTGGACTTAGCTCTGGATAACTGCATTGTAAGTTGGGGCTAAGTCCGTTTTTTGGACATAGCTCCTATCAAGAAATATAATACAAAGCGCTAAGTCCATACCAGCCTCTATAATACCATAATAAAGGGGCCCTAAGTCCAATAAAATTGTTTCTGGTCCAGAAAATTGAGGGCCAAAAAGGGTTAAGTCCAACCCCCCCCAAAAAAAATTGGGGCGGAGCACAATTTTTTTTATACTATCTAAATATGGCCTTCATTGTAACTTTGGTGGACCATAAAAACTAGACATCCTCGATGTAAGGTATTAGAGAAATAAAAAAAAGAAACAAAATAAAAACGTTTTTTTGCGTTTTTCTCAAAACTGGAAAAATGGACTTAGCCCAATTTGGATTTCATGCGTCGATATATGCATTTACATACATATAAGTTCGAAACTCCCAAATTTGTTGTCGACACGTGCGCCATGCAGATTTACATCTAAAACAGCATTGGGGGTGCTGGGTTAAGTTGTGTGAATCTTTATTCGTATAAACGATCAATTTTACCTTTCATACCTAAGGACTGTGGTAAGCAAATGTAGTTATATAGTTGACAATGCCAAGCGTGATTATATGACTGACTGCAATTGAGATCAACACACAAGTATATATGATTTGATTGAAGGCACATTTGATATTAAATTTAAATCAATTTTAACGATAATTATGTCAATGAATTAACCTCAAGTAAATTGTTCGTTCGTATTGTATTTTAGTCATAAGTATGCATTTTTCTGAATGTTTTCACACTTTTATATCAATACAATTTTATATGATTCAGGAGAGCGAAATCAGATTTAGCTATCATTCCTGAAACACCGATCGAACGTCCTCGTTCGTTAGCGGCTCCTAGCGCAAGTCCGGAAACAAGCGCTCCGAACCCGATATTGCCAGTTTCGAAAACACAAACAGAACCCCTTATATCCGAAGCGGTACGAAAACTTTTGTCAGAACAATTTGAACAATTACAAAAACGAGGGTGAGTACAATCAAATTATTTAATTAGCCTTTCGTTTAAATTGTTTTAATCCTTGATCATCAGTTTTTTAAAACCTGAAATCAGTAGATGTGAGTACATAGACTCCCCGACACAGACATTATCTATTGAAATAAGTTGTGTAAAAATGTAAAAACAATATAATATATTATAAGAGCCACCTCAAATAATATAGCTGAGTCTATAGAGACTATTTTCGGCTAGGCACTGACCTTACTGCAGCAGTGATATTTTCGCACATGGACTAATACATTTATGATTATTCATAATATTCTCAGTAACATCACAATGAACGATATTCTTGCTCTATCATCGGAAAATTTGACAGAAAATCAGAAGAAATATTTGACATGCCTTCATGATGTTAGTTCGCATAGTGCATCGTTTGTGTTTCAAGAATTAATTGCATACACTTGTCTATCTCGGATCATTCAAAATTTGAGGTATCTATATGTTAAATAAACTTATGTTTATGACCAATTTTGATCTTCATGTAATATTAATTGATGTTTGATGTTAACAGTCCATCAACAGCTGAAATGTTTGAACAATGCAGCTTTGCAACACTCCCGGAATCCGTTGTGCAATATACGGTATGTTTTCTTTTTAGGATATCTAATATCTGAATAATGTAACTGGTATAAGAAGATTAGGTATATAAAAAAATTAAATTTGGTCTTTTGCCAATAAATAAAAAAAAATCATAAAAAGGGGACTACCAGCCAAGGGCTGTTACGACGTGCGCTATTGTAACTGTGTGCATCCGACATAAGAGGAACTTTGATTAGGTCATCAATACAATCCATCATCTTCGAATGTTATCATTGAGTTACAAGGAACAGAGAAAAAATAGCGCTTGTTTTGGAATTTTTGAAAATCGCCGTGAATATATCATTTTTTTAGTAGTCTAATTGTAGTATCAGCTCAAACCCTCAGAAGCTTCAGCATGAGACTCTTTTCAAGCATCTATTTAGTTGAAAAAATTCCGAGAAAAGGCAAGAAAAAAGGCGCTGAATAGCGGTAACATACCCTGTGCCATCAAGTAGTAACTGACTTATTATTATGTCTTCTTAAATTATAAAATAATCTAATAACAACTTAACTATTATCTGGCTCAAGCTTTGAGTCGTCGGCGTATTTCACTGACCGTTTGTCACTTTTGTTTGAACTTTGAATTGAATAGTTATAGCGCTAAGTTCAATGAATATATGCCATGTCCTTAGGCCTTCATAGATGCTTTTTGCATCAGTCGATTTCTCCAATGTTCTGTTAATTTATGCAGTATTAGCAATTTTTCATGCACCAACTCCATCGACTGAATTTAGGAATTATTCAACTCCGTAGACCGTACCGCAAGAGGTCAGATCGGAGTGACAGCTTTGTTGGAAATTCTGAATACAGCCATGCAAAGACAAATCACAAGCGATGAAAAACTTCTGAAACAAGTGCTCCAAACTATAGAAAAGGTAACCACGCAGTTGTCGCTGTTTTACGTTAATTGCTGTGCACGAAAAGAGGAATCAATATACCGAAACCTAAGTAATTGTTCATGCGGATAGTTATTGACACATACAACCAAAATTGTCAGGGGCATGGAAATGTTTAACTGGATTTGATGTAAAATGTGAAAGTATAATTACGATATATGACTACTGGTAAAAAATATGAATTATTAATCGGGTCCCTTGTTTTGGGTATAAATATCTATAGCACATATGGTCTCTAGTCTCAATTGTGACGGTTCGTTGAAAACATGGTTTGTAGAATAACTGATAAGCCTATTTCAGCAGGGCAATAATTTCTCACACGCACTCACTCACACCGGTGTTACAGTTTTTACGTGAACTTATCAATCACTTAAACAAATATATAGTAGCAGTAGTCTATTCGTAAAATTATTTAAATGTGAGGTATGGATTAAATGATTCGACTTTTGCACTTAGTTACACTAATGCCCTAACTTATTTGTACGACAGTTTTTTTAGTGAGCAATTGTTATGATCTCATATATTTAATCGCACCGGTTTTTTTTTCAGGAAAAAGATGATGAAATTTCTAAACTTGAATTTCTTGCTTACATTCCATATTTTACTCACATAGAAGAAATGTCTTGAATGTTCTTTGCACTTTCATGCCAACACCATTACGTCATCACCAGCATAGTTTCTTCTATACAATTGACCACGTGGTGGCTTATGTGTTTCCGCTCATGGAACGTTTTATTACTTTAAATGGAGTAAATAAATAATAAAATACGTCGCATTTACTATTGTCCTGTCAGACTAAAAAGTCATAGGAAAATATTTTTTGACGTCGTCATTACCATAACTACTCGTACCTTGCCAAATAAATTTTTACATTTTTGTTGAAATATCGAAATCAGAAAGGGTTACCATAAAATAAATGATTGGGAACAAGTGTGTCGTCTTTTCTGCCTTTATTCGCTTCCTTTAGTAAATGTTTGGTAAAATGCAACACCGTTTTGCAAAAACGCAAGTAAGGGTGCCGTAGGATGATGGGTGACTATGGATGCCGTAATTTAGCAATCGCGTTTATTTGTCAAGAAAACAGAAGACACTTGAAATCATATATATGTAGGCAAGTAGTTAGTTGTACTACCAGTAACATAACGTGAAAACAGTCGGCTGACTGTTTAAATTTACGGGTTGTTCAAACGTTGGTGTGCAGTAAAAGTTCACTGCAGCTATGTAAAGTAAGCAAAAGAGATCAACAATACCGCTACATTAATCGAGGATATGCTAATGAAAAATCGAGTGCATCCACTGAAACTTGACGATGAAATAATGAACGAACAACCATACTTCAATAAATGTTTCATAGATAGTTATATGCTTGCAAAACACCAAATTATAACATATGTATACATATATATATAAGAAAAAAAAATATGACAGCATTTTTTCCATAGAGCGAGAATGCAATTATGGACTATTTTAGCTTAGTGATAAAATTACCTGAAATAACAGCATAAATGAATATTTAAATCTTACGAAGCATTGACTTTCCTAAATATAATACTTGTCTGTTATAACCGTCCTACTGTGTCACCGCATTGATCTATGTTCTATTGTAATTTCATTATAGAATTCCAAAATTTTAAATTACAGTTTGAATGTGTATTGTGTGAGTGCGTTCAATTGATATCCAATATACAGCGTAATGTCAACGTGAACACGAATACTCAATTAATACATGACGTCACCTAAATGTAAACTTGCAAGGTCTCATGAAAGCATCATACAACTGCAACAGTACAACAAACAACAGCCGTTATCGCAGTAGTTCTACAAATTCATTTCTGATCAACGAACGTGAAATATCTTATATACCCTACACAGCTGAAACAGTTGGTAAGTAATAACATTTGCTTTTTTCAAATTAGTACCAAGCGCGATATACTTTTTCATAAAATAAGTAAAACATGTTCAGACATCATGCAATGTTCGATTCACAGATAAACGCAGTAAGGAAACTTCAGACACCCCATCTCAGACAACGCACGCTACCATATGTATACGTCAATTGCTCAGACACAGGTGAGAAATATCTCTATATTGTCTGCAAAAAATGGTAGATTTAGGTATATATTACAGTCCGAAATTTTTATGGCACACAAGGTGGCGTATGGATCGCCCTGCAAAATTGTTGTTGTAGGTGCTGTTGTTATATTTGTAAATATGGATTATTTTATTTTTCATTTTTTATTGTGCATGTGTCTTATAAAACGCAGTATTTCATCCCAATTTTACAAGTACATTTTCTGAAGATAACTCGAATAACTTTAAATCAGTTGAAACAAATCATTGTATATGGGACAAGATGGTACCCAAAGATTATTTTTCTTTATGAATCTTCATTAATTGAAGGTTGGATTGTGCGATGCACATTCGTAAACCACAGCTTTCGACAGATAGTTTGATGCATGTTCGCAATGAACTAATTCCATACGGCATGGTGCTCACATTTTATTGAGAAGTGCCAGAATCTAGTGCTGGGAAAATAGGAATTGAGACATGCTGATGACTGTTTACTGCAAATAACATTTCAATGTTAAATATATGTGTGAAACGCAGCTTTTTGACAAATCAATTGAGATATATATATATATATGTTAGGCTGTATATCATATGACGGAAAGCTATGAAATTATCAATACGATATGTATGTGAGACTGCTATAGTACTATTGTTTGTTTTATTGAATTTTGCTTTCTAATGCACAATCAATATATACTGATGTATCTTTTGTTTCACTCGCCCCTTCTGCATTTGTTCTATTTTTCAACAGAAAAGACAAAAATTGTCTTCGCGAAGTGTTGTCTTCCGTTATATTTTGGTAAGGAATTGAAAGGGTGAAGGGTTTTAGCATGTCAGATGTTGCTCATACTCTTTTTTTGGGGTGAGTAAAAATTAAATAGACACCGGGAAAAGACTTAATTATGTATATTATCGTAATAACATATTTGTACATATTTAAATGGATATTAAAGAATAACTAATACGACAATACGTAAATATTCATCAAATAAAGTAGAATTGCACAAATAAAGTCTGTATATATTTTTCTGGGCGTGAAAAACAGCTAGTCTTTGAATCTTTCGTTGTTCCGAATATGACAGCAATATCATTACATAACAGAAACGTGTGTGCATAGATTACAAGTCAAAAACATACAGTAGTCATTCGAAAAATTTTTCAACCGTCACATAATGAAAAATGCAATATGTGTGATAGTTTTCTCAATAGTTTCTTCTGAAGTAATTTCAAATCATGTAAATTACATTACAGAAATTAAGAACAATAAGATATTCAAATAAATGAAAAAAAATTACGACTGCAGCAACAACTATGACCATGTTGCATGTTAAACTCGTTCCAATCTACAGTAAAAATAGTTAAACCTACTCGAATCTGGGTGATATGTGTAATTGAGTATAGTGGAGAAATTATGCCTTCTGATTAGAATTATTATAATCTGATTTCGTGCTATTGAAAAACTGGGATTTAGCCTACTTATGATATTACGAATGCCGCATATTTATCAAACAGTCATAGTATAAATAAAATTTAACTTTCTTCCTCTTCCTCCTCTTCTTCTTCATATTCAACGATATTTCCATCCGCATCAACATAATTACCATCTTCATCCATATAGATAACTTCTTCATCAGAACCGATCTCCTCATCATCTTCTTCTTGACTGTCGTAGTCTACTGGATTTCCATCTGCATCCACGTAATTGCCATCCTCATCTTGATAAATTACTTCCTCGTCTGATCCAACCTCCTCATCGTCTTCATCAACATAAACAATTTCATTTCCATCTTCATCAACTTCTACGACTTCGACGTCACTTCCATCAGATATTTCATTTCCATCTGAATCAACGTAGATATATTCGACTTCTTCATCACTTCCGTACTCTTCCTCATCGTCTTGTTCTTCATCTTTTGGTTTTTCTGCTTCGGTAATGATGGATTTTGTCTCTTCGTCAAGAGGATCTTGATTGGCGCTAATATTTAATTTCTCTTTCTGTTCATCTTCATTTACAAGATTTTCGCCCCCCTTGTCTTCTGAACTTTGTCCGGTCTCTTGAAGCTTTTGTTCAGCTTCCTCAGTAACTTTTCGTTCAGGTTCTTTGTTTTCAAGACATTCTCGTTCTGCCTCTTTCTCTTCTAGCCGTTTCCGTTCGGCCTCTTCCTCTTCTAGACGTTTTCGTTCAGCCTCTTCATCGTCTAGCTGTTTTCGTTTGGCCTCTTCATCTTCTTGCCGTTTTTGTTCAACTTCTTCCATTAGTTTTTGTTCGGCCTCTTCGTCTTCTATCCGTTTTCGTTCGGCCTCTTCTTCTTCCAGTCGTTTTTGTTCAGCTTCTTCCTCTAGCCGTTTACGTTCGGCTTCTTCTTCTTCTAACCGTTTTCGTTCGGCTTCTTCTTCTTTTAGCCGATTTTGTTTGGCTTCCTCTTCGAGTCTTTTTCGTTCGGCTTCTTCCGCTTCTAACCGCTTTCGTTCGGCCTCTTCATTTTCTAACCGCTTCCGTGCGGCCTCTTCTTCCTCTAGCTGTTTTCGTTCAGCATCTTCCTCCTCTTGCCGCTTTCGTTCGGCCTCTTCTTCTTCTAGCCGTTTTTGTTCAGCTTCTTCCTCTTCTAGCCGTTTTTGTTTGGCCTCTTCATCCTCTAGCCGTTTTCGTTCCGCCTCCTCAACTTCTAGCCGTTTTCGTTCGGCCACTTCTTTTTCCAGCCGTTTTCGTTCGGCTTCTTCTTCTTCTAGCCGTTTTCGTTCGGCTTCTTCTTCTTCAAGCCGTTTTCGTTCGGCTTCTTCTTCTAGCCGTTTTCGTTCGGCTTCTTCTTCTTCAAGCCGTTTTCGTTCGGCCACTTCTTCTTCCAGCCGTTTTCGTTCGGCCTCTTCTTCTTCAAGCCGTTTTCGTTCGGCTTCTTCTTCTTCTAGCCGTTTTCGTTCGGCTTCTTCTTCTTCTAGCCGTTTTCGTTCAGCTTCTTCTTCTTCAAGCCGTTTTCGTTCGGCTTCTTCTTCTTCTAGCCGTTTCCTTTCGGCCTCTTCTTCATCTAGCCGTTTTCGTTCGGCCTCTTCTTCTTCTAGTCGTTTTCGTTCGGCCTCTTCTTCTTCTAGACGTTTTTGTTCGGCCGCTTCTTCTTCTAGCCGTTTTCGTTCGGCCTCTTCTTCTTCTAGCCGTTTTCGTTCGGCCGCTTCTTCTTCCAGTCGTTTTTGTTCGGCCGCTTCTTCTTCCAGTCGTTTTCGTTCGACCTCTTCTTCTTCTAGCCGTTTTTGTTCGGCTTCTTCTTCTTCTAGCCGTTTCCGTTCAGCCTCTTCTTCTTCTAGCCGTTTTCGTTCGGCCTCCTCTTCTTGTAGCCGCTTTTGTTCGGCCTCTTCTTCTTCTAGCTGTTTACGTTCAGCCTCTTCGTCTTCTAGCCGTTTTTGTTCGGCATCCTCCTCTTCTAGGCGTTTTCGTTCGGCCTCTTGCTTTTCTAGCTGTTTTCGTTCGGCTTCCTCTTCTGGTCGATTACGTTCAGATTCTTCTTCTAGACGTTTTCGTTCGGCCACTTCTTCTTCTAGTCGTTTTTGTTCGCCTTCTTCTCTAATTATTTTTCGTTCAGCTTCCTCTTTAAGTCGATTACGTTCAGCTTCTTCATTTTCAAGGCGCTTTCGTTCAGTTTCTTCTTCGATTCGTTTTTGTTCAGCTTCCTCCGCTTCGAGTCGTTTTTTCTCAGCTTCTTCTTCTTCATATTGTTTTTGTTTAGTTTCTTCTGGAAGGAAGTTTTGACAAGCTTTGTCCAAATGTTTCATGACTTCTTCTTTTGCCATTCTTTGTTCTTCGCTGTCTTTGTCATCTTCATCTTCGGCAGATATTACTTTACCATCTTTCAGTCTCTTATACTCCTCGCCCGTATCGATATAAATTCTTCCACCAAATCCTTCTATTTGTCTTTCTTGTACAGTTTCTGGTTTGTTTCTTGGGCAGGGTTTTGGTGCGTTCTCTTCCTTGCTTTCTGTAACTACATTGTCGTTGGCAGATTCCTCCGAGCCAACGTTCTTTTTCTTCCTAGGTTTTCGTGGTGATGGAGATGCGCTTCTTTCTGATATATTTTCGTTTGTATTTTTGCTTGAAGCTTCAAGTCCCTCTTCCAGATATGAATCTTTGTATTCGGTTTCAGTAATTTCTTCCTCTTCTCCTTGCTTTATATGAGCTTTTATCATTCCAATTGTCGGCACAGCACTTGTGCCTGAAAACGCAAGGCCTTTCAAAAGCTTTTTCTCTAGATTTTTAGAAACCAACTGTTCTCTTTTTTCACTGACGTCACCAGCAGATATTTCTGTGTCAGACTGTTTGTCTAATGTATGCTGTGCTTCTACCGATTTCTGAAGATCTTGAGTTCTGGCCGCTAGAGGTTTAATATTCATCATCGATGCACGTACGACACGCTGTCGACCAGGTGGGCGGTCTCCAATTAAGTGAGCTGGAGAAAAAGGTATAGATATGATCATTTTAAAAATGTGACTCTAATGACATTCCGTGAAGACATCATTTTGTGCAAGAGATTGAGGATAGTGCAAAGTGCAAACGTACCGGTAAATAATGGAACAGAAATATGAACAAACCTGTGTTAACGTTTTCCGTTCCACCTAGTTCCTTATACTCTTCGAGATATTTTTCTTTGTATTTTTCGTTCACAGCAATTCTTCTCGAATTGCGTTCTCGGCTGATAGATCCATCTGAATGTTCACTTTCTTCGTCTTCTAAGTTGCCTAATCCCAGTTTTAACCTAGGTCCTTTTCGTCTTGCTGAAGCTTTAATTTTTCGACCTCCAGTGCCGTCACTGAAACGAGAGTTTTCGATGGGCTAATAAATCAGTTTGATAACTCATTTATTTTTGTTTTCTCGTGAACTGTGAGCAGGCTACGCGCAAAACAAATGTAAATATAACTATTGGTGCAATATGAATCCATAATACAAACATGAATCCCTAAACAATGAGTTTGTTCTTGCCAGCTTGTAGGCCTTTAAATTTATCGCCAACAAGGAAAATTCTGTTTGAGCTGGAATATCATAATGGTACATATCATAATAGAGCATATGGTGTGTTGTAGTATAAAAGGAGAAATCACTTATTATCGAGACGAATACTTACCCTTCAAATTTTACAAATTTCGACATTCGCAGCTTTCTAGGCGTAAGTTTGAGGGCATCTTCTCCCTCGGTCTTGTTTTCATTTTCTAAAATTACAAGATATATCCAATATATGAATGTAGTTTTAAATATACAAGTTTTACAGTTCTTCAGTTAAAAATTTTAAAGAAAAAACAGAGTTACTTTTACATACCTGCATCAACCCCAGGTTCAGAAGCAACAACAGGAACTCTACGTACTGATCGACGTGACACGCGAAGTTTTCGGATTGGTTTTGGTTCTTCTTGGTCTTCGTTGGTTGGTTTATCTTTGTCATCTTAATTGAAATCATGATTTATGTTATTGCAAAATATATATTTCTTTATTCGCACAATACGCGTTTAACTATAACAAGAGGTTAATAATCGCTTCCTCAACCACAGTATCGTCCTCGTTTTGATACGTAATTATATAGTCAACGTGAATATTGCCTGGGTTTTTGAATCCTCTCACGTCATAAAAACGTCGGTAGCATAGATATTAATTCCAATAATAACAGAGAGCTTGCCTTCTGATTCCTTTATAGGTTTTATTTTCACCGATCTTCTTATTCTTCTAGATCCAACTCTGATAGGTTTACCCTCCTCTGGTGTTCCCTCGTCTCCTTCCCCGCCTGGTTAGAAGGAAAAAAAGTTTGAAAACATGGCATACCTAATATATATGATAGGAGTTCTGTAAATAGTGAAAATGTGAAGTTTTTATAAATTAACAGTTTTGTGATATTACTTGAACCAGGAATGTGAGTAATAACAGCACAAACAACTCAGATATTTCAAATTATCCTTGTAATAGTAAACACTTTCTTATATCTTGGTCTATCTATGAGATATTTTCGCTCATCTATTGCAGAAACCAAATATCTGTCAAGTATTTATAAGAGTATGAGAGTTCTTAACAAAGAGTCCGAAAATGCAATACTTTCAATGAAACAATGGTTTCGCATGACTATAAAAGAATAAGATAGCAATCAAAAATATACCAATATGCATGCTCTTTCGAAATTGGCTGGATATTGAACTCCTCTGTTAGTTTCACATATAATAACATAGTGTCGTGGGGTATGTATATATGTGATTTGAAGCAAGCTATTGAACTCAGATATTACACGTTAAAAGCGGAAATTTTAAGTTCAACGAAATCGACTAAAAACTCCTACCGAATCGTATAAACTTTGAAGCCCGTAGTTTTCGAGGGCGTGCTTGTAATCCTGCTGGCTGTCCTTCTTCTTGTTCGCCGGTTTTATTTTCATCCTCCGGTTTTGTGAATTTCATGATTCGTGATACTCGAAGTCTTCTTGGTCTCGCAGCAAGTGAATTATTATCACCTGTTTGATCGCCACCCTCTAAACATACAAGCTTGTATTTACCATAAGTTTTGGAGAAAAGAATAGAAATTATTAAATACTCGTTGATGTTAGTGTTCTCATCAGAAAAAAATAAACTGTCCGAGACTGCGGCGACAATATATGATCGTACATTTTCGATTGAAACAGAGTCACAAGAAGTTGGCGAGTAAAAACTTTGTTTGTGACTTTAACAATTCCGCGCGTATCACAATATTTACCTGGATTTTGATCGGGTGGTTTCAATACTCGTCGAACTGAGACTCGCTTTCTTATCGGAAGTGGAGGCGTGGCATCGGATGAAGCTGTATCTGGTGAGATGTAAATTATATAATAATTAGAATTTGACATTATTCATGGATTTTTTATACATATATTTATATTGCCATTATGTGTCTACATGCGGTATTTATCGTCGACAGAGAATATTTTTCAGTAAGTTCCAAATAGCCCATTACATAGACCTAAGAATAGCCCTAGCGCCCTAGCTTTTCCACCACTCAAATAAAACTCACAGTGGCAGATTTACGCAATTTTTGCACTTTGTAATCGTAAAGCCATAATATGTACTTAAGTATGGTCAAAAATATTTATACAATCCCTATGGATCGAGATTGTCAAATACATATAGTTGTCTAAATATATATTCACTCCGTACGCTAATGCTTTTTGTTTGCTGTTACAGATATAATTTATTATGAGTCGCTAGGCTTGCACGTAATTTACGGATTTACGGAATTACGTAATTATTTGGAGTTACGGAAGGGAAGTTACGAATTACGTAAAGTCGTAATTATTGCATTGAAACGAGCTTTTTTCAAAGCAGTCAATTTCGTCGATTGCGAAAAATGAAAGCTCAACAAGTAGAAGAGAGTTCCGGTATTCGCAGCCGTTTTTCTCTCTCTTGTTACGTAGGTGAAGGAAGGCCTGACGCGTTGCCATTTACTAACCTATTATCAACTTCTCTGGCATGACCAATGTAAATTATTAACGTAGTTAAGGGGGAAAAACTGAGTAGGGCCGTTTGACGCCAACACACCTGGTTTTAACTTCTTCCGTAACTTAACCGTAGATAAGGGATAGAATTGCGTTGAGACCTATTGAAGCCAACACACCTGGTTTCAACTTCTCTCGCTTCTTATCTAGCATGGCCATGGCCAATGTACATAATAACCGTAGATAGGGGGAAGAATTGTGTTAAGACTGATGGACGTTAACACGCCCGGTTTCAACTTCTTCGTGTGAAATGACTGATGAACGCAGGAGATCAATCTTTCAAACATGGTCTATCAAACATTTGTATCCATTTTACTTTTATTTATTATTTACTTGTTCCAGTTTTCCGTTACTTATGGTATATAATATATATGTTCCGTTTCTATTTTATAGTCACGCGTTTAAATAGTGGGAATTCCCCACCAAGTGTGGATTAGCAATGCTTAACCATTCTTTATTGTTAACATGAACACTTGATATATGAACATGGAATATCATACTGTTTTTGGCTGTTTTATTTCAGACTTGGGGTATAAACAGGAAAATATCCATAACATTTCAGCACGACGATCTTGTGAAATTTAACGAAGAGATTTCGCGACGAATTGGAACCGAATAAGCGAAAAGAGCGATTGATCACTCGCGCCAATACCTCGCCGTGATAATTAATGTCGCGCTTATCAAATAGCAATATGACGACAAAAGAGAGATTGCGTAATGAACCAACGCAACTTCGTCTTCTCGGCATCGGTAAAGCGATTGAGACGGCAGAGAAACAGCAAAACGACGGATCATATATAATCAAATATGAGCCAGTGTGTTTATTCTGTGCGAGATCCATTTTCTATTACAAAATCTTGATGTTCTGTTAACGGTTTTATCGTTATATATCAGTCCGGACTTGGCCTTGCTCATGATGTTTTTCACAATTCCTCTCAATATTTCGGCCATATATGATTAACTGTCTTACCAAATGCGGCAACTTAATTTGATTTATCGTCGACTTGAATACCACCGGCACTTGACCAAACTTGTGTCAATCTTGGCCGATAGGATCGACGACTTGAGTTAGCAAATAAATGTCGTGAGTGTAAAATAAATGTCACAAAATGCATTGTTTTGCGATATAACTTTGTGTTTTCGGAGAAGGCATTTCATATAAGCTCCATATTTAAATTATACTCAAATAAATAATATTTGATCTTAAATTTATCGCAAATAATGTTATAAACATTCAGTCCGCGAAATGATTGAATGTAAAATGAAGCATGGTAATCGGAATATCGTCAATAAGTCGACATCAATAATTATTATTATAAAATGCTACCAAGGCAGTAATATCGGATAATGCAGAAGACGCTGCAAAAACAAGTCTTCGTCGCGAGGAAATCGCAAGTATAATCAAACGAGAGAATACGCTCGTCGTTAGTTAATAAATTAGAAACCCGTAATTTTTATTCAGCACTAAGGTGGTTTTAAAAAACTATCGTTTCCATAAATATCCGTATACCAGTGTCGGTAATAATAAAATAAAATTGATCGCATAAAAATGGGACGGTTAATTTGCGAAGGTGATAAAGGAAAACCAAAGCTAACACAAAAGATAAAAATCAGAATAAATTTAATTTGAATTCACTCCTTGATATTTGCCTTTAACATCTGCCGACGGCGTGTAGTACTGCCAAGAATATGAAAACCCAACTTCAATGTCCCATTCGGAAAAGAAGTGGATTCAATTGGTTGTTATGATAGGTTTAAATGCATGGAAAAATATCGCAATTACGGGGTCATTACGTAATTGATTTTGCCGTAATTACGGAATTGATTTTTGTCAATTACGTGCAAGCCTATGAGTCGCATTGCTCTAGAATTATAAATTGATATTATCACGGCCGTTACCTCCTCCTTCAGCAACTGTCCCGAGTGTGAGAAAATTCTTTCTTTGTTGTAGTGATGGACCACCACGAGTTGATTTTCTAACAGTGCGTCGAACACGCAAGTTAGGTTGAGATGGATTCAGAGTCGCTTGTTCGCCTGATAACATTTTCGTACGCATATGGACTGGAACACCATGTCTCATTGATGCATGTTCGCGTCGTCGCTTCTAAGTGTCAAATAGAGAAGATCAGTATGAAACCTCATTTAGCATAACGTATTTCTGATTTATTAGTAGGAGTTCAGGATGCAATAATGAATCAAGCAACTATATTTGTTGTTTCCTTTACATTTGAACCCACGTACATTTGAACCCACGACAATTGCACCTACATACTATTGCACCTATGGAAATTTTTTTCGTTTTACGATATTTGAACCCATACTCACCCTAACCCATGGGTTCTAGCACCCGCATATAGATTGAACCCGCGAATATACGCATGGGTTCAAATGTACGTGCGTTCAAATGTACGATCACCATATTTGGTATTTGTGGGTGTGAAATTTCGCGGTGTCTGCACTTCCTTAGTATGAGATATGTGTTGTATGCTAGGCGTTAATTTTGAAACATTTCCTTTTACTCTTAAGTGAAGCAGTAACATGTATCACGGTATTACAAAAAAAATATTGAGTCATGCTTCAATATAGGCTGTATATGTCATTACGATATACAAAACTATCTCAGAGGCAACAAACTTATAAGTCATCGATTCATGATAATTAAATTACTATGATTACTATTACGACTCTTTCAAATTTTGTTCAATAAAAGCTGCATCGCGTGCTACATCAAGTAATTTAAAGTTGCCAGTCCACTTTATTATATAAATTGAATGTCCACTATATTAAAAAAAATGTGATGCTGCTACCGACATTTATTGAAAAGCTGGACATTGCTAAATATGCTTGTTATGTTATCTATCCGCATAGCAATGACGTTTACAATTCATTATGAGTTATTTTTTTTATAAAAATAGTATTTCGAACACTGGTTGACTCAAGAAGCGGAAGGCATATGTCCGGAAAGTGTAGCAATTGCTATACATACAGTACTTTGATGTGTATTTCTAAGAACTTCAATGCGTTTGCAATGAATCGACATAAAATGCACGACTGGATTCAGAGACAAAACAATAGCGTATATAACACAAGATTGACCTTTGCATGAATACGCCTCCGAACCATGTCAGCTGTTGATCATATCTGTAATCAGTATTCATCCACTCCAATAATTACAAAAAAATACGAATTTTCATGGACCAGTAATATAGCCTATACCTGTAACTCGATGGCGTTTTTCCTTTCTTCTTCATCTTCGATTTCCTCTGGGTTAATATTGACAAGAGGTTTGACGGCCACCACTTTTACCCTTCTAGAAAACTGGCGGGCATGCGCATTGACTGCTTTTTTAGGGCGACAAGATTTTCCACGTTCTCTTTTGATTCTGGCTAATTCCTTTTCTTTCTCTGTTTCGTCGTATGAATCATATCCTAAAAGCAAGATATGAAGTCCGAAATGTTTAAATATATTGGATATATAATTTACACTTACTCAGTTATTTCGATCACTTGACCACACAAAATCACAATTGAAACTGTGATAAGGAATTTTTTTCGAATTTAAATAACTGAAATACTTAGTCTTATATCTGCAAACATGAGTAATTTTGAAATGAGGGATATGGCTCCCTATTTGTTATTTTTGAATCATATGAATGCATTTGACTACGAAAATCATGTTTATTTTGACGTAGGCTTCATTGTTCACCTAATTACCTCTATACGTTTCAAAAACATTTATTTTATGATGATATATATTTATATTATATGACATATACATATTATGGAAAATAAATGGAAATTCCTTGTCATTTAGGAATTTCTATTACTAAACAAGCCTAAACAAGGAACAAGTTTATTATCAGGCTCGTAACCGACGCGCGAATAGATTTTTTAAATGTGTTTCAGCATATTCAGCACAGCTCATGCTCGCAATGTCACAGTATCTGAGTAATCGAATTAATACTGTTGGTTATGTACTCAAAGCTTACATATGAATCGTTTTGCTTAATTGTTGTTGTGAAACAAATCGCTTTTACTCGTAACTAATGGAACACTCGATTTTTAAGCACTCAAAGATTGTTGAAGCCGCTAGACGACAATAACTCGTCCTATTTCCCCCAAGGTTTTGCTGTTTTATTTTAATTTGTGGAAACCTTATACAATTGTGATCGTCCTGTCCGTATATTCGACCATTACTTTCTTATTCAATATATATATAATTAGTTAAAATCGAGTAGTTACACTTGAAACATTATTACTATTAATACAAACCTTCGTAATCTGGGTTGTCTTCTTTATTTTTCTTCTTTTTTTCTTTTGCAGCTTTTATAAAATCACGTTTCACTTCACCGACCATTTTTACGTAGTCGTCAGTTATATTCATGTCTTTAGGAAGTGTGCTCACATCCATGACTATAAGGGACTATATACTTTATCTAGATATAAATGCGGTTCGATAATACACCTTTATAATATAAAGAAAATATTAAATAGAAAAGATTAATTGTAAGTCATTTTCAAAAAACATTCACTTGTAATCGGACACCCGATGACGCTTTGGCGGACAATTAATAATATTTATAGGCACTTAGGATATTCCCATTTTAATATCTAAACAATAGACCTCATAAAAGAGATATCTAAGACATAATTCCCACCTAACCACATCCTATACATTATGATATTCGCCATTTCGGGTTTACGATAAAGCATGTATTGTATAATCAGCCCTTTTCATGCTCTCAAGCAAATCCCTATATTATTCTACTTCAGGATGTTGTGTTATTGCAGTTGAAAATAAAATCCAAAATTTTTTATTTTTTTGTGTGCAGCAAATTGTTTCATCCACATAGAATTGATTGTTTTTCTTTTTCAGGAAACTGATGCCACGGCAAATATGTACTAAACGCTAATTGTTTTCACTGATATTAATCGCTAATCGGGTGTTAACTTCTGACGTGGACTGATTTTTAATTTTTTCAAAATCTATCTATTCAAAATCTATCCATTATTATTAAGTTTTCGATATCCACTGACCATTCTGTTAATTTTCTGTGGTTTAGTTAGTTTTAGTTTAAATTTATATGCTGACCTACTAATTCGACTTCGAAAGAGTAAATGATATAGCCCAGCTGTGGAAGTTTATGGTAAATATTTAGCCTATGATAATTTCATACTTCTTTCAAAATTGCCTATTTCTTCATCCATTTGTAAATAGATGATTCGTAAAAACAAAATGCTCAACAAGCAGTATTCCCTTATCACAATGTCGTGGACATCATTTCATTATAAGATGACTAACTGAACAAATATCCGGCTTTTTATACATACAACGCAAATAATTGGCTGTACATATATACTGTATAGAACGTGTGAAGACTTAATGGCGTGTTTTCAACTAACTATATATCGAATTTCTTTTCTAGTTATAAAAAAAAATTATAGTTTCAAGTTCATTCTATTGTTAATCACTCGGAACGAAGCTCAGGGCAAATTTATCTAGAAATATTTAAATACTTTTTAATTTTTTATATTATGTCTATTAAATTTCTTGAACGAGTATTGGTTATGATCGTAGTGAACAATGTCGATCGCAAAAGTCCTGGCCAAATTATTGCACTGCATATATATTCCAAAATGTCGCTTAGCTTGGCAAACTATGCTTGTCACATTATATTGGTCGCTAAGAATAATCTATCAATGAAAATGCTACGCCATCAAATTGTAGTCCAATTGTCGTAAAACAACCATACGAGCTGACATTCACTGGTATATCGCTCGCTGCAGAAACACGAAACAGATAAAACACAGAACATAGGGCTTGTCTCTCCTAACCTAGAACCATAGTGACTTCCTTCTTCGATATACCATACAGGATGACGTCACAACGCATCCTGCTTCGCTCCCTGACTCATATTTTAGTTTCCACATTAGTAATAATTGAAGGCAAATTACTTTTGTTCGGGCTGTGGTCCTGTGATAATTTGTACCAATAAATTGCGCTGCTTGTATGGTGTGACTATTGCTCCTCTAACATGTCCAAATATATTGCAATTTGCTCGTATTGACATATATTCCAAATTGGTGATTCAAAAGGGGACGGTGATTATAGATTTGGTTGAAACTATATACTATTTCCTACGCAAAGTTAATGTGAATGTTCATAGAATTTAGCTTGAGCGAAATTATATGAATTTGAAAAAAGCTTCATTTCAAAAATATAGATGATCAAACTGTCATTTTCTTCGGGTGATCAAAATTAAAATCAACCTTCTTCAATCGAACAACTTGACCTTGTATATCGACATCCCAAATCATTATTTTATGTTCACCATCACCGCAATGCCATAATAATTTAGCTATAGCTCCCAATCGATTTGAAAATTTATATTCATTTCCTGTTATATAGAACTCAGCCTGAATATATTTACTGATCTCTCATCTTTGTACATCACAAATTTCCATACTCCATATATATCTTTGTCCGCTTCTGAGAAATCATTTATTCTGAATGCGCGATAAAAAAAAGCGCTCACCCGTCATGTTATATATAATGCACGAAATAATTGTTTCCGCTGTTGAAGGTGCAATATAGTGTAGTGTGGTCATACGACACAATGACGATTCGTCATATCCGATATCATAAGACGTGTTATTGTGGCTGAATTGTCATTTGTGGTTTATGATATCTATGAGCCGAGTCTGTGGCTATGTTTGACTGCATGTCAGTGACAAAAGAAGTAATTGTGAGTCCGGTCATTTTTTACAAATGCTTGCTTCGAGTTTCTACTGGGAACTGGGAAGCAGATCATAATTGCTAGGCTCCCATGTTTTAGTAGTCCAGGGATTCCCAAGTTTATATGGCTCGTGGCCCCTTTTTGGTGGCTGTTAGCACACATGGCCTTCCTGTTCACCTTTACAAAAACAATTACGAGCAATGCAAGCGCACATTCTAGGCCATCGCAATTCACTTTGCTAATACCGAAGGCAATCCATTTCCGTTTCTTACGAATATTAGGAATTTAAATATATTTTTCGCGTCTACAGTACTTTTACGATGGTTATCTCAGTTTTGTGAAACTGTAGTTAGAAAGAGACTAGATTAGACCGTTATCTACAGATCACATTGCTTGTCAAACAACAACAAATGTTAGATTTCGCTGCGCCCACGGGTATTTGTAGTAGGATATATCGGGCGATTCCAAATTCTATTGTGATTAAACGATTCATGCCCCATACTTTCATTCATTTGTTGACAAATCAATCCATAAAGTGAAAACACCCTGTGAAATAATCTTATCAAATAATGAAACTGCAGGAAATTTTCCATTTTGTGCCCCACTCAGCATATACTCTATCACGCAAAGGCACATATATATGTATAATAGGGTTCCATTACATTTGAACCCACGTACATTTGAACCCATGACAATTGCACCTGTATGCTATTGGAATTTTTTTTGTGTCACGGATAGTTAAACCCATACTAACCCTAACCCATGGGTTTTAGCACCTGCATATCGATTGAACCCGTGGATATACGCATGGGTTCAAATGTACATGGGTTCAAATGTACGGTCACCATATAATAGATATATAAATATAGAAGTTTGTTGAAAAAATTGTTTAACAACGCGACTATCCCAAACAAAATACCAGTAAAAGTATCAATTACGTCAAACCTTATGAAGCTAATGAATCCAGAATCATCTACCTGAACCATGGTAGTTCTGATTTGTGTTTATCAGAAAAAAAACGAAAGTATGAGGCGCATTGGTAGATTTTGTACCACGCCTGCCGCACAACCGTCTGAGGTTAACCAGGAGATTTTTAATGAGAATCGCGACGTATTTGAAAATTTACAACAGAATCGAGATTTTACAACACATATCCTTAATGAAACCAAATTTCCTGAAAATCGCACTGCGAAAATGGCACGTGTCAAGAAAGCGAAACATACACTTAAGATTGCTGAGGGAAATCCTGAACCTTGACTTTGAAACGTACATTGAAAAAATATTACACCTTTTAATGAACGGAACAATGAAAAGACAGAAGCAAGAAGAGGTGGAACATAACGGTAGTCAGAACATAACCAAAAAAATTAACAAGATATAAATATATACCAACACAATCATTAACTCCCAGAGCATGACTAATCAATGTATCGGCAGAACATGTTACAGCATTGCACAAATGAGACAGTCTTGGGCTAAAACCATTTCATGGACATAGAAACTTGAAACAGTAGAAGTTCAGTCTAGAATTCCGACACAATATTCAACCCATTTACAGTTTGAGATGGGCTAGAAAACCATGATATCTTAGGGTACGCTCAAGTCAAGTTTTATATTATAAACAAAAAATTCTTGTGCAATAAAGTCCAAATGAAGATGGTCTATGAATATATTACTCAGGATTTAATTCGTTTCAATCAATTGAATCAATTTATAACAAATGAAAACAAACTGGAATAAATCCAGAATACACAATGCTTATTTGTTCAATTCATAATATAGTGATGCCCATTATCCACGAAACAAGTTTCAAACTTCAGGTATCTTAGCATTGCATTCCTCATCGGTCTCGATTCCAACTTCTTCAATAAAAACTTTTTTAGACTTTGGATATCCTTCCAACACAGCTTCCATTAGATCGGTTGTCATCCTCTTTCGCTTTTTCCAATGTGAAACAAATTGTTTATGATTTTTATAAATATTTTTTTTATCTTCTTCGCTTATATCTTTTGTGGATTGTTTCGCTTTAGTTAAACGTTCTTTGAGTTGCTTTACTTCTTTTTGCAATTGATTTACTTTTGACTTTGCACCTTCTGTTGTTAGACTGCTAAGATGTGTCCGCAGAGATGCTTTTATAAGTTTCAGTTCAGATTGTGATGTCTCACATTTTTCAGTCCATAATTTGATATCCTCTTCTAGTTTAGTAATTTCTAAATCGGAAACTTCTGGAAATTCGTTTTGATTAATAACATATATTTTTGATTTACCGTAAGCTTTTTCAATTAATTTTTTATCAACTGCAAGTGTCTCCATTGCTTTTACTACAGCTGTTTTTCCATGAACTTTATGTAGATTAGAAAAAACATCTGCAGCACTGTATGGTCTATTTTGTATTTTCATATACTCATAGACATCAGTCTCAACTTTATCTTCCTTACCCATGACACACGGTTAATGATTAGGCTATATTTTCGTATGTTACTCGATACAGCGATATGCCCATTTGCATCTGTACATGGATATTAAGATATTGGAAAATGAAATTAACTTGTGAGTTTTGGATACTGTAACAAAGTGATTACTATAAACAAACTTACAATGCAGCAGTTAAAATTATTTACTCCATTTAGATACTACAGTACCGGTACTGGTTTATGTGTTTAGTGTCGGTGTGTCATTCGCCACAAAAAGGCTTGCATACTGGCCTCAGATTTCTAAATCTGTAGATCGCTAAAACATTTCAGCATTCGATGAACGATATTTTGCACTGATTAACTGGAATTGCGGTACCGTACTTCCGATGGGCGTAGCATACCGGTACGGTACCGAATTTAGTATATTTTATTCCTAACCCCCACCTGACTATGTTATACAAAAATTACGTCACTACGACGTCACAATCCCATCATAGAGCTTGCCAAGTATAGATACCATCATCCGAAATGGCACCTGCGCAGACAATCCCGAACTCACTAGCCAGCGGTCTCTCGCATATCGGGATCGTTGCGACGAGAAATAGCTTGCTCGATTCCGGGTGATCGTCTGCGCGTTTTGGGCGACCATCCTTACACTTTGGAGGTATTCATTACGCAACTGTGGCGTCGTAGTGACGTAATCAGGTGGGGATGATAAATAACATATACAAAAATTTTTGAACCAGGCCAACTAGAAGTGCATGTGCTACTAAACTATACCGTAGTAAAAATTTGAAAGATTTTTTTCGCGCCGACCTGTTGGAGTTGGAGTTCCTGATTTGAACCGCATAATCGTCAAAGTTTGAATGGAGGTAATCACCAAAACTCTATTTTGGTGAATTCGATTCTATATATATTTTCACAATTTTTGACGACCGCTCCAACAAAAATCGACCGCAGTTTGGAAATGGCCTTCGATGACGTAGTACTTAGAACTCATTCCAGAATTTGCCTTCATTGCGCGTTCGCGAGTAGAGTGTTTAACCGTAGTATAATAATAATAAACATCTTCAAGGCAATTAACAGTTTTGCAATACCAGTATTTTCCTTCAGTTTCAATATCATCAAGTGGACTAAGCAAGAAATCAAACAATTTGATACCAAAACGAGAAAACTAATGACGATAAATAAGATACATCATCCTCGAGCAGACACTGAACGTTTGTACTTATCGCGAAGCAAGGGTGGACGAAGTCTGATTCAAATTGAGGAAAGTTACAAAGCATCTACTGTAGGACTGAAAATATATTTGACCGAAACAGAAGATCCACTAATGCGCATCGTGCGAGATTTCGATAAAAATAAAAATAGGCGTTTCGACTCAATCTTCAATAAAACTGATGAATTTATGAAGGAAACTGGTGTTACTAATTTCTTAACTGAGAAAAAAGGTGCAAACAAGATGGCAAAAGATGTCAAGCTCAAGTATAAGAAAGAAATTGAAAAGCAGAGACTAAAAATTTGGCATGATAAACCATTGCATGGAAAATATCTCACTAGAACATGTGCACTGGATGTAAATGAACAACAAACGCATAAATGGCTAAAAAGTTCAGGTCTGAAACCCACAACGGAAGGATTTATAATTGCTGCTCAGGACCAAAGTCTCCCGACCAACGCTCACAAGAATAAAATTATGAAACTAAACATTGATCCAAAATGCAGAATATGCCAATCGTTTGATGAAACCATTGACCACATTGTATCCGGGTGTAAAGTTTTGGCACCGACAGAATATACAGAAAGGCATAACAAAATCGGATCCTATTTGCACTGGAAAATTTGCAAACACTACCATATACCTACAGAAGACAGGTGGTACAATCACAAGCCTGAACCGGTAGCAGAAAATGAAAATGTAACAATTTTGTGGGATTTTACTGTTCACACTGACAAAACTATAGGAGCAAATCGACCTGATATTATAGTAAAAGATTTCACAAAAAAATCCTGTCTGCTAATTGATGTAGCTATACCATCCGAAAGGAACACCTCTAAAAAAATATTTGAAAAACTCTCAAAATACAAAGATCTAGAAATCGAGATACAAAAGATGCGGGGACTCAAAACTTCAACAATACCAGTTGTGGTGGGGGCGCTTGGACTTATCGGAAAAGAATTTGAAAAATATGTCCAACATATTCCAGGAAATATTAATGCAGAACAGCTTCAAAAAACCGTTCTTCTTGGAACAGCTCACATCTTACGTAATGTACTTTCTATCAACTGATGACCTCAAGAACTTGGAAAGTTTCCGGTCGCCAGAAGGTTAAAATAATAACATAAAAAAAGAAACTAAGAAATAATAATAATAATCTTTAGGGCCAGTAGTATATATTCACGGTTTAACTTCTGTTTTTGCCATTTAATCCTAGTTCCATATCACGTAGTTTTGTGAAGATTAAAACAATAATGTAAAACCGTAAATATATACTACCACGGTAAAACAGAAATGCTTATGCATAGGAAACTCCGACTGTGAGGGGTTACGCAGTTGGGGTTCGTTTTATGTAATGAACGTACCGGTACTGATGGTCCGTCGAAAGGCTTTGAAGAACTGATTCTATCAATCAATCATTTATTTCGTTACTCTGACATAAAAACAAAACAACACAAAAACTGGACAAACAAACAAAATGCAGAGATACCTGGAAGGCGAGCATAACTTAAAATAAAGTTAAAAAACGTAAAAGTACGCGCCCGCCCACCAAAAAAAATAAAAAATATTATTACACAGTGGCGGCGCGTCGATAGGGCCGCATACCTAGATACAGTATTGAGAGATCATCTTGATGCCGCAACTGTTTCGAAAGGGACATCTAAGGATATCCAAAATGATTTGCTCGACTCAATGTATAAAATTTATTCACAACATTTGGCTCTGGAAATTGAGAATTGCCAGTTCCTTTCGATTCAGTCTGACGAGACAACTGACATCACGTGCGTTTCCCAACTGGCTGTGATTTTTCGGTTTGTGAAAGATGGTAAACCTACCGAGAGATTTCACAGCTTTGTACCAATCGTTGATCGCACGGCTTGCGGGATATCGGCTGTACTGAAAGAAGTGTTACAGCCTTACAACGCGAAGTCAAAATTGATAGCTCAAACTTATGACGGCGCGGCAGTCATGAGTGGGTCGAAACATGGTGTTCAAGTTTATATAAAAGAAGATTTTCCTCATGCGCATTTTTTTACATTGTTATGCACACCAATTTATTCTCGTTATTAAAAATATGTGTCTTGATACCCCTCTCGTCCGTATATTTTTTGCAAATGCTTCGGGGTTTTCTTCATTTTTTTCCGTTTCGCCGAAGCGCTCTGACCTCCTTCGCCAGATATGTAGCCGCCGTCTCCCAGCTTGTGCACCAACACGTTGGAACTTCCAATCACGCGTGGTGCAGGGCGTGTCCGAAATTAGGTCTGAGCTCATTGAGTGTTTCAATGGCATTCAGAGCTCTCCGGTTTGTGACGAACGCTCTGTGAGGGAGGCGGCAGGTCTAAAGCGTCTGCTAGAAGATGGTGAGTTTTCATTTTTTCTCGCTTTTTTCTCCACAATATTCTATCACGTGGATGTATTATACGGCGCATTGCAGTCAAGGCTAATGGATGGAGCGTCTTTGCAGTCGTGTATTTCAGACTTCTGCGATGCTGTATCTCGTATCCGGGAAACAATAAAATACGACGACACATGGAGTGCTTCTTTACGCCGCGGGCAAATAACGCAGCGTTTGATTTTGTCTGCAAAGGAATGCTGTGACATTCTGGTGAATCAAATAGGCGATCGTCTGCGCACTGAACACCTTGCCGCGTTCTCTATGATGAACCCCAAAATTTTTTTTCAAAATTTGCACGTCAATTTCCCATCCATTTGTTGGCTACTGTCTCCAAATTTTACCCCATGATAAACGTGGGTAAATTGGAAAATGAATTGCGATGTATATACACCAATCAAACTTTTTTGTACATCACATCAACTTGCGCGCTCTATGGGTTCCTCATAGATAACACTCTAGTAACTACCTTTGCGGCGTCTGCAAAATTTCTGGACATCATTTTGACGACGCCTATTTCTTCCGCCGACGCAGAGCGAACATTCAGCACGCTGAAGCGTATTAAAACGTATCTCAGAAACACAATGAAGCAAGATAGATTAAATTCCTTGGCTGTTTTATCCATTCACAGAGACGTTATTTCTGGGATGCATGACTTTAATCAGCGCGTTATTGAGCATTTTGCTTCCAAGAAACCGCGGCGTGTTGCATATATGTTCAAGCAGTAGAAGTCTAGCAGCATATATATCTATGAGTGAGCGACGCATGTCCTTTTCTTTGCATTAACTTTTCTTTCTTCATAGTAACGTTTTAAACCTTATTTTAGGTTTTGTCTGCTTTCCCGAAGTTCCTGTTAATATGTCATTGTATTTATCTGGGTAAATATTGCCTTTCCTTTTGAAAGAGGTTTCAAAATAAACTATGTCTATATTTATTAATCCATTGACTTGGACCGGTTTTAAAGACACTTTCTTATCGTTAAAAATTGTCGCTTTTGCCTATTGGTTGTTACCGATGGAATGGTTTTTATACTCATAAAATGATGGGAGAACTTACAGCGCTCATTCTGTCCCCGTAGAAGGGGGTGACTTGGTCCCGCAGTAGCTTGCCCTGGTTGTCAAAATGACCACGCGAAATGTAATAGACTTCTGACGACCTCTTCCGTCCAATTATGGTAATCACCAGAATTTACCCCACATATCATATATATTATATATAAATGAAGTTGATTTTAAATATTTGAATGCAGCAAACTCTGGGTCTGGAATTCTAGATTGTGTATTGCTAAATGAGCTAAATAGCTGTAGGAAACATCTTGCTTTCAAATACATAAAAGAATCACCAATATTTTATCAAATGTACAAACCAGATAAAAATGTACCAGATTCTAGAGTATGTTTTGACCACTTTATCTCGTTTTTCGTCTGTTCGATGAAATGTTCAGTCGAAGTATGATGCTATCAAGTAAAATTTATATATAAAGTTTATAAACCAACTTTTCACATGGTTTAGGTTTCAACTTGACCGTCTGGGCATACCGGTCAGAGTTGGATCAATTGTAATTGATGTAATTAGTAATTACAGTTTTTCATGTAATTGTAATGTAATTGAGGCATTTTCGGTTAGTATAATTGAGAATGTAAATGTAATTTGCTGAAATTTTGGCTCAATTACACCAGGGCCCACCAAACTACGGCGTCCCTTCATCTGACCCGCAATAACACGAAAAAGGGCGAAATATTTTTCCATAGGGCGTTTTCCGAAAATCGCCTTCTTTTTTATTTCGTAACATTAGTCAATCAACAAGATGCGAAAAAGGGACGTAACAATATGCTTTTTCGCATCCGTTAAGACACTCATATCAGACAGATTTTTAGACGTGGTTGCCAAACCTTTTTTGGCACGGAACACTTATGATTTTTATCTCGCCTCGCGGAACACCAAAAAATAAAAAGGTAAAATCGATAAAAAAAAATGATGCGGTGCATCGATTCCCAAAGGGGTGGCGAGTTGCCAAATGCGCCGCGGAAATTAACAGAACTAAAATATGATTGAATATTTTACATATTGCATTTATTATATTGTTCCTATTTTAAATGCTGTGTATACGAATCAACAAATTCATTTCACATTTTTATACTCACGGTTAACGAAAATGCCACTACCCTCAAAAAGTTAGTCCGCTTTAGGTCGACGGTGACGCGATATTGAACGGTCACCAGTTAGTCTTCACCAAAGTGACTATATTCTTATAGTCACTTTGGTCTTCACGATCCCGACCAATTAAGTTGTAATTTCGACCTCTTTTCCACCTAACACACGGAAGACGCTTGTGAAACACTATCGTTCAGCGGAACACAGTTTGAGAAACGCTGGACTAGAGAGAAGATGAGATTCCCAGTTTAACCTTGTGTAATTTTTAAAATAAGAGAAACGTTTGGCTTGATTCAGAAATAAAATTGGCCGTGGATATCAATGAATATATCCATACAGAGGCTTGTTTGGAATGAAATGCCTGGAATGACAAAGCACACCTTTCGAGGTCAACGCAATATTCATAACACGCGGCTTCAAATAATGGATATTCGTGAGAAAACATTTATTGACATGAATGAATTACATATGATGAAAACTTGTGATCGCTTGCTGAAATGAGAATTCCAGAGCTTGGGCCCAGTAGTGCATTCTGGCTCACAGATTTACTCATAAAAGGTATGAACAAATTGGAACTACTTCTTTGATTGGGAGTAGTTTTGGTTAGTATGTCGTCGAAGCAGTTTGGCCAGGAATTGTTATGGAAATCATAGACTAAGGATAACACTTTAAATTTCATTATGTCTTCAACTTTGAGTATATCTAGCATTTTATAGTGATGGTTTACACTTTCACGTTTACTTTTCCTAAACACAAACCCTCCCCAGCCGGTCGTTCTGGTGCCATTTTACTTGGGTTATTTTTTGTAAACCATTAGGCCCTGAAGCTTCACTCATGGCCTTTTATTAGCGTGTGATAGAGCTCTTTTCAGCAATATATGTACAACGCACTCATCTAAAAAAACATTTTTTTACGCCAAAATTTCTATTGAACTTGCGAGATTTTGTGCCGAGTAGAGGGTTAACAATTATTCCTAATTAATTAATTTTTATTTCAACGTTTTCTTGTGTTAAACAACACCAAAATCACTATTATAGGAAGAATGGTTAGTCTAAAATTCACGATTGTATTTACAGAATTTTTAAGTTCAAAGCTTCAATTGACAATTTTGATGACGTCACACCTCTAATTATTACTGCACACGCCCCCCTCAATGCAAAAAATGTTACTTTTTTCGACGGAAATGCGCGTAGAAAGACGTAAACATTCTAATGCGCGCCGCTACGCGTGAAAATTACCATTAATTTTACGTTTTTTCACGTTTAAAAAATCTCGATACCTCTGCCAAGTATGGTGCAGTCGAAATCATATTTATCAAAACATCACAGTCCCAGGGATGATATGTATGACTGAAAATACATGCTAAACGAATAATAAGTCATTATAAAGGAATGATAATGATTGATTTTCTGAAATTCCAAAGGTTACTGAATGAATTTAAATAATTTATTCGCATATGTGATGAATTAGCAGAAATGCTTCATTGCATGGCATAGGTACGCATTGAAGATGTAACGAACATGATCTGCTTTGATTTGTCTAGTTAGGAGGGGAAAAAATAGTTAATAGGACCTAACAAGCATTATTTCAGCATAATAATCAACATATCTCTCTCTCTCTCTCTCTCTGCTTCGGAAATCAAACAACGTCATCAACGGGATATACTAATTTGCGTTCGATTCCAGCAAGGTCGAGTTTTAACAATTTCTCGCAAACCAAGTCCATTTTATGCAAACGGTGAACGCAAAAAAACTCGGAAGGTAATATTATATAGAATAAAATTTGCCACAAAAATGTTTGCGTGATTACCCACGTTTAAGCTGTGCACTAGCGCCCTCGTGCGTACAGTGTAAACTTAGATGGAATGCAATCTGGCATTATTTCAGTGACTTACTGCTGTTATGCGCGCTGTGTCATTTTCATTTTTCCATTGCAGTAACGGGTTCAGAGTTTGTGGTTTCAGTTTTCATAGACTGTAGATTAGCTATCAAAGCGCACACCGGTAGCCTAGATTGTATAATATTGCACTATTTTCCAATCAAATACATTTATTAAAATGTACCATGTGAAACGCCTGAGTAAGGACTGCCGTCAATATTCATGTTTGTGTTTGTGATTCGTTTTCTTTCGTCTTTGGTAAGTGAACGCGTTTAATACGTTTTAAACCTATTTTATTAGGTTTTGTTCACTTTCCAGATTCTTCGCCTTAATCTTTTGTGTATATATGTTTATTTTGTTTTTTCGAATGAATCAAAATAAAATCTTATCTTAAATAACTGAACTAGTATATATTGTTAAGGGTCTAGTGTAGATTAAATTCAAAAATTTTAGAAAATAATTGTTAATGTTATCTAGCGCAAGTCAATACCGTATTTCCCGGCGAATAAATCTACTCGACAAATAAGACGAGGTCAGTTTTGACGCCTGAAAAACAGGTTTTTGCTTACAACCTGCCAATAAGAGGTACCGGTGGTAAAATCACATCAACATCGGAATCTCAAATTACCGTACCATGTAAAGGCTTTTGAGCGGTCGCCGCCTTTGTGCATTGTTTGAAATAGACCATAACGACTTTTTTGTATAGCGTACCGGTAATATTCAATCCATAACAACTACTGGAATTCAAACTGTCTTTCTATTTCAATCTAATTGTGTTCAACGTAACTCGCTACCGGTATGGGATGCTATCGTCGAAGGTATTTCATGGTCCGAATTGAATAATAAGGTGACACCGAATAAAAAAAGGAAATTATCATATTCGCCTAAAAAGACGACCCCCCCAAAATCAGGCCAAAAATTTGGATGAAGAAAAGCGACTTGTTCGTCGGTAAATACGGTAATTAAAAATTTTTATGTTGTAATATTGATGAATGCGACTTCTTGCATTGCGTCTGTTGAAATTTCCATGCACTGATGCACTCTTGAAAATAAATTATGATTGTTTCAAATTTAATTCAACTATAAATTGCACCATAACCCTGCTATATACAGTAGATACTGATATACCGTAAGGCATCAAAAACATCATTAAAAGCTGAATACGGGAATATGTGCAAAATAATAAACACTCTTTTATCATTTTTTCTGCTAATGGCTTTTTACTGTATTATTCCAGTATTCTGTGGTAGCCTATATGTTGCCTTTTTCTTGTGATCTTGGGTATAAAAATGCAATATCTCGACTTACTAACACAAAATGCTTGGAATCTTCCAAGTCTATTCGGGTAATTGAATTTTCGATTATGTCGGTATGTCCGTACGTAGTATTTGATTTAAAGAATTCCAGCCATGATTGTTCAATTCACCATAAAGATTCATTGAATTGTAACTAGTCGGATAAATTTCACTTGATGCCCTAATAATGATAATTGTTTATAATTATGATATGATTTCTAATTTAGCGATATGACATCTGTATTTAGAAAATAAACCCAAAGCATTAAAGGGAGTCGATAATACAGTAATATCTGACCACTTGAATGCAAGACATAACTGTATAATAGCCTACATCTTTTTACTGATTTATTAAAATTAAATTATATTCATCAAATTATAGATGTCTCATATCACTTAATACATATTTAGCATATATGTGAACAACAAAGCTATAAAAGAGTGAAGATTTTGAACAAATTGAAAAAAATGTCTGGAAAGTGGAGTTATTTCGCGTTTTATTACACTTTGTTTTATTACTTTATTCCTATTTTTTGTTCCCTTACTGCTCCATCAACAAGTTCTCTGCCGATGACAGATTCATCTAATAATATAGGTGAGTGTATTGCATGTTGAAAACGTATTTTAATTGTAATAATAATTAGATCGTTGCTACTTTTAATTGGATTTGAATAATTCAAGTTGATTTATTTTGTAATAAAAATGTTAATCCGAAAAGTAGTAATTTTTGCTGTCTTGTTTCAAGGCAATTTTTTTTGTTCTATCATCGAAATAAATTTTTGGTCATTTCTAGAGTGAGTGGCATGTTTTTTAACTTTGTAATTGTCAACAATTTGTATTATTTGAGAGTTTGGAGAAAATTTTGTTCCAGAGATAAATAGAGATGACTGAAATATAATGTTGTGAAATATCTGCTTCATCTTTTGAAATGATTGGCAGCATTTTTTATTGTTATTTTGCTTTTTATCACCAAAGAATTACAGTTCCGTCATGGGCCCATTGAAGCTGCAAAAGAGCCATTGATCTTTGATATCCATGACACCATTCGTATAAACTGTGGGGTAAAGGGATTTCCAAAGCCTACTGTGCTTTTCTACAAGGGAGATAAACTATTACGTGAACCAAAGCCAGAGGACCTTAATCCTTCTCGTGTTCGTATTGAGCGTACAACTCTTCGCATCTTTCCTGCTTATATTGAGGATTCTGGGACTTATCGTTGTTTCGCTGAAAATGGGTTTTCCAACATATCTCTGATGTTCCAAGTTAATGTAGTAGAAGGTGATTTTTCATGAAAAGCCATGTAGTTTGGTGATCATTGGGTGACGCTGGTTTGATCCGCAAGGGCTTGAAGTTGTTGCGACTAGATTCTCATTGGTGCTAGTTTATCATAATCCAATCATTATTCATCAGAATTGCATGTAGTGGTGCCCCTTTTCATTCCAATTGCTTGCCTGTTGTTCATGTTTAAAATAGGGATATCTATCTTTCTAAAGGCATTTTCTTGTACAATATGTGTTTGATACAGCAGTTTCAAAATATTGTACAGTATGAAGAATTACCTAGATGACTTCAAATAATATCATTTTATGAATAGCTTGCCATTCTGAAATTCTCCTTTTTAATAAAAGTCTGCTGTTTTAATTTAAATTGATCTATCACCTTGAAAACGAAGATTCAACTTCATTCAGCTCAGCAGTCAGCGCTTTTCTTCAATCTAATTAACGGTGGTTGAAGATAAATGCACACAATCGAGTTTCAATAAAAAATAAAATATCTGTTCATAAATTTGCTACAGTTTCACTGAAAAAATTGACAAATTCTCAAATAATGATAATACTTTTTTGAAGTTATGCGCGAGTGAAAGTTTATAAATTTTTAATATACCTTTGAAAAACCTCCCATGAGAAATTTCCTGCATGATCATGCTTGTATTTGGTGATAACTGAATTTTTGTTTTGTTGTGAGTTGGGAATTTTTTCATATCAAATAAATGAGTTTCAACTGATAAAGTTAATCTGAAAGAGAACTGAGCAGTGTAAAAGTAATGTAGAATTGGAAATTAGTTTTGTTATAATCTTACATTGACTTCCTTTATTGGTTCACATTTGTCATATGATTGAATATTACATCCTGTTACTATAAGTCTGGCAGGCAATTCATGATTTAATTCAGGAATCAGTAATATATTTCTTTACTATACTGATAGTGATAATACAAAGTATACATTCACAAATTCAAAGAAAATTAATTATCTCGATTCAGGGTGAAAGAAAACATCCAAATTCTGTGCTTAACTTTCGTCACATTATGAATATATAAATAAGTATAACACAAATCCAATTTTCTGTTAAGCTACTTGGCTGAGTTTTTACAGCAGGCATTGCATGCCCATTTATATATCTATATTTGGATGGCAATCAAAATTTGAGAATATAATCATTGTCAGTTACTTAACATACAGTGTCTGTATTTTAAGCATGTTGCATTATTGAGATAATGGTGAATATTTAGTCTCACAGTTATTTCCTTATCACAAGAAATATACATGATGCACCGAATATAATCATAGGCCAAAATTGTTCGTAAATTGGTGAAAATAATGTATATTTAAACAAATGATAAATGATTTTACTTTTCACGATTGTACTATTGTTTTCATGAGCCCGTTGAGCAAGATTCTAAGGATAAAAAATTATTGTTTTACAAAAAAATGAATAGTTTTAAAGTATTTCTGTATAGAAAATATAAGAAATTTAACATATTCCTCCTACTTCCGGTGCTCTTCTTTTTACATGTTTGGTGTTATGTGGTGATTGTCATTGTAAAGTATTGGTATTCAATTTTCATTTATTTTATCAGATGACAATACAGATAACAGCAGTCCTGTTACAGAGCTGACACCCTTAACAGAATCAGGTTTTTGAATATTTTTATTTGTCTAGGATAGGAGGATAGGATTTACATATTTATACATAATTGAACTATATTTTTGATACTGGATATCTGGCATCTTAGAGGCAAAATGTATACCTCTCAATAAATGCCAACATCATATTTGATTACCGGTATGTGTCGATTTTTTTTGTCGTTTTAGGAAATGTCCATAATTTGCTGTAGTTGAAAACAATATAAATGATATTTGAATACTTTATTTACCAGTGTATAGTTTCTCATGTTCTGAAATTTGTTAATTTATAATTTAATGATAACATCTTCAATTATGATTCCTTTTCAGCTTACCCAGGACAAGGACGTGAGTATTTTATTTTTTATCGTAGTTAACTAGAGATCTGCGACTAAATAAAAGATATAAATTTTTTTATATACATTACTGGAATATTGTAACATACCTTAGCTTAATATCTTCATATTAGTAAGGACAGCAAATCCTATTCTTCAGCTTATATTATTTATTCATATCATGAGCTGTAAAGAATTTCATAGCCATGTATTAAACCCACTTTTTTATATGATTCGAATTTCAGTAAAACCATATTGGACGAAAATAGACCGAATGCAGAAGAGACTTCATGCTGAACCGGCAGGAAACACTGTGAGGTTTCGTTGTCCAGTGGATGGGAATCCTGTACCGAGAGTGGATTGGTTTAAAGATGGAAAAATTATTAAGAAAGATAGTAGAATTGGAGGTGTCAAGGTATGAAGATAATCAGCCTATAGTGTAATAATTCATCTGTACTTTTTAAATTGACTGTATCATATGAAATATAATTCTTTTAGTGCCTAGTAGATCAGACGAAATTTGAGTTAGTCGATTATTTTAGTGGGATATGCATGAATACTACTAGTTTAACAATAGAGCGATATCTATCGGCATCAGTTCATGATTTAAAATCACAAGCAAATTTGAAATTTTTGGATATTAGGGGAATGGTAAACTACCATATCATCATATGTTACCATTTATAAGTGTATTTATTGCTTTTCATATATTTACTGTCCTACATTATTTGCCAAACCTGTTATTATTTTTTGTCTTTCATGTTTCATTTTACAGTATCGTAACAATGGACAAATGATAATATTGGAAACAGTTGTTCCACCTGATCAAGGCATGTACATGTGTAAAGCCAGCAATAAATATGGATCTATTAATCATACTTATGAATTGGATGTGCAAGGTACATTAGTAATTTTAATTATACTGTTTCAATAAGGCAATAGCCCATATTCTTCCTTAACTTCAGAAAATGTTAGTTAGATAATAGTTAGTGTAATGTATGAAACACATAGGCATATATCAAGAAAATTTTTTAATTTACTAGGTATTTATCATAAGTTAGTTATATATATTGAATCCGTATGGTATGTTAAAATGTAGTCTTAGTTTTCCTAATAATCTTTTCGGTGAGTTGTTTGTAAAGGAAAAATACAAGACAGCTTATTCATATATGAACCATATTAATGGTCTGGGTGAGGTATGAGTTTTGATTCTACTCACAGTAGAATTTTTGTTAGCATAGAAGATCCCAAAACATGTTAATCAAGGATGCTTGAATAATATTGTAACAGTGAGTTTTAGTAGAAGAGAGTTAATATTCAGTATTTGATTTGAAGAAAACAATTTAAAAATTTAGGTGTTTACTAGAAAATAGTGTATTGTGCTAATTTAATGAAGAGCTTTTAGCAACCATGGAACTTGGGGTTACTATTATTGAGTTTGGAACAAGCTGTTTTTGTCATGAAGGCAATTAATATGGTTTAATTTCGAATTGTTGATGAATTTTTTAAGGGTGGATAGTTTGTTTTGTTACAGAAAGACTGAAGTTAGAATAAAAATTACCTTTATTAATAAATTAAGGGAAAATTTTTTCTCTCCCACGCTTTTGCTAACAGTAACACTGTTGGATAATTAGGATGAGATTAAAAAATGGAGGAAAACTTTATTCTTTTTATAAATGGGCATATCGTGGCCATGCTAGCCACATTGTTTGCCGAGGTGTAGTAGTGCCTGTTGATAATCATTCAAAATTAAATTTTCTTAATGATCATCACAGAGCGTGCAGCTAGTCGACCTATTCTCAAGTATGGTCTGCCGGCAAATAAAACTGTAAAAATTGGATCTGATGTTGAATTCAAGTGTAGAGTGTATAGTGACCCCCATCCCCATGTCAAATGGGTGAGATACGTACCGATCGGCAGCGGGGCTAACGCATCTGAAAAAGTTGTCATTTTAAAGGTATTGAAGTGTCATTGGTGTCGTTCGCGTATATATTTTCTGTTCTTTTTTCGTGTACTTCTGGGGGCCTGTTGCATGTGAGGCATATTTAGTTTCCTCACGCAGCAAAGTTTCTGTTTTCCCTCATAACGACTAACAGAACATGCCAATATCTGCTCCAAAACAAACTTTAGTTGCCATATGCCGGAACATCGCGCTTTTCGTAGGTGTTGTAACTTGCTTGCACTAATCGTCATGGTAATAAAAACAGGTTAATTTTATCATGATTCATTCTTGATTTGATAAACAGATTTTTGTCATCTTCGTGAGTTATTAATTTTTTCTGTTTCTTTTTTATTATATGCATTTCTGCTCTTCTTGTGGTGACCTGTCGTGTTCTACAACGTGTTCGGTGTCTGATGTTCTGATGGTGATTTCACTTCTGCCAATATTTTCCACCCTTTTTGTTTATTTCTTCTTCAATTATTAATTTCATCATATTATGCAATAATGTTATCACCCAACGCATTTTCATTTTATGCGTCATTCTAACCCTAACCCCATTTATTTCATCCCTTCAATAACTTTTCGAATCCTTGTCCCTTTACCCCTCTCTTCTTTATGGTTTGAAATTGGATGCCCCGTAGAACGCACTGCTGCTGCTCCTTTGATTCCTGATGGTATCCTGGTTAATCAGACCGTTTTTCTTGGTGATGACGTCACTTTCAAATGTAAAGTGTTTAGCGATGCCCACCCTCATATTGAATGGATCAAGTCATGGAATGTTGGAAACGATACTAGAGTTGAAGTCCTGAAGGTAAAAAGATCGTCAATGAATATAAGGTTATGGAAAATGGTACTATGCAATGCATAGCTTCAAATATTTCTATGTGATAAGTGTGCAAGTGTCATCTGTTGGTACCAAAATCTAGATGTCACATTACTAAATATGACTATTCGAACCCTTAATCTGATTGCATGATGTGCACTCTGAAGGCACTAGCCTATTCGGCCTATTTTGACTTTTCTTTTTCTAAAAAAAAATTGAAGTCTGTCTTTGTGCGACATGCATGCCACTTATGCACTTATCTCGTGAGGAATATTACACCCTTTTGACTTGTTTCTTACCTGTTCATTCATCCTATGGCCATTGCATTTTGTTGTTTTATCATTTATCCATCACCTTAACGTTTTATTATAAATATTGTTCCGCTTTTAACAATGGCATTCTGTTTATCATCTTTAGCATTCATCATTATTGTCCACATTTTAATGTAGTTTTAACTTCATATTCATTATTGACATTTATTCTTTGCTTTGACGAACTGTTCTCTTTTCTTTTTATATTATTATATAATATGTTTGCCACATATGGCGCACCTCTTGTCTAGAAATAATTATTTCAATCAGTATATCTGAGTAGAATATATATCAAATGGATATCACCATTTGGGCGGTAACAAAAAATGACAAAAACAAAAAATGGCAATTTTCAATTTTCATAACTTAGAATAGATATAAGAATAGAATCTTCCCGCCAAGGATATTTATCCTGGGATATTTTTTTTATTTGGCTTCTTTGATCCTATTACGTAAATGTAGATTTATTTTTAGTCAGATTATGATGTATGACAATCATATCCTGTTTTGCATTTTTTTTCCACACTCCAAACCAATTGCAATTTTTTTTTGTATTGCAGTCATATCCTGTTAGTAGCATTTCTTGTAAGACTAATTATTTGTCTTCTATATAAATTTCCCATCCGGTCCCACTATTGCTATTAAGGAGTTTCGTTTTTAATCACCAGATTGAGATGTATCACTCATCCTGTTTGTGTTTTTTTTTTATAAGAAACAAAATGAGAAACAACTATTTGTCTTTTAGATTTGAGAGGATTGTGGCTTTGTTTTCCACAAATCAGTTTATTTTGTATCACAGTCATATCCTGTTTGCATATTTTTTATTCCCAGAATTCAAAAATTCTAAACCAATTGTCTATTTTACGGATAAACCTTCTCATCCGGTACCACTGTTCCTATTATGATGTACTTGTTGTGGTTTCATGTTTAAACGCTCGGATTATGATGTATTGCAGTAATATCCTGTTTGCGTTTATATTTGTGAGATGCAAAAAAATGTGGAACAATTATCTGCTTACTGTAATTTCCTGTGTTATAACGTATTGTTTGTATTGTTCCTGTACTTGCATTTTATCACCGGATATTTCATTTGTTATGATTTCTTTGGAATGTGACATTTTGCTTTATATTTGCGTAAATTTGCTGAGCAAACACAGGCCAGGGCAACGCTTTGTTTATAGTCATATGAGTGATTTACCAAATATCATCCGCTCTACGGAAGTGTATTTATAACAGAATGATATACGGTACCATTTTCATGTGGCCATGCATAAATACGCATGAGCTTAAGTATGTGATACAATAAGCATCACTTCCTAAGTTGATGCTTTCTACGCTTTATCGCACCATTTGTAACAAACAATTTGGTTTTGCAAACATTCTTAAGTCTTTGGCTTTTTCTCCAATCGACCGTGTCTACCCACAAACCCGCTTTTGAAGAGACTCTTCATTCCGCATGACTAACACAATGATGGCAATTTTCCGATTTGATCCAATTTCAGTAAGCCATGAATCCTTTCACAGTCCATTTGTCCTGGTAATAACTTCAAATTGTTTTCATATTATCAGCAAAACTGCCTTTTTTTTATTGGTGATATCTGTCTGTATAGCTGAGTTTAAAACCAATGATAACTGTAATTATAAGCAGTGAAATCTATATCATGATAGCATGGCAAATTTGTAATTTTCTTTCAGACGTAAATAATCTTCTCTGGTTGAAAATATTTATAAGTCTGAATTGACCCTGAACTGCCCCCCTTTTGGGGTTATAACCGCCCATTATGCCGTGAAAAGTAATAACCTTTATGTTACATTTATTTGAGATATCGTTCCAAATATTATTTCAGAATCCATAAAAGAATGGTTTTGTATACATAAATTATAGAGATTTCTGCTGGTCATAATCACCCTTGTATCCATTTTAAATTTAAAGGCATTTTATAAAGGAATCAATGCCTATCAATGAATATCTTTGTTGTACATCAGTCATGGATGGCAATACTGTTATGGTATTTAGAAACACATGACGATATTTGCCTGAATTGATTTTTAATTTTTATAGTTCAAACCATGTTTCACACTTTTTTTATGGGATGCTAAAATCCAAGTAAAATGATATTTCTCTCTACTTTTGTAATTTTTATTTTAGTTGTATATTGGGAATTGATACATTATTGCACATGACTGCTTTTCAAATACCATATAATGTACATTTTGTATCTGACTCTTGAGTTTACAATTTATTCATTGAATATATTTTTCTATGGTGTGCATGCTTTCATTCGCTTGCGGGTGTAAAAACTTGTGATTGGTGACTTTTCTTCCATTTCGAATTATTTATAAAATTATTGGTGACTTTTCTTCAATTTTGAATTTTTTATATTGATGGATGAGTACTGATCTAGTTTTGTGTTTAGCAATCTGGTATTAACGAATTACAAGCTGAAAGTTTATTCATATTCAACGTAACGGAAGAGGACAGCGGAAAATACACTTGCATTGCTGAAAACTATATTGGAACAGAGAATAGTTCTGCGTGGTTAACAATATCGGGAGGTACCATTAGTAATATAAAACCATGGTGCCTAATCTGGAACTGAAAATTTGGGTGCAGTTGGGTGATGATCTACATCTGGTGCTAAATTAAAATTATCACAAACACTATACATCTCATTATATACATATGATGACAACCAACTATGCATGGTGGTGCACAAGATTATTGTTGAGTATTTAATCTTCATTGTTCGTATCTGTTTCCTGTGTTTACGTTGTATTAATCTGTGTCATGTTTACATTGTTATTTTGTTTTTGATGACGTCTGGTGATAGTAATGTGCGGCCTTAAGAATGCTATGATCATTGTAGTATTGCCTCAAGGCTATTGGTGTTGTGCTATTATGTTTAATTGTGGTGATTTTATTGCTTCTTTTTTTAAGATGTAATTATTATCTTTCAATCAAATAACTTTTGAATCATACATGGCTCTTTCTTGTGGAAAGATTTTATTAACTGTTGCCCATGTATGATTGAAAAGTCATTATACTCCTTGATTACAGCTTACTCTGATTTTAGCTTTTTACTGCTGTGTTTTATTGCTTTGCATATCAAGTTGAAGTAATTTTTTAGATCATTGGTTTATTTTGTCATTCCACTCGAGTGATCAACTATCATGTGTTGATTTAACCAGAATATATTACATTAAATCAATGGCTATTGGTTGCCTTCCCCACAATGTTTTCCTTTATAATGACCCCTATTCAACACTGTTTGCTCAGGCCCATTGAACACTCGAAGTTTCATTGTATTTGCCCACAACTACCATTACGGAATCATAATATAGGAATCTGTGTTTAATCCAGGGATGGCCAAAACTGAATAATCTTTTATCATGAATGATTTCTGAAATAATATTCAAAATCGTGGAATATAATATGTATTTATTCTAAATTGGATAATATATACAAGTATTCAATGAGGCTGACTCGATTCGTTTTCCATTTTTATTACAATTTCCAGACAATAATTGAAGATCTTTTTCGTTATACCGATTACTCCATTGATAATAATAATTTTTTTCTCCAATAAAACTATTCTAAATTAAGAGTCCTATATTTGAAGCATGAAATATCAAATACAATAAGTTTTATTTGGACATCCCTGAACTATCCCTTGACATTCCACATTATTATTCCCTCTAATTGAAAATATGAAAACATGTCAATGATTGAAATGAGAATTAAATCACTAAATTTGCAAAAAACGCACCAGATTACAGTTCAATTGGAAACTAGAAGGAATTCATAATAATCCAGTATAATTTCATACAGTGGTGCACTTAAAAATTACATTGCATGTTATGGTGACATCTCAAAAACAGTTTACTTTGGATGAATTAGAAATATTTAGAAAGAAATTTGCCATCATTAAAGGATTTCTCAAATTGATGTATCTGATATCTCCATTTCATTATTTTTATTTTAAACTGAACCTTGTTGCCGTGACGTTACTCAAATTTGGTATATTTTAAGAAAGCTTGTTTTATTTGATATACTAAGTTGCAACCATTTTTCCATACATGGTGTTTATCATCATTTCATTAAATTTATGCATATCGTATCGAAATATACCACATGCATAAATTTCAAACTGCTGGTACTTTTTTTTACACTGCCTGCAATCAACTTTTTTATGCATGGGTGAATTCATTCTCTTACCATATTTATTCATTGACTGACAGGCTGCTGGTTCAAACACAACCAGTCGCGATATGGAGGTGTTGCAGCTCAAAAATGTAACATTTGCTGATGTCGGCGAGTATACTTGCCTTGCTGGTAACTCTATTGGAATTTCTTATCAGAGTGCTTGGCTCCAAGTGCTACCAGGTGTGAATGAGCTTGCTGACTTGTATTCAAATATGTGGGGATTAATTTTTAATCATTTCCTGGTGTTTTGGTGCTAATTGAATATACTAATAACAGATTGTTAAATTATGCATTTTCTTTTATTGATTTTGTTTATCATGAAGAGACACATTGGCTTGTCAGTTTTTTCCTAGGATTCCTCAGCCAATTCAATTCTCAACTCAATAACGATTACCAAACGTTTCGCATGTCCATCAGTATGTATATTCCTTGATACTCAAAATAAAAGGATTTTACAACAGTGAAATTACAGATTTTCTGTTACATGTAAACGGAATTAAAATATATTCCCATCGAACAATTCGCACTTCCAAATAAGTCAAACAATAATTTGGGCATATTGATGACTTGATGAAATAGCATGTACCAGGTAACTGACAATTGATGTGCCTTCATTTATTTGATGGTTAAACAATATCCCAAATGATCACGACATCTGCATTATCTTATGACTTCTGTTTGTTTTTAATTGATCCTGACTATTCTGGTTTTTACAAAATTATACATATCAAACATGCCCCATTGTTCGTTAGCCATAATGTGTTATTGAACATTGAGTTGGCTGCAAACCTGGTTTTGGAATTGAATTTTTCTTGGCTTCCAGGCTAATATAAATAAATGATAAGCCAATGTGTCTATTGTTGAGTTGGATAACAGGCTTTATATAATTTTTTGTACCATTAGCGTTATAACTGTGTACTTTGCATATCACAGACACTCCAAAATGACAATCTTTAAATTTCAAATTAAGGGTATCAATTGTCTATAAGACTGTAATCAAGTTATGCTTGTTACTTTATGATACCATTGATATTAATATGGGAGAGTGCTTCAATGCTTATTTTATAAGAAGGGATTTGAATCTATGGTGTCTTCCTGAAGTTATTCACTCATACTACGAAACATGTACACTTTTTTGACAAATGTTCTTTTTCTCAAATTAATTTTTTCCAGAGCCACCACCAACAGAACCTACAGCTCTTTCTCAAGAGATGAATTTGATAATTTATGGAATATGTGGAGTGCTTGGTCTTCTGGTCGTTTCTGGAATCATATTGTTCTTCTATTACAACTATTATAGTGGGAAAGGTTGTGAATCTATTTTTTTTGAAAAGTAAAAAATAACTGATTATAGTCTGGCTTTTCAGATGTAGAATGGATTTTGTGAATAATGAACAAGTAATGTAATCACACATACACTCACTCACACATATTACAAACTATATGGGATCGATTTTCTTATTAAACCTATGGAAGAGGAAATATGATGGTTTAACCATAAGGTGAACCAAATCCCCCTTCCTGTTATTCGTCCAGAATCCTGATCATGTAACCAAATAAGCATTCCAGGTGCATTAAATTGGGCTTAAGAAAAACTCATTTTTGAAACAATTTGTCCTGAAATTGACTAACAAATCATGGGTGGTATAGCTTAGCCCTTATTTGGCGTCTTGAATTTCAACATAATTTTTTTCAGAATAATTGTCACTGAGATATTTTGTAACTTTTGAATCGGCAAATTTTATGCCTTCGGGGCCTTGAATATTTAATGATACGGTATCCTCTAGTTTGAAAGTTCATATAAGTTTATCAAGCGTTATGCTGTTGGTATAAAATATCCACCTTACGGAGCAAAAACAGAAAATGTATGGCATTATTTGCCATGCATAAAATTTCATCTTAAAATAATAAAAACACTAAATATTTCTCCGGGTTTAATTTGACAAGGTTTTCATAAAGTCTTCATACTTTTTAAATTACAAAGGGTGATTTCAATATATATTTCGATAAAAAAAAAACAGGTTGAGATATATTGAGAACTGACTTTATAACATTATTCTGAATATACTTGGACTTCATAAAAACCCTTTCTTTAACGGAAATATTAATTCATAATTCAGATAGATCTGAAACCCCATCTACCTAAAATTTTCAACCTGACCTGTAAAATGGCAACACTATTTTAAGTATAATGCGGTACAGATCATCATGTAAAATTCATAATTGTAAAATGTCATTTTTTTCATCTTACCTATGTGGAATAGTATTATTGCAGATCTAATACTCATAGGATATTTGTTTCAAGTTATTTTTACATGATTGGAATCATATTCTAAGCTTTTAAAGTGCTTTTGGGTTGGTGTAATCCTTATCGACATTTCCAGGTCTGCCCACATACAGGGGAATTTCATTTCGGGCTCGTTAAATTTCAAGTGCTTCCAAGTTCCAACCATGTTTTTCTTAAATAATTAAATATTAGAAATAGGAATCAAAACAAGGTGCATAATCATGTGCCTGTGTTGTTGTTGGTGCACAGGTTGAACTATGTGGCTGCCAACTCACCCTGGGTGCAATAAGTTTGCAATGGACAAATTATGGAAACAACATTTAAATTTTAATAAAATATTCATAATTCCTTCCACCCACTTTCACAGTTGTAGCTAAAATATTTATTTTTTTAATTTTTTTTCATACTGGCCAAAGTGGCCATTGAAACAATATGGTTGCGATGGCTTCGAAAGATAAATGTGTTATATGCATTTATCATGGAAAGTTTTAGTAATTATATTTTTCAGGCATATCCCTATAAATGTAGGAAATGATATCCCTTTTTTTGCTAAAGAAAGTGTTTCTGAAACCTAATTTTTATGATTTAGTCATTCTATTTTCAGTTACAATTCTCTAATTTTTTGTGCTAATCACTCATTTTCAGATCCACCCATGCTATTTCGGATCGAAAACGCTGATAATTTACCCCCAATGACGAAGATTGAAGTCCCAACAATGATGTACGGCAATGAACAGGCATGGAGGCGCATGTGTTTGCCAATGCAAGAACAATTTGACTTCAACATTCAACCAGACCTGCAGTGGGAACTTCGCATAGAGGAGTAAGATAGGATTATAACTTAATATTTTTCTGTTATCTAGTCACTGAGTAAAATTTCTGACCACTTTATTATTATTTCTGTTTGAGTGTCTTTTTTCAAGAATAATTGTATTGAAATGTCTCGTTGAATCAAATTGTATTGCTATATATCTATCTATATATCAATTCCACATCTATTTAAAATATGGTATTTGAAAGTAATAGTTATTGAATTATATAAATATTATTAATATGCTGATAAACTTCTGGTGTTATTTTATACAAAAAAGTTTTGAATCTATAATTGGCCTCATTAGCTCATTACTCTTGTGTAAATCATGAAATAGGAAATAAAATTGCTCAAAATGAATATTCGAATTTAATTTTTTGTACAATTTTAATCACTCTCGCTCTGAACAAACTTTTAGTCGGTCATGGTATGTAGGAATGCTCATAGGTTTAGGTAAATACTTCTGAATTTCTGCGTAAGCATATACTCTTTTCAAATCTATTACTTTCTAAGTGGTGGAAATGGGGTTCATGGTATGTAGGAATGCTTATAGGTTTAGGTAAATACTTCAGAATTCTGCGTAAGCATATATACTCTTTCAAATTTATTACTTCCTAAGTGGTGGAAATGGGGTACTGAAGCCAAATTCTTCAGTCTGTGTTGCTAGAATGGTTGTTAAGGCCAACTATAATAAGCTCTGGGCCATTGTGCTCTCAAATCCTGATTTTATGAAACAAGTTATTTTATTTTTGCTGTTTATTTTCAGTATCACATTAACAGAACGACTTGATGAAGGATTCTTCGGTCAAGTATTCAAAGCTGATCTTGCAACATCATCTACTGGTCATAACAGTTCAATGGTTTGTGCCGTAAAAATGCTGAAAGGTAAAGTTTAAATTTGAAGATCTCAAGGCAAAATTGCTGATACGGCAATTTTGTTGAAATATTTAGTTGAAAATATTTTATTATACTCAATTTCAGTATGTATATATTTTGGAAAACGGTGAATTGTACCTCTTTTTTACTGTAATGGAGATGAATATCAACTTTCATCCTTCCTTCCTCTCACTGCACTGCAATTTATATGTGATATAAATATTTAAATGTGTAGAATTGAAAAGAGAAAAAAAAATTCGAGCCATGTTTCACATATCCCAGGAGTTGCAATATGCAAATCAACCCAAACATTGGTGAAAATTTAATTTGAAGTTTTTAAATCAACAATTAGGTTTATTAGCAAAACCCTAAAATGGTTGATTGTTAATAAAGGCATAATTGGGGACCTTTATAATGATGTAAAAAGAAGAATAATTGAATTCGGGTATTTTCATAAAATCCGTCTTAGTGTTAGATAATGTCAACATCAACAAAGACAATGCCTCCCTAGTGTCTAATCATAGTTTAAACCAATTTTCACTGAAGAATTTAAATAAAGAGGAGTGTAAAAATCAAAAATACATTTTCGTTATTTTGTCAAACAGATTTTGCAAATCTTATTATTTTGTGTTTAATTAAAAGCCTTCGAATTATTATATGCTTTTTAAAATGGTAACTCTCTTTCTCTCAATTTAACTCTCATTTACATTACAGCATTCATAATATAAAAAGAAAAGCACATATTTTGGGAAGTGTAATTTTCTTTAAAAATGTATTGTAAAATTATTTTGTAACAAAAAAATAGAAAATTTGTTCGATTAGTTTATCAATGACAATATATTCGAGCACTCAAATTCAATATTTATCTCTTTAGCTTCTCGAACAGAAAAAGATGTTTACGATCTCCTCACTGAAATGGATCAGATGAAACGAATTGGAAAACACAAAAATATAATTAATTTATTGGGTGTTTGTACACAGAATGGGCCGCTAATGCTTGTAATTGAATATGCTGCTGAAGGAAATTTAAGGTTACTTTTAAATAATATTATCATAAGTTTGAATAAAGTAACATGTAAACAGAGAGAGAGATTTATTGTTCTGTTAACCAGAAAACAAGCAATGCTACAATAAAATATATACATGAGACAGACTGTTGGGAGTGATACAGCCATATGGTCACCAGAGTCAGCTCTCCCCAAATTCAAAATGACTGCGGCTCCCTTTCTCTGCCTTCGTCCTGGTTGATTCCATACTTATTTTTATATCATCAAAGATGTCCCACTCAGATGAAATGCAAAAATATAAAAATTTGTGAGAGTGGGATGCAAGCCATTCAAACCAATTGTTATATTATATCTCAATTTTTCCGACCATTAGCATATTTTGATAGATATTAATATGAATTATAATAAAAACTAAAATTCAAGCCATTTTAAAAGTTAAATAGACTATTGAATTGTTTTTATGAACTCAATAAATTGTATTGATCAAAATTTTTATTCTCAACATAGCCATCAATATAGTATGGTACACTTTAGGTAGGGTATTAACTTTGATTCAGATGTTTACTAGACAGGCATCTGGTTTCCTTTGCTAATATAATTAAAACGACATACTAACCAACATTAAGTTATAAATGGTCACTTATACGTCGTCATATTTTTAAAACTACAGAGAATTTTTGAGACGCAACCGACCCCAAAATATGGCTTTCAATTTGGTGTTACCAACGGACTTGAACAATCCACAACCAGATCAATATCCACCACAAGATAGACTTTTATCACAGAAGGATCTTGTCTCATTCGCACTTCAAGTTTCACGGGGAATGGACTATTTGGCACAGAAAAAGGTATCTAGGGACGTTTAAAAAGCCATTAGTACTTGGAATGAATCATTTGATGCTGTAATAGGTTTTTAAGGGAACTGTCAAAATATCATTAATACTTGTCATAAAGACTTGAAGAATTACTACACAGTAGATATTATTTATTGTCTGCATAAAAGGTATTGAAGCCTAATAGTAAAAATTAATGGCTTAAAAATATTTTGTTATCTGATTTAGTATTGTGTATTAGCCTCCAAATGATCTTTATTATCATTCTCATCTGAATTCAATACTTAGGACTAGTATAACTTTTCAAACTGATGCTACCTTTGGCATGTCTACAGAAATTAATGTCAGCAAATATCAATAATCATTGCCATCAATGATAATGAAAGATAAGCAGTATAATAGAAATTACCATTTTTTGTACAATACTTTTTCATTACAATGATTCCACTGTATAGTAAATCCATTCAGATTTTTCAAAATCAAAGTAAATAAAAATTGAAAATTTCAGAATAACATATCATTTTTTAATTTGCGGAAATTGGTAATAGACAGGTCACATTGATGGGTGAATCGTTTTCGCTAAATAGAGTTAAATTTTATGTGTCAACTATAACAGATGCCATTTATAGTAGCTTCCAAAATATATTTCTACTTAAATAAATAAATCTATATGGTTAATATTCAACTTTTATGGCGTATTTCCATTATAAATTGGCTTGTTATTATTTGTTCGTAATATTATGACAGTCATTTATCATGTAATAATCAATTTACAACGAGAGGTGTTTTCCAAAATGTATTATGCTTCTCATTAATTGATTGAATTGTCAGTATGTGGTATTTTTATTGTTTATTGTATTCCTTTCATTATATGATATTTTTTGTTTCATTTTGCTATATGAGTACATTTAGATTTGAAACATGCTCCAAATAAGCAAATACTTATTCAAGGCAATTTTTTTATGATTGTAAGGAAAAAGGAAGCCATGTATGAATATTTTAGCAACCGCCCTTTTTTATGTTATAGTTTTTTCTTAAGTTGATTTTTAATCTACATACTTTATTTGTTCGTTTCAGTGTATTCATCGAGATTTGGCTGCAAGAAATGTTCTAGTTACTGATGAACGAATGATGAAGATTGCTGATTTTGGACTTGCCAGAGATATTAGAACGTGCGATTATTACAGAAAACATACTCGAGTAAGTAATTGGCCCTAAATTTAATGAATGAAAACAATAAATTTTGGGGAGAATATCCACCTTATTGAACTAAAATCCTTCTAAACTATCACAATACCTTTACCAGTCAGATGAAGACTGAGTTGGCGTCTTAAATCACATTTTATATCTTATGTTCAAGTTCCATTCTCCCCACCTCACTCAGTGTGTAATAAATTGGGCAGGCAATTCTGAACTGAGAAAATTCCAGTAAATGTACCGTACATATCGTTAGATATCAGCGGATACTTGTAAAGTGACTTGTTCGGAGGAAAATAAGAATAGTGTAGTAAGACATGAAATTTTTCACGGTTATTATTGAAATTTGCTCTCAACAAGGGACTTGTTCGTCTCAAAGGTGGAAAAAGGAAATAATAATTTTTTTTTAGACCTCAGCAATTTCTTTAGGATTGAGGCCATGGGCTTATAACAGGACACTAATTTGATTTTCACTTTTAATCAAGTTTGGTACATGTGTGTGATGTGTGAAAACCAATTTTATTCCACATACTATTACATCATTTTGAGTTTTTCCGCTTTCCGGAAGAAAATGACGTGTTTTCCAAACTTTCAACCCTTTTCTCTCATGCTAATGAGGTTCAAGTATCTCGAACAACTCTACCTGATATGCGTAATTCCTGGATTAAGTATGCTTACTTGGCTTTAATAGCAAATCTTACTTTTAAGGGTCACTTGCCCTACAAATGGATGGCACTTGAGGCAATGGCTGACAATGTTTTCACACATGCTACAGATGTGTAAGTATTACTGGTCTTCATATTGTTTGGAATTGTTTGAATGCGCAAGAATTCTAGGTATTAGATGTGAAATTTTGTATTTTTGAGTATATTTCAGAATGTGCCAAGAGTGTGATTTCAAATTAACATTGTCCCTAGCAATATCAATTTATTTATTTTCCCATATTACTGCAAAGTGCATATTGACCATTCATGTATGAAATTGGCCGTTTTTAACATTTTCAGAAGGTAAAGTTTTTCAGATAAGATTGGGCGATACTGCTCATTTACACTTTCGCTCCATCAATTTGATTATAGTTCATTTCCATTGCAAGGATAAACACAGATATTGATCTTAGTTGCCTCATTCATCATTATCCATTGCAACTCTTTCATCCATACTCTTGAAATTTATGTTTTGTTGTGAATGGTGATTTGTAGTGTACCAGGTTATGCGACATCTGGTGCGCATACTTCAGGAGCACCGGTGATTTTCATCTTCATAATGTCTGGAAGCAATAATTCGAATCATGTAATGTTGATTGTTGACTCTATAAAAGCACACATTTAAAAACGTTCTTCCTCACACTAATCTTTTTTTCTGTTTTGTGAATTCAATTGTGAGCTAATTTGTCATTTTATTCTGTGGAATTTGTTATACTTGATGACTTTGATATGCAGAAATCTGAAAAGTATCAACTTGAATTGCTGTCTTATTGAATATTTTACCCACAATTTCCCATACTGAATAGCTCTTAGCTTTCGTCTGGTTTCTGATTAATCTTTAATCTTTTACTATCATTTAAATTTCAATTTTATAACATTTAGGATCAGATACCATTCTATGCTCAAGAAATAGTCTTATTGAATCCTAGACATTATTTGTTTGAGACAAATATTGACATATCTGTTTTTAAATTTGCACTTGTTGAATCTATTTGGAGATCAAGCGTTAAGCTTTTGATGTCTTGCTTGGATGTTTGCTATTCACTTCCGATTGTTTGTCACCGAGTAAACTAGACCAATTCTTGTTATCTAGTGTAATTTATATTCCATGTGGAGATTTTTTGACATGTCAAGAAAGGATGTTTACCAAACAAATGATATTTAATAGAATATAAAATCAAATCATTGTTATCAAGAATATTTTTACAGAATTGTTTTTATGCCTCTGACTGTGAACAAGACCCAATATTTAATAATGCTCTCATTATGCCACAGCATATTTTCAAATTCATTGAAAAATAGTCATGTATGCCACAAAGTCATATTTGTGATACATTTCTTGGTAATCACTGCCTGAAATAATTGTTGACTTTAACTGTTTCGAATCTGCATCAATCAATATGCATCAGGGCATAGTGTGATGAATATATATGGCTTGGTAGCTCCAGGCATTTCATTGGTTACATGTAACTTCACTCAGAGATCAGTCTCCTTTACTTATGAGCGAGTGTGTGTGGCCTTGTTTTGAGCAAATTTTTTTATAAAAAAAATTACATTTATAAATTAGTGAACACTGAGCATACTGAATTGGCCGCAAGATTTTATAAGCAATTTTCGGTGCTTCAGAAGTGTGTGTACCAACATGCAGGTAACAAATTTTTGTCGCCTACTTTACATCAAGTTGTGTAAAGGGACGGAAGCCTATGGGTAGGGGTTATATTCACTTGGCTAACGCAGACAGTCCCGAACTCATAATATAACTAAACTATGGAAAATCAGAATAAAATTATGGGCTATTCCTAACCTGGTACACATACCAAGGGAGTACTTAATTTTCAATTCAGTTTCTATTCTTTTCAGTTGGTCATTTGGAGTTTTACTTTGGGAAATATTTTCTCTTGCTGGAACTCCATATCCTGGTATCAAGACAGGGGAATTGGTCAAATTCCTTCGATCTGGAGAAAGATTAGAAAATCCGCAGTTTGCTACATCTGAAATGTATATGTTGATGAGAGATTGTTGGGAAGAAGATCCAAGAAGAAGACCAATATTCAGAAGTCTTGTTGAAGATTTAGAAAGAATGCTTGCAGAAGCTTCTAATGATGTAAGTACATGCAGAAGTTGCTTGGCTTTTTTTTAGAAGAAGAAACATACAGTTGCAATTTGGGATGGCCATTTTCGAATACTGTGATAGTATTTTATCCTGCAATAACTTTTAAATCACAATATTCTAAATGGATCAATTACCCATCATGAATCATGATAAAGAATTCTGTGTATGTTATTTTAAAAACTAGTGGAAAGCTAGCTCATTATGGGCTTCCTAATTAAAACTAAAGCTGTTGAATTATGTTCTGTCAGATCTTGCCATTTCTCCATTGGTTTACGTAGCACTGTGGTTCTCAAGCTTTTACTGAGTGCGTACCACTTTCGTGTCTTTTACTCTGCTTCTGGCTGTGTACCATCGACAAAAACCCCCTTGGCACAAGAAACGCGCTTTGGGAGTGTTTTATGTGTGACTACTGACTACATCCATTTTTGTACCTTCGGGCAAAGTTTCAATGTATTAATTATATGCAGTAACAACATATTCATTGCGTGCAAAATTTATATATAGTGGTACGCGTATCACAGGTTGAGAACCACGAACATAGCATGAGTTACTTTAATTAAGGAGCCTATGTTTTTACACGTTCACTCATTCAAGTTTTTAGACAAGCAACTACTGGTATACAAGGAGATCCTGTTTTAGAAATAACCAATAACTAACTCTTTTGTTCTGTATTGTCAACCTAATTCACTGTACTTCCATTAGTGTAAACTGGTGAACATGGAGATTGGACCACAAATCTTTAATCTGTAATACAAACACAGTTCAGTGTAGTCTATCACATAGATTGAAGATAAAAAAATGTTTAATGAATTTTAAACGATAATTTCCTTATTATTTTTAAGTAGATAGATATAATACTGTTGATCAAAATAGGAAATGCCCTGGTAATGAATAATGAAGAATAAACCTACAGCACTTTACTTACCAAGCTTGATTACCGTCAAATCATTTTTTATATTTCTTGTCCAGGAATACATAAATTCAGCGACTGCTGATTACATGGATAGTAGTGAATCGGATGAAGAAAGTGAAGAAGGTGACGATGATGTGGAAGACGACGATGTATTTGTACAAACAGAAAATTCTGATTCTGTTTCTGATGGAAATATCCCATTCAATGATGAACATGGTATGTTGATACAATAAAAAAAATATTTGTCAGCTAGAAATAAAATGGTGGTATTCCAATTATCTTCCATTTAGGATGCCAGAATTAGGGCACACCCATGTGCGATTGAATTTCAACCAAATAATAGTTCCTAAATGCTATTTCAAATGAAATTATTAACTGTCATTGACAAGTATTATTTCCACCTATCACCAGTTTTTACGAGCTCAGTCTAGATTTTAGACTCTTATCCAAACCAGAGGTGCACACCAGGGGCCCATGTTCCAACTTCAGCTTTATCATAAACGGCTATAAGTGTAACAAATATATATTTATATATATATGCAAGGCAACTTTGAATACGCGAAATGTTGCAAGACATCACACACTATCTTTAATGCACCACATTTATGTGGAATACTCCCTCGTTTCTGGTAATCTAGTGCTTTATAACACAATTACAAAATTCAAATCTGCGACTCTGATATCTAATGAGTTGATCACTCTACTGCATGTATTACATTACAAACGACTTAGTAAGTTTCATTATGATTCACTTTGTCACAATACAGGCTTTGACCTCATTCAACAATGGTTTTTGTTTTTAGATCCCTTCAATGGTGACCCATATTCTACTCCATTACTTGGACACACCGTTGAGGAAAACATAATGCATAATCATCATGCGAGACTTCAGTCAGATGTATGATTTTTCTGTAAATCAATTTATGTTTTATTTTGTATATGAAAAGAATTCTAAACAAAGAGTGTTACTGCCTTTCCTATCCTATTCAACAAATTTAATTGCATCAGTATGGACTGCACAAATAAGGGATATCGTACGATGAACTGAATTTTATCAAATTGATGAAAACTTTCAATAAAATGAAACCTATACCTATACAATTTCTAGTTTTTTTAGAGTAATATACATCCTTTGATGAAATGCGCGCTAAATTTTTACATAAGATAAATCATGGTAATTTTCTGTTATTTCTTGATATTGACCACTATTTCAAGGACCGTGGAAATCGAATCTAATTCATAACACATGCATCGATAGTTTCAACTTACTCGTGTAAATTGGATTAAACGAGTTGATTGAATCAGTAGAAACAAAAGTGTTGCAAATATAGTTGTAGTTTGCATCAGAATTTGTTAATATATTGAGATAGTTGCAACATGTTATCAACCTTTTTTTATAAAAATATTTTTCTTGATTCTAGTAATGGTGGATTGATTACTCCTGATTTGTGCCCTCCATGAATTTATTTTCTTTAGCCTACAATTAAACAAGCGTGCTCTTATTTCTGTGTACCATTACGTGTGCTGAGTTTGGTATTACTTATACATATTCATACCTCGTTTTTATATTTTATTTTCCTGATTGTTACAATTAGATCTAGTACATCATGGTAATCTTCTGGAAAACTTTTCAGGCATTATTTTATTTAACCCTGTTGGTCAGTCGAGCATTATCAAATCTCATACTAGTTACTGATCAAGTTTCAAAGTATGTTATTGACCCAATTTTAATTAAAGACAGAAGTGTTTTTGGTGTCAGTAGGTTCACCTTCAGAACTGTGCTGAAAGGAATAGTTCACAAACAATATTGAATGAAATGAAAGATTGACTGACTATTCATGAATCAAATTTTTTTCTTTGCCGGATGACCGATCCATGAGATGATCTATGAGTTCTACTTTTACACAATAATTATGTTCTTTCTGAAACAGTGTCATATATTTCTTATTTCTTGTACTTTCATTACTGTATGGTTATTGTTGCTGAATTTCTGTAACTATTTCACATGCATTATGTTTTTATCTTTTACTGATAAGTGCTGCGTTTCTGCCTTACAATTATTAAGTGACAATTTTCTATCTGCCATGTTAGTTACTTATGGTGAAAAAGTGATTTCCGTTCTCTGCCAAATATGAATTCCATCAATACATCTAATTAAAAAATATAATCTTATACTACGTATATTTGACAGCATAAAAACTTGGTGACAAATTTGAGCTGCTTTTTGAGATAATTTAAAAACAAGTTGAATAATAAATGACATCTCATCAAACAGATAATTTTATTGAGCAGGAAACAATTTTAGATACTTAATGGGCTGATATTCAAAATCATATTTATTCCTGTGGATAAAGTCCTGTTTTTATACCTAAATTGAACGACATTTGCTATTATATTAATATTCACAGACATTGGAATTCTGAAGGGTGGCGAAGTAATGTTATATTATCCGTTGCTGCTGGTTATATTACTACTATTCTTTATCTGTTATATTTTGCTACTTTACTGATTTTTAATTTTTTCCTTTCTATCTACCGCATGTGTCAAAATTATGAACAGTTACAATTTATTTGATAATTTTTTTTTCTTGTGTGCTACCAATGATTTTATTTTTCTGATGATAAAGTGTTTGCCAGAAACTAATCTCTATCTTACTATCTAGGTTGCTTGAAGTCTATTTGTCATAAATTGGTCTTTCTTGGTGATAGGGCTTATGGTTTACATTTGCTATTCTGGCCATTTTTAAATTGCAAATCACTGTCAGGAGGTGCTCTGATTTTATATCATTGATACGAAAATTAGAATTTTGACATTGTTTTTAAAATTGAATAAAATTGCCCTACAAGTTTCAGACTTGAGAAATTTTATGTCCAAACCATTCAAAATTAATTATTTAATGGTTAAGTATGTTTTCCTATGAGGAGAAGCATAGCTTTAAACCAATGATCAATATGAGCTTGTTTTGCAGTGTGATGTATTATATTTGCACAATTGAAGTGGAAACGATCATGATTTGTCTTTGGTTCAAATTGTCTAGTGCAGAACAGGGATGAATTGAAGCATATTAGGCTCGACAGCAGGATGTGATTCCAATATGATCTTGCATTTTAGACAACGCTGGACACAAGTGCCTGAACCTCTAGTCGCGAGTTTAGTCGAGTTTTTAGCCGCCATAGCCATATTAAAGTTTTCATTGACATCAAGACCTAATGTCTTTGGCTGGCAATAATTTAATATTATTTTAAAATTGCAATAGGCAATTCGGTTTTGACAACATTCACTACAACTACACAAATCTTTCTCGCTTTTCCAGGAGTAAGCCATTTCTTTCCGACGACTCGCTGAAAATCGTAACGCAAGTCTCCCAAATACCTTGGGTGAGCCACACGGGCTAGTGTGCGGACTAATAATGAGAAAATACTATCATAATTTTTCAAATAATTGAGACACAGTTTTTGCTATTTATTCCGTCAGGGAAAAATTGAAAGTGTGATCATGCTGAGAATTTCCTCGTGACTGGCGGTTTAGTTTGCGCGTGCTTTTTTGAATACTTGACTTAAAAGGATTGAATTAAGCAGGAGAGCGCCAATAGCCGTATAATCCTGCTGAAATAAATATGTTAGTAGATGGCGGCTGATCAGGGAAATAAGGTGAAAGGAATCCCCACAAGGCGGAAATTTTAGGAAAAAACTTTACCATGAAATTTGTAGTGTATGATTTAAAACTACAAGCTAAGTGAGGTACGATTTTCAAGAGAATTGTAGGCTAGGCCTACCTCGCATATATGTCCCGGGGATTCGAAAGAACATAACCTTTATTCTCAAACCCCATGTCGCTAGTTTCTTTGCTCTCATCGTTCACGTCCAGATTTCGTCGCTCATTATATTATGCAAATAATTTCATTAACCAAGTAACTCGTTCAGCGATTTGGACAAAAAGCCATCTTTTGGCATGTATTTACCCCATAAGATATCATGCTCCAGGAGGCCCAGTTTGTAGACCAATGAACTATGATGTCATCTGGCGATACATTCAAAATCCGCAATATTATTTACAATAATGAGTTCCATAATAAGCACTCCAACATCGATTCAGTTTTTCAAGCATTATATAGGCCTACTGTATATGCATATACCGTGTTTCCTCGAAAATAAGACCTACCCTGAAAATAGGATCTAATCAATAACGCGAAATTTTTCGATCGATAGCAAGAAATATCCTCTACGCGTTTTAAATGAGTGATATAATCTGTGTTTTGCAGTTATTTCGAATAAAAACGTGTTATCTACCAGTAAATGGATATCGGTTTTCATATTCTGTATATTTGAAAATCACGTATTTCTCTACTTGAAAATATCGTCACGCTAATAACCGAATTGCGTAAGTCATTTTTGGCGATTTTGAGTTTTTTTTATATAAAATAGGTATTTATGTAATGCTGCGCACCTGTCTGTTAACTCAGGTTTTATATTAGGAATTCCGAAACCCATAAAAATGAAGATTTAATATGACTTGCACATTTGTGCAATTGTTTCGTCATAATAAATTATTATTGTACCGCTGGACTACTGTGACGTCACAAAGGCAAAATAACCTAGGCGAAGTATTTTCGAGTTTTTGCATCTCGGATTCTAACTTAGCGCGTATTAATTTGAATTTATACTACAGTATAGGAAGGCGTTACTGTCCGAGTCCAATTCACCATGGTTGGCTTTTATATTGGATGCATTGCTGTTTTATTCTTTCTATTTAATCTTAATCTTATTTCGGTGGATGTGCAGAACGTGTTATATTGATGAAATATATATTTTTAATCATAAAAAATTATGTAATTGAAACTGATTAGCTATTTTGAGGATTAGACATTGTAGATACTGAGAATTACATTCGTTTTTGGAATGATTAGTTTTCAGGTTTAAGTTTCAGTTCTCTTAGAAACTCGCGTTTTGCGGCCTCCGGCCAGACCACCTGTTGCTGTCAAACTTGGCAATTACAAATTTCGGCGCTACGAAAGTATTCGTACCAAGATGACGCACAACCTGAACCCTAACCTGGCACACATACTATTTTCAGGTTGTGCGACATTTTGCACACACCTAAATTTCAGAACGCCCCTCCTTTGAAAATTCCTGGCTACGCCCCTGATCCCAGGGGCTCCCAAAGTGAGCGAAAACGCTCCCTTATAGGCGTTTGCGACAACTGTGGGGGCGCTGACTGCAAATTGGGCAATTGGGTGGCGCTGGCAACAAATCGGGCACTTACAAGAAGTGTAATAGTATTTGACATTTTCATTTATTCCAGTTTCATATTTGTGTTTGATCTAGTTTACTCAAACATCTCGGTGTTTGGAGTTGCTCGTTTAACGATAAATAGTATGACTTTTATCAGTCTATTCTTTTATATCGTTTCGTTATAATTCAAGTCTAGCGCATGGCCTACGTTTATTGACACCTCATTCGCCACAGCCCTTCTATGTTGTCTGGCATGTCTCGTTGTCCAAAGTCAAAAATTTACACATTGACGTGGAAATTTGATTCTATGATGTATTTAATTTAAGTTTCCGGAGTGAGAAATTGACCCATTCGGCAATATTTACTAACATGGAATTCTTATTAAGATCACATTGCAAAGCGATTTTGAACCCAAACCAAAGTCCATTGTTTCATATTATACCTTCTGGAGGGCAGAAAAAAGTTTGGGAAACACTGGTCTATGGTCTATCCTATTCCCTGGGATAAATATAAATCTCCTATCCTAATGGGGAGTCGGATTCGATCCGATTTTTTATGCATTCATTATGCCGTTGAAATCATATTTTGTGAATGAATATAAATGCCACAGATTTATTTTCCAAAAAGAGTTCGAAGTGGCGCTGTCACACGCAGGAAAATAGAGTGGGTTTCAATGGTGAGAATGCGCTTGTCATCCCTTTCATTGACAACGTTGAATTCACAAGCTAAAACTCTATCATATGTTTTTTAGTTGCTATTTCAACATATTTTTATTGTTTTCTATTCGTTTCCTTCTTAATTGAAAATAAACTGGTTCGTAAAAATTTGATCCAAGCCAAATAACGAAAGTTGTGGGTGGGGCAGGCCTGTACATTACTGACATTACGAGCATTTTCCCAAATTGAGATAATTAGAAAACTATATCTTAACAGGGTCGTATAAAAACAAACTTTTATGTTTAATTACCGGGTTCATAGTTTGAATTCACACCCCGCCGTCAGGGATCTCCCGCAAATGCCGACGGCGACGCGTCAGTACGCTTTCGTTTGAATATAGCGTAGCCGGAGGCTTTGCTCCATTTCTTTGTTTGTTTCTTATATGACGTTGCAGTGTGCTCTGGCGTGAGACCGACATATGTGTCGACGTGTAGAGAAGTCACGTGACCACCGGCCTCTTTTTCGTGCCATGTTGGAGGTTTTAGTGTCGATTTGAAAGTTGTTCCGGGGTTGTGTTCAGAGTATTGTGCATTAGTTACGTAGTGTACAACGAGAAAGCGACTGTGCGGAATACTATAATTTTCATTATAAGATCAAGATGGGATGTAAGTTTTTTTTTTAATTTTAATAGAAAAATCATATTAGTAATAATAGTAAAATGAGGCAACGTTAACTAGAAGGGCAGTTTGGATTTACAGTTTTATCAATACAGCAATATGTTGCCTGTTTATGAAATTGCGTCATTGTATACATGACTTAAATAAGAAATATATTATACTTAGCTAATAAGTTCAATGTTGCACATAGACATGTTTCATTGGTATATTCAGACATTCTGAATATTGTTTAAACTCCAAAACGTTAACTAGATACTGAAATCTCAAAAATGTCAGATGTTTAGCTATATATGCTTGTCATTTTAATTGAAAATGGCTGTGTTTGTGTATCACTTTTATTCCAGTATTCTAATATTATATTTTCTATTGCCTAACCAATTTTTCAATTATTTCTGTATTTCAGTCAAATTTCTTGAAGTTATAAAGCCGTTTTGTATTGTGCTGCCAGAGATTGAAAAACCGCAAAGAAAGGTAAATTGAACTTATTCTTCAATATTTTATTTTAGTAGGGAATGGCTTTTCTATGCTAAATCTTTGAATTGTTTTATATTTTTTATTGTAAATAACGTCTTCCAGACTAATTTTCTGATGTAATTACTGCAAGGCCTCACTATGAAGTGAACAAAACTCACTAATATGTGAATTTAAAAGCATGTATTGCTTTTCTATCTCAAGTTCTATAGTCTCATTTTTGAAGTTTTAATGACAACTTCCAGATTTCATGTCCTGTGTTTTCGTCTTGCATATTGTATTTTTTGTACCATGATCACCGTGGTTGAGTTTAAAATGAATTACTTTGTCTATCAACTGCTGAATTGAAATGATAGATTTTAGTAGCGTAGTAGCGTTCAGTAGTTGAATAAACCAGTCAACTTATTTGATTAATTTGAGAACACTAAGCATTTCGAAATGTCCACACTCAAATTGACATAGCTGTGATTGTGTTAGTATTATACTGACCCAACGAATAGAAATGAGTTCAATATTGAATCGCCGCGCAACCTGACGAACACTGTAATAAAGAGATTTTAGTTTAATCTATTGTCATTTTCAAGTTTTCTTAAAATTTAATTTTTTCATGAAAGAACTGCAGAAGGGTTATATATTTAGGATCAATCTTTAGGATGTTTGTCGTGAGCACAACACGCAATTTCATCTATTCCTTTTTGTGTTACAGATTCAGTTCAGAGAAAAAGTATTATGGACAGCAATCACATTATTTATTTTCCTGGTCTGTTGCCAGGTATGAACATATCCATTTTCAGTTCGTTGCGACTCCCACTTTCTTCATTTATGATCATCAATTGCCAGAAATTTATTGCGTTTTTCCTTATTCTGCTCATTAGATTGATATTTCTAATGTAAAAAAAATACGTAAAAAAAATTAAACTGAAAAGAATTTGCATATATATTGACTGATATGAAGCTAATACAGTAGATGTTATACCTGTTTGGTTTTTGAATTCATAAATCAGTTATTGTATTCAGTAGCCTATTACAATATGATAAGATTAAATATCTGTGTTATAAACATATTTAAATTGATTTTAGATTCCTCTTTTCGGCATCATGTCTTCTGATTCAGCTGATCCTTTTTATTGGCTGAGAGTTATTATGGCATCCAACAGAGGTACATTGATGGAACTTGGTATTACTCCTATTGTTACATCTGGTCTCATCATGCAGCTTCTCGCTGGTGCAAAACTTATTGAAGTTGGTGACACACCCAAAGACAGGTTTGTTTATGATAGTTCCATCATGGATTCGTTATTTTCTCTAAGTTGAGCTGATAAAAAAATCATGTTGTTGTTATGGTAATTTGGAACAATTCAGGTATTTGTCCTTGTGGTCTCTTCTTTTCTGGTGGTCTCTAAATTACAGATTCGAGTTGGTTGCTCCCACTTAATAAGGGCCATGTTTTAACCTCTGGCGTAAAAATTCATTCAAGACTCCAAAGTTATGGCGGTGTGGCGATAACACTTGGCATGAGATATTTCAAGGGGAAATCCTGTTGATTAATAGCATGCTATGAGACTGCGCTGTAATACTGCAGTTCATATATCGTATTAAACGGAAGTTACTAAGAAAACTGAGTAATTAGTTTTTAAAGTCTTGCTGGGAACTTGAAATATACATCTTTCTGTAACATCCTCGTATCCAAAGTGATTTTGATGTTTTATTGTTGTCCCTTTACTATCAATCATGTTTGGTCCTGTTTTAGTTGCTTTTGCTTTAGTTGCATTTTTTGAAAATTTCATTCCATAAATTTAAGACAGTTTACACTAGTGTGTCTTTCAATTAAATAATGAGTACTACATAGCGCTCTCCACCACTCAAAACAGTCATCTTTAATATAACTGATTTATCTTTGTCATATTGATTAATAACTTATGTCCAAAAACTTCAAATGTTAAATTTTCTATTACAGAGCTCTTTTCAATGGGGCACAAAAACTTTTTGGCATGATAATTACAATCGGACAAGCTGTTGTTTATGTAATGACTGGAATGTATGGTGATCCTTCAGCAATGGGACCTGGTATCTGTTCCCTAATTATTATTCAGGTAAGAATGAAATAGAACTTTCAATATTGATGAAGTGCTATATTTAGATATCTTGAAGGCTGGATACATCTATTACTTGAATAAATCTGTACAATATTACCTTTTTATGTTGTATATTTAGAAATTTTAAAAATTGGGAGTATATCAATTACGTCTTGCTAGATTAAATGATTGAGAATTGCATATTTTGGAAAAATATGAGCAACAAATTTTTACATTGGAAACACTTAATTTTTGTATTTATATGACTGTTTTGATTTCCAGTTGTTTGTCGCATCACTTATTGTACTTCTGTTGGATGAATTGCTTCAAAAAGGATATGGTTTGGGTTCTGGTATCTCTCTCTTCATTGCTACAAACATTTGTGAAACTATCGTATGGAAGTCTTTCAGTCCTGCAACTGTCAATACTGGAAGAGGTAAGTCAGTCGTCAAGTTAGTTATCCGATTAAAGGATGAACGGTACTCCTGAAGTATGCGCACCAAGATGTCACACAACCTGAATCCTAACCTGGTACACAACCTGGGTTCAGGTTGTGCGCCATCTTGGTGCGCATACTTCAGGAGGTCCGGATGAACATTAATATCAACGGGATTTCCATTCTTAGATTTCCTTGAAATTTAATTGGCTCTTATTGGCATTTTCAAGCATTAAATAAAAGGTGTTTTTTCGATCATTGGGTTTCTATTCCCAGTTGACACCATATATTTGCAGGTGTGGTATTGCTAGTAATTTCAGTCATGTTCTAAATCCTGTGTAATTGGTATTCTTGTCATTATTTTGACAATCGCTAGGGACTCTTTAGGGAATCGCTAGGGGTGGTTCACATAACCGCTGGTGGGTTACTGCTTTGCGTTAAATGGCTTGCTTTTTTCGTGTTTTTCATCTCCAAGAATCGTCCAGAGTAGATATTTCTGCCATTCTGCTTTCGATTTTTTTTATCATTTTTACTGAATAACTTAAATTTTGTTTCGTCTTCAGGCACTGAATTTGAAGGAGCAGTAATTGCTTTGTTCCATCTACTGGCAACTCGTACCGATAAAGTTCGTGCACTCAGAGAAGCTTTCTACAGACAAAATCTTCCAAACTTAATGAACTTGCTTGCAACTATCATGGTCTTCGGAATTGTCATATACTTCCAGGTTAGTGGTTTTTACTACGGTAGTTATTACTTTAAAGCGTCAATGTAGTATTTTGAAATATTTTATCAGTCACTCGAGTCATGTTAAGATTCATCACTTTGCTTTGGGCATAAATACAGAGATACAAATAATTATGGGCTAGATTTAGGCCTGACGGTTGATTTGTGACAGAATATAATTTTTAGTATTCAAGATTTTTAAAGATTGCTTCTGCTGCACATTTGTTGGACGTTTTTTAAACTTAATCTCTTTTTCTCACCTTAGGGATTCAGGGTGGATCTTCCCATTAAATCTGCACGCTATCGTGGTCAATACAGCAGTTATCCAATCAAACTATTCTACACATCCAACATCCCGATCATCCTGCAATCAGCTCTTGTATCCAATTTGTACGTTATTTCACAAATGTTGGCCGTCAGATTCAGAGGAAATTTCTTCATCAGTTTACTCGGTGTTTGGGATGTAAGTACATTTTTAATCTTTATGAACGCCTCAAAATATAAAAATCGCACTCCAGCCAGATTGCTTATTTATGGCAAGATTTTTGATTCAGGTTGAAATCAATTAGATTTTTTCTTTACGCTGTTATTTTCTTTCAGACTGTTGAAGGTGGTGGCCCAGCTCGTTCTTACCCTGTTGGTGGTCTCTGCTACTACCTCTCACCACCGGAGTCATTTCTACAGATGTTGATGGATCCTCTGCATGGATTCTTATATATTGTTTTCATGCTTGGATCATGTGCATTCTTCTCCAAGGTATGAGTGAACCTAATTTCATGTGCTTTGTGAATACATATTTTAATCACATTATAATATTTGTTTTTCACTTAATATCCTTAATATTGAGCAACATATTTGGTTCTCAGCTGATTGAGAGAGTATATTAATACCTGCACTCATTTGTAATCATCTTTCCATAACTGCTTATTATAGCTTGCTGCATAAACCATGTCCGTTAAACGAGACTAAATAAGTATGTACCTTATCTGATTACCATATAGATGTCCATGTTTGCAATACGAGTTAAAGACTTTGCTTACAATTAAATTAACTACATTGCTGTATTTTAAACTAATTTAGACATGGATTGAAGTATCTGGATCTGCTGCCAAAGATGTTGCGAAACAATTGAAGGAACAACAAATGGTTATGAGAGGTCACAGGGAGAAGTCAATGATCCACGAGTTGAATAGGTATGTAAATTAAAATAATGTCTCCAGGATACACCATGAAAGCAGGTCAGCGACACTTGAGAACGTGTCATAGAAAAAATAGAATTCAACTACAAGCTTTTAGGTCATTAATAGGTGAACTTGAACAAATGGTTGATTTTAGTCCTAATAATCATATTTACTAATATATCCAACTGGTATACTTGCTTCCTAATAACCTATATAAACTATTTTTTTTAGATATATTCCAACTGCAGCTGCTTTTGGTGGTTTATGTATTGGTGCTTTATCTGTTATGGCCGATTTCATTGGAGCTATTGGCTCAGGGACAGGTATATTGCTGGCTGTCACCATCATCTATCAATACTTCGAAATCTTTGTTAAAGAGCAAGCAGAAGTTGGAGGAATGAGCACTCTGCTTTTCTAATGTTTATCCCTTATGAACTAATACAGATGTTAAATTATGAAAATGTTCTGTGGTCATATTCTATGTATTTTGAGAACCAATTTTTTAAAATTTTGGTGACTGGTGAGCTGGAAAGATAGCCTCTATTTATTACGCTTTCTTTACAGAATTTAATAAAACTGGGTGGAATTCAAACGTGATTTATCCACTTTGCAATGCAATCAAAGAACTGTACTGAGTTTTTCTAAGTGTGCCTTTATGAAAAGGAGAAATAAATTTAATGGCTATTTGAAGTTGGTAGTAATTATCGATGATGCTCGGTGACAGGGAACAGATGGAGGCGTTTAAAAGCAGAAATGTAATACAGGGGTTTTTGAATTATGATAACCAATGGTCTCTGTTTCTAGCAATTCGCATCGAAACAGTTCAGGAGTTGGCAGATATATAGGTCTTGGAATTGAAATCTAGCGTCCGGTGCTGTTCGTGCAGAAATTCAAATTATACTGTTTTTTTATAATACTTATACTAATTATATCTTTGTCAAAGACGTTGGAATATTGATATACGAATATGTAGGAGAACGCACCGCTGTGTATCTATGTCCTTGACCTCCGCCGTACCGTACATTTATGCTTTGCGTACATACCAGAAGTCTTGAGAATAAAATAAACCTTGACGTTATTGTGGATGGACCAAATTAGATCTTGCTCTTAACCGACACCTTACTTCTTTGGGCTTGACTGGACAAAACATTTCCGTGAATTACAATGAAGCGGCTAAATTTTGGGCGATCAGTATTTACAAGTGCTTTATTTGATATCAGTTTGTCCATTAGTCCCGTCACTAACTTCTATTTGACAAAACGATCAGTGTGGACATTTCGTGTTTGATAAAACAGGAAGTTGATTCTCGGGGAACCTCCTATTTCTATTCTCCCCAACAACGCTTTTATGAATAAGTTTATCCGACTTTGGGCGCAGATAGAAATCGTTTCGTCATTGCGAAATTATTTGTGCTTAGTTTGCCAGCATTTTCGCAATTTAGCGCTTACAAACTGTTACACCATTTTGGTTCAAAATATTTAGTCGCTTGCAATGGAAAAATACCGCCGAACTGAAGCTGACTTTAGCCTAGTCCAGTGGTTCCCACACTATGGGTCGCCTGAAAAGTTTTCGGGATCGCTCAAATTCTGTTGAACATGTGCACAGTGCACACGAGTTACTAGGATTTGAACGTGAAGATTGTTCTAGCTCGGTATTAATAAATGCAATTGAGTGATAGTCTTACGGTTGTTAATATTACTTTCTTGTTTATAGCTTTTTTGATCACGTTATATTCGAGCAGACAAACCAATACCGGTAGTTCCTACCGCTGGTCCTCAAACCTGATTTTGTTCGTCTGCCATAAATCATGTTGTCTTGATATTTCTCTACCGGTATCACCTTTTAGTTAGCGAATACACAAAGTAACGTTGCCTCATTACGTTATTGGGCCTTTGACAGGTATAATATGAATTGCCCGGTGGTGGTTGGGCCGAGTGATTATGGTACACTTTTCATCCGTAACAAAGGCGATCGATGTTAATTCTCATACGCACGTAAAATCTATACTTGCGTGTTTTTGTCGCTGACCGTACATTTGAACCCATGTTCATTTGAACCCATGCGTATATCCACGGGTTCAATCTATATGCGGGTGCTAAAACCCATGGGTTAGGGTTAGCATGGGTTTAACTATCCGTGAAACAAAAAAAAAATCCATAGGTGCAATAGCATACAGGTGCAATTGTCATGGGTTCAAATGTACGTGGGTTCAAATGTAATGGAACCGTTTTTGTCCACATCGCCTCTCTATAAATGTTAACAATTTTAGCATTGCAATCTTATCGTAATCACACGTAATAATCTTTCTAAAACTAAAAGTATGAAGCGTGTTGTATTCCATACGTAATTTTGAAACGCTTCACACAGTCAAAAAAAAGGACAACAAATCAGGCAAAATAAAAGTACTTGATAAGATAGGCCTACACGTTTTTACCTATTTTATTTTCATGTTCTGTTTTGCTTTCGAATTAATTTTGGAGCAATCTGTAATATTTTAACGTTGGAATATACAGAGCAAGATTGCGAATTTATCGATATTTAGAGGCAATCTTACTATTTCCAAAGTATCGTACGCTTCCTCACAAGTCACAACTTCAACTCAACCAATATTTTGTTACCGATCGGGCCAATTTTTTTTTATTTAATTGACGTTGCTGGACCGCCCGGACAAACAGGTTGGGCACCACTGAACAGCTACGTAGCTCTGCAACAACGCCCCCCCCCCCCCCGAAATCCTGCCTCAGGCTCAATGGATGCGCTACAGCCAAGACCGACCGAGTGACTACTGGAATACTGTACGTGTACACGTGATTAAGTGTACGAAATAAACAAGGAAGTCGCCACTTGGCGAAGCATGAACAGAAGAAATAATTCGCGTTGCCGATAAATATAAATAAATTGAAAAAAGTTTATTTTTTTTCATGCTCGCTCTCGGTCGACCTCGCGCTATTCACGCGCACATGCTTCTATGAAGAACACAAGCGCGACCCCCACTTTGCATTGTTTGTAGTCGCGGTTATTCTAATGAAACTGGGATTGTGACTGAACGAGGTTGTAGATTCATGCTGGAAGGGCGTTGGTTCTTATGTCTGTGTGATGCCTAGACTGATAGCGTTAGTTCTATTTGGTAGTTTTAGTGTTGCAGATGCAGAAGTGAGCAACCACGACAGCTCTGCGTTCGGCCTGAAGTCTGCAAGTGCAGAACGAACTGACCGTCAATATAGACTGATCATTTCAGCATTTGTAATTTTATAGCGTTAGCCTGTTGGTCCAGTACACCAGTAGAACTCTGAAATGTACTAATTTTTAGTCTAGTTTTAATAGTCCAATACCTACTGCTGTACTGCGTCTGTACTGCTGTACTGCGATAGGCCGTTCTGCATGTAGGTGCTGTATTGATTTTTTTTCGCATTTGCTGGTTTCATGGTTTACGGTATTTGTCTATAATGTAAAGGCAGGAATGTATCGTAAAGTATTACCGTATCTTGTCATCTGTCAGTCTGCAGGTCTGTGTTTGCTGACATAGATTTGTAACTGACTGTCTAAATACGAAAGGTTTCTTAGCTTCAGAGCTCAGAATCTCATTGTTTTAGTAATTTCAGAGTTCAAAAACTGAGAAAGGCAAAGCAGCAAAGTGACTTCTCTACATGCAGACATGTCACAAACAGACAGACTGTCATGCATCTGTCAGTCTGTACATTAATAATACAGTAATCCAGCAGTCAGGTAATACCTGAATAGTGAACATAAATAACTGAATGAGCCAATGCCAGACAGAATGATAGACCAACAGACAGAGGTGCCTACTGATGTAAGTTGAAACAGAAAAAAGGAAGTCAAGAAGTATAGAGGAACAGTCTTCTAATGCAATGCAACAATATTATTTCAGCAAAGTGTGTTTATGAAACTGCGTTTCACAAAGTCATTGATAAATACAGGCGAGACATATTATATCAAACATCCGTGAAGTTATTTATTGATATTGAGAACACAAAAGACAGCAAGAATAAATCTGCAATGAGTCGATCGCCACCACCACAATGGCACAAATATCCACCACAAGGTAATACATATATTTGTTGAACGTCCCCTAATTTAATATATAAATATTACTTTGTAAAAATTTAATATATATTTATAATAGGGTCAGCTGTTGGACCTCCACCTATGCCGAATAAGCACGCACGAAGTCCTGAGAGAGAGAGGAGATCACCCGGTTTGTATATTTTATGTATTGAGTATAATGTTCGCCATCTCTAAAGTCTGGATCAAAATTTTGAACTATTGGTTCGAAATTCCAGGACTAAAGTGTTCAGTCAAAATTTCTTCGAATCTCACGAGTCTGATAATATGATACAGCCTGGCTTGCCACTACCAATGCTTCGTTTTAGATTGCGTGGCGCATCGTGCTAAGCATTAGGAGTACGGCCGCCACCACACCCCTGATTATTTTGTGTGGGTTCGCAGTGGTTCGCCATATGATTAAGCCGTCTTATCTCCCCCAGGATAAATATGTAAATCCTATCCTACTCAAATATTTTGCAGGTTATGACAGAGAGGCAGAATGGCGACGATTCCAGGAATGGGAAAAACATAATAGAAAATCTCCACCTCGCTCTAGTCCAAAACGAAGTCCTCCGAGACCTCAGCACAGGCCGATAAGTCCTAGGAAAGAACGAAGTCCAGTAAAAGCTCCACCTCCAGAATGGGGTCGAAGATCTCCACCGAGGTCTTATCGACCCCCTGAGTGGGGCAGGAGAAGTAGGAGTCCACCACCCTCATGGGGTAGGAGAAGTCCTCCAAGATATGGCCCTCCACGTGGTAGAAGCCCTCCTCGAGCTCATAGTCCCCATCGATGGGGTCCGGGTCCACCACCCCATGACTGGGATCGATACAGAGGCCACCCAGCTCCACGACGATCACCACCGAGATGGGGACCCGCACCCCCGCATTGGGAACCCAGAAGAGAGAGATATCCTCCACCAGGTCATCATATACAAGACCGTGAGTTCACATATCCTATATTTTAAAAATATAATATTAAATATTCTTCAAATGAATTACCGGTATTTGCATTCAGGTGGAAGATGGCCTGCACAACCCGCAGACAGACCTCCATTTCGACCCAATGGTGCTCCAGGTAAATAGATGAATAAATATTTTATAGACCTAGTAATAGCTTCAATTTTCACGCATACTAGATGTGTGTTTCATTTGCCATTTTGTACCATTGTATAGTCTTCTTCGCTCATTTCACGACCTGCTTTCAAATACTGCTTTTATAAAAAATAATGTTATGCTAAGTTGTGAAAATATTACACAATATTTTTGTGTTTATTTATTTTTGACTTCTTATTTAATATAGTTGATCTCTAGAAGTGATATATATGTACCCGGTACATGCATCCATTATATTTACAGCTACACAACCTATTGCTCAGCCGGCAGCTAGTGACAGTGGAAAATCTGCAGAAGGAATGAAGGTATTTTTATGTTGTTTTTCTGCAAGCGATCGCTTTTTAAAATGTCAGAATTGGCTATGCAAATTGGTGTTGTTCGTCCTGGCGTTTGAACTTTCATAAGGCAGGCTTCTGTACACAGAAGAGCCGTAAATTACTAGCAATCACTTGTAGTACAAAAATTCACAAGTTTAGGTGTTCACAAGGTCCAATGTCCAAACTGAAATGCCTATGAACCTACGAAAAAGAACGTAATAAAACATGGTATAATATATTAAGGCCTAATTATCATATGGATAAGTCACGAATGCGTACCTATATTCATATTTTATTTGACAAACTTTCACATAGATGGATGAAGGATCAGCAGAAGAAGAAACTTTGGAAAATTATGATTTACCGGAATATGATGCTGAAGTGCCTTTAGGTAAATTAAATAATAACGTAATATAATATGTATTTATCTTCAATGCTGTTAGAAGATTTCAATTTTAAAAATATCATGAATTATCAAAATTTACTTTTTAGATACGATCCCATTGCATTTGGAGTTTTGGTTTGCTGTTATTTCTAGTTGTTGTGGAATAGTCTAATGATAAATTTTGGTATAGGTTATGCTTACCGGTAATGATTTTTGTGTGTTGTATTTGACTATATTAGTGTTGCAGACTAAGGATTCCATGTTCAAACCCCATTTCTATGACTCCATCCAGGTAATTAGGCCATGCTACTTCACCGTATCGCCTATACAAACTAATACCATTATAAACTCAACAGGTCAAAAGTATGTCATTGCTGTTTCTGGATTCTTTTGCAAGATCTGTCACAAATTTTACAATTCGGAATCTTCAGCCAAGATTACACACTGCAAGTCAAAGACTCATTATGAAAAGTTTTCGGTAAACTTTATGTAGAATGGCATCATCTCAATGAATAATACTCTTGTTTATCATTTCCATGACCTTCGCTTCGATAGATTCGTCAGAAGCACTTTTACAAATTCATTGAGTTTGTGTTACTAGTTGGTTAGTAAGCCCCTCAGTTATTGCACCTAACAACGAATGTGTCAGGTTATTTACTAAAAAGAATGTAAAACTAATTACTTGAAAAGCATGTTTCCATAGACCATAGCACATATTTTGAAATTTTTTGGATAAGATTTTAAAAATAAATCATAAATCAAATTTTATATTACACTAGCTTAACTTTAAGATAAGACATCATCAGTCATTACAATAATACATGTTTAAAAGTAAAATGCTTTATGTGGGAGAAATTTACAACATTTATGTATTCTCTCGTTCACATCAATAGATCAAACTTTGCAATTATTTATTTGTTCTAATTAGCTGCTTTCCAAGAACATCTCTTAGTTTGGAACGCCATTATTTTTTTATACCAATGCATGCTTGTAAGTAGAGAAAAACAGTGGTTCACTATCTCTTTTTCTGGAACAAATTTGAAATTCTGCCTTAAGATCTTGATAGCCTGTAAAGTAAATAAAGCATTAGTTCAGCTATTCTTATCACTTTGAAAATTATTTTATTTTCCGAATTTTATTTTAGAAATGGGTGGTTACAAAAAAAGAAGAGACAGCAGCTCAGAAACGTGCAGCTCCAGTTGAAACACCTGCCAGTGAGCCGGCACCAGTTCCTCCCGTACCTCCTACTGATACAAAAATTGATGAAGTTTCAAAAAAGGATGAGCCTGATGAATCACCACCTGCTAAAGTACCTAAGATGGAATCACCAATTGAAGAAACTAATAAAGATGATAGCCAAGAGGATTGGGCGGGAGGTGTGTGTTTATATGTTATTGTGTAATATCTTGTTTCACTTTGATTCGGGTGTGCGCGTCTATAATTGCGTAAAAAAAATTCCTGATAGTTTAGGCTTCTTTTTTCAGCTCTGTTAATAAAAGAAGAACTGACCGAAGAAAGTGATAATGAACAGAATGATGTTAATAAATACGATCCTTCTCAACCAACAGACGAGAGTAGTATGCTTGTGACACCACTTAAAGAGGTAACATTTTAAACATACCAGAACGTTATTTGAAGTGTTCCAGTGATAATTACTTATCGATTTTAATCAGTAAGTATGTTGATAGGTATTTGTCTGTCTGTATGTCTGTCTGTCTGTTAGATGCACGCGGTATCTCACGAAAGCGAGATTGAATCTGCTTCAGATTTTGCATGTGCATTCATCATATCTCGGACCAGAAGCCTATTGATCTTGGATGAATTATGTCGTATAATTAGCGAGTTATTAATTAATTAGTGATGGGACACGAGGTGTCCCTATGGAGTAAGAGTGCTGTTTTGGGGGATCCCCTAACTTTCGATCGATAGGTCTTCGGTCTCTGACCGATATTCTCGTTTAATAGTCTGTAGCATCATAACTAAACAGCATGATAAACTTTTTTCGTTTGGACAATGTATAATATTTACTCTTTTTTATATATCATTTAGGAAAAAAAGAACTCTGGATATATATCTGAAACATCTGCATCTGATACTGATAGAACGCCAAGCACTGATGGTTTGTTCATAATAAATTTGATTGAAATTCAAATTATTTTGCTGTTGAATAATTCAATTTTCAACCATTTGTAATCAATATATTACGCTTTATTAATTATACAGGATAGCGCCTGGAAATTATCTTCCAGGTTTTTTCATTCGTTCGAATATATTATAAATCTTGAATTATTTAACTTCTAGCTGGATTGTTTTACAGATTTCTTTGCGTTCTTTTGATTAACTCCTATCCTAGACCAGGGATATGGAGTTGGTTGTGAAGCTTTCATAATTTCAAGTTATAGCAATTGCGTTCATTACTTTTTTGATGAAGGATTTTTAGGCATGTCTCTAGAAAATTAATTGTCTCTTTGAGACTTTGTTTGTGGCTCTCATGTAAAAATTTTCGATTTTTATTAGACTTCTTAGAAGCAACTTTGTACAACTTCAGAAAGATGAGAGTACAACAGTTGAAGGAAAATTTGAAAAAGCGGGATCTACCATTGCATGGTCTAAAACCATTGTTGTTAAAACGTCTTGAAAAGGTTTGAAAAAATAAGTTTTTGGTAGTTTTTTATGTTCTAATTTAAATTTATTTCTTAGTTAAGATATATAGTTAGGTTTTCGGAAAAAGAGGCAGCCTATCAGTGACTGCTTTCTCTCGATGCAGCAATGTAGTTATTTGGTGAGTCGTGTCTTCTTAAAAATTCATATTTGTAGCATTACTTGAAAATTATTTCTGATAACAGGCGCTCCTGGCAGAAGCAGCTGAGGCTGCGACTGTTGAGAGTCAGCAGGAGGAAGAGGAAACGAAAGATCAAGAACAGACTTCAAAAGATGACACACCAGTCAAAACAGAGGTGGAAGAACAGCAGGCTGGGGAAGAGACGTCAGCAAATATTCCACAGACACAAGACAATAGTGGTATCGAAGGTGGTGGGTAGACAATTGTAAAATTATCAGAGAAAGTGTAGATTTTCGAGGACAGTTTCATATAATCTTGCAGTATAATCGTCAGAAATCAGTAAGATAGTATTGTGGTAAGAAATACCTGCATCCATGATTTTATTGTTGTTTATGCAAAACATCTTTATCTTCCAATCCAGTGCAGTTTTTATCCAGCGAAAATAAATATCAGTTTGATACAAAAGGCAATTAATTACGGTATATTCATATTGAGCGGTTTTACTGAAGCTTTGGATAAATTAGGTTGACTTGAAGAATAATATTCAAGATGAATTAGAATCTCCTAACTTAAAACTTTCTAGCTGTTATTATAAGAAATTCGAGATTTTATGAAGTGTAAATCATTTAGAGTTATTAATCAGACTTTTATCCTGGCTTTTCTTGTTGTTCCTATAATTGTACTGTTTGAGTGAAAGGTCCAGGTCTTCAAGTTTTCAATGGTGGTTGGTTGGTCAGCTGGTTTTTTGTTTGGCGACAATATATCATGGATGTTGGTATTTTTTATCTTTTTATTACTTTAGCATAAAAGGATCAGTACGGGTCTGTTTTTCATAAGGAGGATTGAAAGCTTGCGCAAAAATCAGATTTAGAAGTAGTTGGTTTTTTAGAAGAAAATAGAAAAAATTTATGAGTTGATGTGTCCATTGAAGGCTCTCATTTACGAATGAGAATCTTATAAAATTTTTGTTTGCAGATGACTTAAAATTTGAGAAATTGAGGGGGAAAAGGCGGACAACGTTCGTTTAACCAAGTTTACGCTAATAAAGTCTACTTACAAGTCCGAGCTTTGGTTTGATCGGTTGGCACATAGTGCTATCATTAAGAACACACTCGCCATCGCGTCTTACTAACTAACTCAACAAGTGCTGGTAACTGGAAGAGAGACCGTGTTTCATCATATCATCAAGCTATCTTATCACTTCTCCCTCAAGATAGATACTAAAATCATATCTTTTATTTGATCTGTTCTTGAATGTTTGTGTTTCGTTAAATAAATTTATGACATTGAAGTGTGCTACTATTTAAGTGTAGATTCAGCTACGGCATTTATATTATCCTGTTTGCTGATGCATGTTTGTCGTCGTGTTGTTGATGCACATTTTTTCGTTTATGCAGAGCTATCGAAGGCGCTGAAACTGACTTTGCACGAGTCTGACATAGAAGTGTCAAATTGCAAATCACAGTGGATTACAAAGAGAGAACTAGAACGAGAACTTCTTCAGGTATTTATGAGTATGATTCCTTCAATCTTCAAACTTGATTAGGATTTTCAATACCAAGAGTTTCTTCGATTCCAATATCTGGGTTAATTTGTAAATGAAGATATGATAAAAAAAGGTTTTTGTTCATCTTGACATAAGTAAAACTATAGTTTTGCACAGCAGGCATCTGCGAATTATAGTCCACGGGCTATCGCTGTGAGCAAGAAATTTTGTTCTCAAACTCTAATTTTTTAGACTTTTTGGGGTTACCCAGTCTAACATAAGTTCAAAATATTTGTGCCCCCAGATCTGAAAGATCTCTGAATGAGAACTAACTCTTTACATCGATATTTTGCAGTTGTGGTTTCCAATGTTTTACCCTACAGCTACCAGTAAGGCTCGAACAAAATTATTACTGGTATAGTATAAGAAATCGTATAGAAAGAGCTATTGATGGCCAGTATCTATTAATATCAGTATTCTAAGATGAAAGGATATATCAATGTTATAGTTAACTATGTGTATAATATAATATTGTGAATTTGTATGGATTATAAAAATAAGTGTCGAGTGAACAATGTTATATTGATATATAATTCAGCTGGAGGGTGTCGAAACTGTAATAAGCATGGAAAAGGAACAAACTAAGATGGGGAAGAAGACAATTGTAGAATGGACAATCGAGCTCAATTTCAGAGGTAAATTTCCTAAAGACGGACTTAACTTCTGGATGGAATCACATCAACAACTGCCATTCCGTGCATCTTTGTCAGAAGAAGAATGATGAAAACAACTTGAAAAGTGTTTTCATCATGTTCGTAATCAGTCAAGAAGAGAGCCATCGTGGATTTCCAATTGCTGGACACTGCTGGTTTCACTTATTTTGATCAATAATTAACTGAGCTTGTTATTTTGTATTCTTTACTTTTATGATCTTCAAACACTCGATTCGAATTTTTATCACGTGCTATCGAATTATGGAGTTTCTTCCTGATATAGTGAAAGCCAATTTGACGTTGAATTTAAGGAATTCAGATGACTGGCTATTTACCTTCGGCAAGCAATCTTATTTTCTATTTCCTGGCATAAATATGAAATCTTGAATGAAATTGCAGCAATTGATGAATGTGCCATTTCTGTATCTTTCGTTAAAATGATAATCACAAATATTGGATTTCGCAAGGTGCCCCAATCGCAAAAATTATGACTCGAAGCCTGTTATTATTTTTCAATAAATGACAGAATTGTTCTGTCAAGTGCTGAAAGCCTGAAACTTGGTTCATATGCCTGTTGGGTGTGGTGTGAAACTAATAGTCAAGGCAGGAAAAAGGCCTGAGAGAGTTGCTTAGCTGTATGTCTAAAATCTATTACCCGTTAAGTCTTTGTTGCACCTATATGCTAAGCAGTCTTGGTAGCTTTTGCCATTTCTATAATCAGCCTTTTGCTCAGAATTGAATATATGTGCGCGTGACCTTGCTTTGTTAGAATTGGAAGAAGTGCGTGAGAAGATTGATTGGCTCCTTGCTGTGGCAACACTCAATGGCTGCTTTAGCGCCAGTCAAGCTTTCCCATAAACTTTTCTTTCATATGCAATTGTCATAAAAAATATCCCAATAGGGATTTTTGCAGCTTAACCCTGATGCCAGGTTTCAGTATTTACAGGATTCTTACGAAGGTAATAAACGAGAATATCGGTCGGAGACCTAAGACTTATCGATTCATGACTCTATAGTGACCACGTGTCCCATCACTGATTAATTAATAACTCGCTAATTATATGACATAATTCATCCAAAATATGATGAATGCACATGCAAAATTTGGAGCAGATTCAACCTGCTTTCGTGAGATATTGTGTGCATCTAACAGACAAATACCTTATCAAGATCGATCAAAATTCATTGTCAGAAGCTGAAGGATTGTAGATCATTAGCCTCGACCCCATTGGTTTCGGGTTAAGATTATTCTATTTTCTGACAGGTGGTTCTTGTGGATTTGAACAATAGTAAATGTGGTTCGATATGAAGCCATCCTTAAACAATCAGCTTGTTGCCTTGAAACCCTGAACAATTCACAACAATGTATTTATGCGAATGTAATATATTTATGATAATACGAAGAAAGACTAGACTATAACGAGTAAATGATAATTGTTCTATAAACAGTGCTCATAGCGACAAAAAGTCATTGCAACTAATGAAGAAAATCAAACAATTTAAAGCTGAATATATCAAGTGGATTTATGTTTCATCAAATATAGTTCTTTTGTTGAAACACAATAGTGAATAATAAGAGCCATGCCAACAAAGGAGTAATTTGGAATGCTGCCTTTGTTATATTTGATATCGAAATATGTGACTGGGAACTGTCACATTTGCTACTGAATCACATCTTAAACTAAGGGTGGGGACATGAATTTTATGACCATCGCTAAATCACAAACATCAATGATTTATAGCAGTAATATTTAACTACAACCAGTAAGTTGGTAAATAAATGTAAATGTTATTTTACATTTTAGCAAACTGGGTATTGTTAATATTAGATTTTGACTAATGTTAATGGCTTGGTTTGCCTACATCTTTAATGACAAAACATTATGTATTGACAAGTCATGACATATTTATTCATCATAAGCCTATCAAATATGGTTATGTGACTGAGCGGTTACAAAGTTGAAAATCATATTATACAGAACAGCTATGTATCATAACTTTGCTACAGACAAAGTTCAAATAAAAGAAACACTACAAGCAATAAAATCTCTAATGCGTCTAAAATATATTAATAAGATTAAAAGCTGAGTGACAATATATAAAAAGAGCCGTTTGAAATATAGGCAAAGTATTTAATTGATGAATCTTATATTTGTGCTGGGTATATTGTATTAGGCAGTATATGACATTTTTTGAAATATTAAAAACAAGTTCAGACACTTGCAACAACAAAAAAAATCAAAACAATAATTTGAGTACGTCTTGTGATATTAATAACAAGCTAATGCAACATAATTAAGTATTTAAAATTGCAAAAGAAAGAAAATGACCACAGCTTGAGCAAATATTAAATAATCAGCAAATGTAAATAACCAGCAAATATAAACAAGTTCAATCTGAGAAATTTTTTTTAATTGGTAGTTTTATACATTATGTCTGAGTTACATTCAGATTGCAAAACTGTGTAGATTTAAGGGTTAAAAAAACATATTTTGAACTTATTGTTAGATTACCCATAAATTTACATTTAAAACTAGCACAGCGTATAATAATCTCATTGCCGTATATGTAAAAGTGTACATTTGAAGAAAACGCTAAAAATCCTCATAAAACAATAAAAAAAACTTCAGACACAAATAAACAAATTATTCGGAACGGCAAGGATTGGTTACAAGGTGAGGAAATATTTCTTTGTAAACATTTCGATAAAATATATATCGTTAGCATTAGAGATTACAGTTTTACTTCACCTTCTATTCTGCAGGTCAACCACAAGGTTTTTTAAACAGTTTACGATTACGAAACACATTTCTCTAACTAGTATCAACATTTTCAAACATGATTCTAATGCATTTATTGATTATATTAAAAGCACCTGATAGTATATATATATATATACTGGATCAATAAACCCTTGATATCCAGAAGTGATCTGTGATATATTGTGTATGCTCAGGAATGAAAATCAATTATTGTGCAAGAGTGACAGACACAAATCAAAAATATTCTGAGAATAAATTTGTATATATTATAAGACATCATTTTCTGAGATATAATCACCTTTTTTGTTAATTAAGGAAGCACCCAGGGCTATGAATATAAATTCTTGTGGTGGGTGCTTCTGGTTACAGATGGTGGATAGATTAATCAACCTATAAATATACTATTTAGTGAATAAAATAGAAGTATGGGCCAAATGAATTTTGCAACAGCTATTTGGCTATGGGATTGTTTTTGCATGAAAATTGCCATTTCCATTTATAGCCAGGTCAAGTACAACTTCTGTCATATATAACAGGTGATAAACCAGGACAAACATTGAATTTAACTAAGGGGAAACTTCAGTCTCACCAATCTTGTTAGAAACACCTTGACTGGATATACTACTCTGTGCATTTTCTGAAGAATTCTTTTTTACCTCTACTCGTCTCGTGGATGAGTAACGTTTTGCATCGTGAGCATTAACGGCATCAGGGATACTCAAACCAGAGAGAGAAACAATGTTTGACAGCTCTTTCAAAGAACTGACCAATTTCAACTTGCGACTAAATTTTGTGCTAATGAAAGGTCTAAAAAATGTAATAAGAGCACGCATATACCATGAAGGATGAACTAAAAGCAATTGTTTTAAACTTTTACGCAATCGCCGATGGATCATTTTGTAGCAACGTTTAAGCCAAGCAAACCTCGGTACATTTCTTCGTTTACAACCGCTATTAAAGAAAACGATCATGTATTCCTCCGCTACAAGCAAGTCAAGGGTACTCACTACATATAAAAATAAATTGTCCATGATATAGTCATAGTCAGTTTGATTGCAATCTGGTAAATAACAAGCTGAAAATACCACAATAGCATTGAGGCCTTCACCATAATACCCTCCGTGAGACAACACTTGTTTATAAGGAATGATAGCAGTAAGATCCATTTTAAATTCTTCGTCGCCTATAATCACAGTGCGATATACTTCAGCATCAACAGCTCCCATTTGTTCTGATACAGCTAATTTATTAGAAATAGAATTGTCTGAAAATATAGGTGTGTCATTATCCCATTCTAAGTCAACTCCAACAAGTCGTCTTGGGGAATCAGAGGGTGAAGACTCCATATCATCGGGCGTTGTAAGTTCATCAGGAGTTGGTAATCCATCGATGGACAACTCTTCAGAATCAAAAGTCTGAGATAAATCCTGATCAGGAGATAATTGAACACTGATTTTCTTTTTCGTCAATGATTTATCACCAAATTGTAGTGAATCAGGTTTAGCGGGAATACCAAATTTAAGACCATCATTTTTCATATTAGCTCCGCCACTTGAACATAATAAATCATCGTCTTGCCATTCGTCATTCAACTCTATCGCATTATTAAAATCTTCTTCTGTATATGGAGAATTGAAATTTCTTACATTTTCCTCTCTCTCATCATCTGCAACCTCTTCTTGCATCGTTGAATCAACTCCTTCGGCCATTTTTCAAGTTATCCAAAAACGATAGAGATTCTAATCAGTGAATAGTCCCAGTCTTCATTACAGCATTATGGTTATAACTGCTGAACTGCAAAATACAAAAATACCGTAATGATATTGCTATGGAGACGAATGGTACCGGTACCGCAGCCAGGAAGTGCATGACCAGCTGAGAGAGAGAGATTTATTTCCACAAACAATGAACTGACCAAACGGTCAAACCCATACGGTACCGGTATCCAGGTCTGCAGGTATTCAGTTTTGACCTAAGACCGTGCAAATACAGTTAGTCTATATTTGGAATCACCATGTTCAGATGTTACAGTGAACACTGAACAACACAGTTATATGTGTTTAACCGGGTGACTGCAAGGTTAGTGTGGCTTACTACAGTCTACTACAGTACGGTACTAACTCGTCTGATTGCTGACAGTGCTGAGCTGACGAAAATCAGCTGACATTTATTTAATTCGACACAGGTTTGCCAGATAGCCTATGCAGGTTATAAAACAGGAATTTAATCGCCCTGTCGCTCTAGTGAAAAATTTCACGATCTATTTTGTTTTCAATACCCATAATAAAAAATGTCACGCATATATGCAGGCTATATTCAATTTTTTACCATAATCAAAGACAATCTAAGAAAGTGATCGCCTACAGATTAAATGCTTCAGTGGAGAGTGGATTTCAGTTAGATTTTGAAGTTTTTATACGATAGTTTTTTTTATTCATTACTTATCGATCTCGATCGGTAAGTATGTTGATAGGTAGAATCTGCTCCAAATTTTGTATGCGCATTCATCATATCTCGGACCAGAAGCCTATTGATTTTGGATAAATTATGTTGTATAACTAGCGAGTTATTAATTAATTGAAGATGCGGAAGATCGATGAGTCGGCGGTCTCTGATCGCTATCTCGTTTTTCAATTAGACACTTTCGTATGTTACGCGATATCTCACGAAAACGAGGTTGAATCTGCTCCAAATTTTGCATATGCACCCATCATATCTCGGACCAGAAGCCTATTGATTTTGGATGAATTATGTCGTATAATCATTTAATAATTAATTAGTGATAAGACACGCGGTGTCGCTATTGAGTCAGAGCAAAAAAAATCGAGACCTAAGATTCTGTTTTGGGGGATCCCTCATGCAGAAGATCGATAATTCGGCGGTCGCCGATCGCTATCTAGTTTTTAGAATTACCAGATATTTTCACCGTGTTCCCCCGAAAATAAGACTGGGTCTTAGTTCAATTGTCCTCTAAAAATAACACTAGGTTTTTTTTTTTTTTTTTTTTTTTTGGGGGGGGTGTCTTATATTTTTAATTTATCAAAAACAAAATTACAACGTGGAGAATGACGAGATTTTCAAATATACAAAATATGAAAACCTTTACCATTCACTCAAAACTATGGGTCGCAAAAGGAATCTTAGTGGGTCGTGAAAAGATGTAGAGGGCTTTGGTTAATTATACTGATTATTAGGATCGGTGGCGACTCGAATACGTAAATCTTCAAAAAAAAAAAAAAAGATTAAATTGAATCCAAATTCTAATCTGTGAAAGTTTTCTTTTAACGATCTTCTCAAGGCAACAAAAATTTGCTACTTGCTACACAAAGCTTTTTTACGCATAGCAGTTTTGTACACTGTACAGCACTTCTTACCGTGTTTCCCCGAAATTTAGACAGGATTTAGATTTATTTTCTTTTGAAGAATAACACTATGATTGGTCAATTTATCAAAAATAAAATTACATTGTAGAAAATCACTAAACATTATATAAAAACATACATCCATTGCTTTTATTTTTTTTCATATACAAAAATCAAGTGACAAATATCATAATTGTGATATCACACAATCTTGAATAGTGGTGTGAACTTCAGCTTACCTCAGGCCAATGAACCCTCTCCTCTCCCACACATTTTAAATTTATTTTAAGGGTAGGGTTTAATTAAAATCATTTTGAAAATTCAAAATATTATATTATTTTCAGGCCAGGTCTTCATTTCTAGAAAAAACCTTTTGCGATGATTAGCCATTGCTGTGTTGTGTCATAAAAATAACAAAAAAGAAAATTAAAGTTAAGTAAGTTGCCATAAGCTGTGGTAATAAATAGTCGGTCCCAAGTCCCAACTCTAAAAAGTTTGGGGGACCACTGCTTTAGACGATACTAGGATACTATAGAGACCCTTATGCCTGGAATCGTTTTGCCACTTAATTCATACCACTTGCGCTGTTTAGGTAATAAAAATCAATAGATCGAAAAAAATTGAACATCATTCATCATTATCCTGGTCTTGCTAATTAGGCATGTATGTATTTGTTAATTTGCTGGATTTATGAAAATAGGATTCGTGTAAGGCCTAATGGCGTGTCCCATGAACGCAATCCCATATTTGTTGCCTCGACAGTTCAGGAGAAACGAACGGTGAATTGAGTTTCTGCGTCTTTGAGTAACAGATGGTATGTACCTCATTATGCATAATTTGCACCTTTGCATGGTAAATAAAGATCTTTTGAAACGGCTCAGTGAAGCATTTGCGAGGTGGAATCTACTATGGAAGTGTCAGCTTACGATTTGTATTTGTTGATGAGCATTGTTGTTCCATCAATAGCGTGGAACGCCTTGTCGCTGAAAGTTCAGATACACAAATTGAAAAAACTTGCAAATTGGTTCATGTGCTTCATTATTATCACCGATTTTTTTGTTATATTTGTGAGCCTGTTTCACGTCGCATATTCTTTGACTTGTCGTAAAACCGGCTCATGCTTGAAAATACCAAAGCAAGCGACGAAAAATTCGAATCACACGCCATGGCAAGAGGATACCGTAAATATTGATGATTTCCAAGCCTGTGGCATGAGAGTTATAATAAAATTTGTTTATGACTTCACGAGTACAATCATGCCATCCATTGGAGCCAGTCAACTTTGGACATTGATCTACCTAATAGCAAAACCGAGGACTTCAAGCAATTCGAAGTGTCGTTTCGCTGGACAAAAGCGAAGTCTTTTTCTTGTGGTTCCTCTTTTAGCAAATACAGTTGAATACGTTGCAACAATTTATTTGAGCCGATCGAATTATATCACCCTGGATACGATGTGGTTGATACAATTTTCTTTACGTGTTTCATTAGGATTCATGTTCTCACTTCTTCCAGCTATGTTTCTCATAGGAATTGTATGCATGAGGTAATATTTGCATCATAATCCAAATCAAATAGGAAAAAAGAAATTTAATCTAATCTGAGAAAGTAACAAAATGGCATAATTTAGAAAAATTTGAGCTCAAAACAAGTTACACATGCAATTAAATACATTATTATTGGCGGGAGTTTGAATTTTTTGACACCTAAAATAAGCACCTTATTTTGTTTGCCAGCCTGGAATAGTTATACGGATGCCTATTTCAAAATCTAGAGGTTTATAAATCGAGGGGTGTGGAATCGACACCAATTTACCTTGCTTGTATTTCACGTTAACAATTACTAAAATTCCACATATTGACAGGTTTTACCTATCCAACTTTTTATTTTTAAGGTGGATACATTCTCCCGTTGTCCCTAAAACTCTCACCACAACGAAAAATAAAAGAAGTGTTTCGATGCGTCAATATAGCTCACCGGTACCACTTTCTATGAAAAAGCGACTCAGAATCAAATTCTACAGAAAGACTTCTGTTATTTGGTCGGAAAATACCTTTTCAATTCTTTACACAATAGCAGGTGAATTAAATAAACTCTTAACATTTGTATGCTCAATAATTTGAATGTTTCCATGGATTGACAAAATCAGTTAACGAGGAGATGCATTCTGTTTCCAGTTAACTTTTATTGCATGGATTCGAGGAGTATGATTATTTCTTGTTTATATATCAAATTCACATTAATAACTTTATGAAAACGTTGTAAAATACTATTTTACATGAAATTCATCCTCATTTTTGATCCGAGATATAATATGCTGAAATTTAAAAAAACTTGAAGGTTTTATCGAATGCCCATCTTACTAATTTCTTGTATCTCAGGAGAGATCATCAATTCGGCTAAAAGCGTCTTTATTTGGACTCGAATCTAGATCCACAAATGGTTTGTCTGTGGTATAGGTTCCAGTTATAATCCGCCCACGGCTGGCTAAATATGTCAAATGGCGTTGATTCATTGATATATCTAGAATATTCTACCAAAACTGACCTTCCAAACATCTCATCCCTGATGTATCTTTGAATTCATTTCTTTTCTGAATTGCCAAAATAATTCTAATTATATTATTAGTTCGATCGTTTTCAACAATTAAAAAATATATATCGTAAGTTTAAGTATAATCTAGGTATCGCAGTCTGGACTTCTGTTCATCGCTGCCTTTTAAAAGTCGTTTCATATTTTTAGCATTGTCGATTATATTCTGGGTGCCCGTTCATATACACTCCGTTATCGACATGGGAGTAAATATACCTTTTAACGTCATTGTGAGTATCAACCTATGCACTTTGCTGCGCCCGATGACAATTTATTGCATGAGCAACAAATGGAGAAAAGACCTGAAAAAAGCAGCAATGCCTGTCATAAAATTTCGAAACATTGTACATCGACGAGTCAGGTATAAAAAATAATTAATACGCTATAAATATATGAACTTTTTTGTACAATTTTATTATGACTGGAATTTTCATGGAAATTAATATATATGTACTACTGCTCAATTCAGAGATTGTGCATTTCGAATAATTCATCAATTCGTGTGTTTATGAAATTAGGAAAAAATACATTAGAGTCAAAAAATTTCAAACAGCAATGTTATATTTTATATTTTAGCAAAGAAACACAAAGACCTTCACCCTATCACGTGACACCACTACCCATCATCCCAATAAAATTGGTGCCAAGAGAACCCTTGGTAGATCAAGGTGAGTAAGATTAAAAAATTCTTTTAAAAAAATTTAATTTGACCCAAAAGTCGCGCGTCCTTGCCTCAGGTGGTGGTAAGATATAATGCATGAAACGCTTTCAATCTTCTCTATTGAGGCGGAATTAAAATACTTTAGGGCATAAAGTTTATGCAACTAAACTCTCTCAGATTATTTTATAACTTACGTTATTAGGACAATAATTGAATATCGCCTTTTCTTTAAGACTGTACGGTTTTTGAACGACGCCGATCGTGTTTTGGGAGCATTGTTTCTACAGAAAAATCATTTCTTGTCCGACCAAACAACAGAATTGCTCCATGTATTGAAGAGTGATGTTACTACAAACTTGCAATATCTTGTCTTATTTTACTATACTGCACATTGTATGTATAATTCGTCTTTAAGTATGTATTGTTGTGATTCGCACTTGAAGCACACGGTAATGCACCACACTGTGGGATCTTATAGCATTTGACCATATTGAACTATCCATGGTGAGTTTATACAGCAAAATCATGGTGTACTGCTTTTCATTGCTTATTCATTCAATCGTATTAATATTATTATCAATATTAGTATTTATTCTACATCTATTCTCTCACAGATTTGCATGTACTTTTAGTCAAGCATCGTGGGTTGATGGTGTTGACTAAGTTTATAACAGAAAATATGTTTAAAAATGCAACCAATTTATCATAATATTTTAGAGTGATTTACTTTAGTAAACGTAAAAGAGTTACATGGAGTCATTAACCAAAACTAGCCAGTCGTTTTTGCTTGTTTGTACACTCTTCACACTTATAAATTATTTTAGCAAACGTATTTTTCACTTCCGTCACCCTCGTGAAACAATTCAACGTCATTTTTTATTCTTTTTCGTGTTTTAGCTTCGGTGCTATTTGTACATTGTTCTAACAGATTGACGTCAAAGAATAAACAACATTTGCTTTTAGGTCTTTGTCGAATCCGTGATCCACTCTAAACTGCTATTATTCAAGTGTATCCAATTTGGATACTAATTTTATACTTTTTATCTATTATAATTTCTCTTTATATATATGTATATATGAATATTCATTCCTATCTTAATTTGTGCATAAATTAATATACACAACCGTGGTTGACAGAAATGGTAGTGACTCAGAAATTTGTACACAAAATTCGTTTTAAAACTGTTTTGTTTGAATAGCTGTTTTTTTGTTTAGCAAAACCGCCTTGTGTCGCACGCCATCGTAACTCACACACCATCCCCACCTTATTTGCATATATATATATTTAAGAATATGATTTTTCGAAAAACACTATATTTTCTTTCTGATATTTGTGAAAAGAAGTAACTTAAAATAATTCATCGAAACCAAATAAGCCAAACTGAGTGGATTAGCTTTCTTCGATTGTTTTGCTTGTTTCGATAAATTACCTATGAATTGTATCTGAAAAGAAATATAAACACTCCGAATATTTTTTTTTATTATGCTCACTCTTTTTTGCAAATGCGTTTTTGCATATCGCGGTGAAAAATGCACACCTATGTTATTTTGAAGTTTATTTGAGTTTGCTATAACCAAGCGAAACAAATATCCGAATTATAGAATTTAGAATATTTTGGTTAAATCAAGAATGAAATATTTACGAAATTACACAATCCTTTTACGATTTCAAATATTTAGATTGAAAAATGTCCTCAGATTCACGATACTTTTGTTGTTTTCAAACTCTCTCTAAGTAACGGGTTCCATGAAATTTTGCTCTTTTGCCTAAATTTGCTGACCACGTTTTGGTATGCATGGGAACGCTTTATTCTCTCAAGCTTCTCTGCCGATCTTCATGACAATTGTGTTTCATAATATTGTGATGTGTTGTATTTTTTAATAATTGTTATGACCTATTTCACTCGCATGCAAAGCTCAATTCTCAACGTAAACACACAAATGACATAGAAACTGAACGAAATATCCTGTAAGGTTAGTGATCAGATGTCTATTGAGTGTATTGCGAATATATAAGATTTTTATAAATGGAATGCAATTGACTTAGATATGATATTTGAAAGTAATCTCATTCTTAAAAGCATTATATACTTTTTAACAATAATGTAATATCGCCTTAGTTCAACTAGCACGCTAAAATATCAAATAAAATGTATGTGACTCAGTTTTTTAATAATATTGAATTACACATATACATAATTATTGCCATTATCGGTGTGTTTTCCTATTCTGATAATCATTTCAATAAAACATATACACATCTTTCACCTATTTATTCAACTTATTTGTACATTTATGATTGTTGTTTCTGATGCTTTTGTAAGCTGTTTATTACAATCGTCTGAGTATATAAATGAATATAACAAATTCTACACACGACAGCAAGGATATAGTTGCGATAAACTTTGTCATATTTTAATATTGAGGCATATGTACTGTATAAAATACAGTTTGACAAAGACACCTGTGTAAAAAGATTTAGTATAGTAATGCTACTCCCAACGACTAACATAGCGCCTAGTCCATATCAAATGTTCAATCGTGGTAATCATCTTAGTGTTACGAAAAATTTCCTTCTCTTGTATCGTCAATTACTTTGCGTTGGGTGTCAAGTTCATACCTCAGGTCGGATTATTATATGTGAAATTGCTGCTGAACTAATTATCATCCTCTTATTTTTCCTGTTCCTCTTCTTTCTGATTTTGGAAAAATGTATGAAAATCCTGTCGAAGTTCGCTAACCCATTCATGGCCATGCCGCGGTTGAATCTGGGACCGAGTCGCATAAAACAACCCCCTGGTATGAGGGTTATAGTCAGCAGCATTATAACCCCGTTGAATTTTCTCCTCGTTCACACCAAATAGGTCCAAGCATTTTGATTGGCATTTAAGCTCATCTGTTGAATCAACGTATTTTTTGACTTCTTCGTTTTCAGGGCCCCATTTTTTTCTCAGTTCATTTAATTCTGCTTTCTGTGTTTTCAATGCCCGTTTGATCGCGGAAATCCATTTTTCCATAGTATTTAAGCTAGGATCAAATTGTTTTATACCTTGACAATGGCAAACCAAGGTATAGTGGCGCTGAAATACTTTTCCAGCAGCTCTCTTTGCCCTACGTGGAACTTTATTTTCTGGTCGAAAAAAGCCATAAATCATATACGCGGAAATTTCCACACTTGCCATTTCTAATGCTTTCTCGTATAAGAAGTCTTCTCCTTTCATCTGAGTTCGAGTATGCTCCAGATTCTTTTCCAGTAGGTCAATGTTTTCTGAACGCAAAATATTGCATAGAACATCTTCAACGTGATCTCTACAGTTGCAGCCTGATAAGTCATAACATTTGACTTTTCCTTCATCATCATGATTAGGATATTTATTGAATAAAAATGTTGTTAATTTATTAAATAAATCAATAACGCCGTCTTTAGCTACGGACTGCAAGCATTCTTTGCTAATGAACTTCATTTTAGATGCATCCTCAAAAACAAGTTGACCTTCGACTTCCGTGAATACGATCTTTGCCATCTTCACTCCATTCTTTGGCGTCCAATTGTATGTATATTTTGGTATATCGTCTAAATATAGCATAATCGCGGTGTGTCGCACTTCATTTTCTATCACGCACCATCCCCAGCCCAATTTTTCGCATTCGTGAATCTTAGAAAGTACGACCTCTTCGGGAACGCAAAATTTTGCTTGGTATGTCCATAGTTCCGCCATTGTACATCAAAAGCTAAGCAACCGATGGATAACAGGTGCATCACGTTATCATTGATTATATATATTTGTTATGAACGTGGGAGGTAAAGAGAACGACAAAAGCAGTTTTCTTGCCATATCGATTTTATTTGGAATCGGTCCACCTTTGCCAATGCCAAATATTAGTATGTATCATTTATGTCGCAACCTTCATCAATCGATAGCATACTGACTGATGATACTGACTGATATTTGTGGTAGAGGAAGTGAGTAATTCATCGGAATGAAATATGCATATGTGAGTGGGTTAGCTTCCTCCGATTGTTTTGCGTGATTATAATAAAGAGCTTATGAATTGAGTCCAAAACAAAAACGTGAAGAAGAGTCTTTTAAATCTCCAATTATTTTTGATTTTTTTATCGTGTTGTCTCTTTTTACAAATGCAGTTGTTGTGCATATCGCGGTACAAAATACACGCCTATGTTATTATGAGTTTTCTATGACCAAGAGGAACAATTATCGTTTCTATAGAGTTTTTAAGAAGCTAGCCTAAAGAATGGGAAACATAACAACTTCTACTACATCTTTTACAATTGAAAAAAAGAAGTTGCCGGATGTTCATTAATTTAATTTTTTTCAAATTCTCCCCGAGTCCGAGTAAAATTTGGATGTTTTTAGTCAATTTGCTAAACCACTTTTTTCTGCCTAGCCTGTCCGCCGATCATGTCGGTGTATTCAGTTAAGGATTGCTGTCTTATTTACAAACAGTTGCGACTCTTTCATTTAGATAAAAATTCAAAACCAGGACAAATCAAAACGATGTGTTTCATGATTATATATATACATACTCATTCATTATTTTAATTTGTGTATACAAAACAACAACATACAACAGACGATGACAGCAATGGTAGTGACCTAGAGATTTTTTGAACAGTTTTGTTTACTTAAAATGATTGTTTTATTTGTTTATTAGCACAATTGCCATATGTCGCACGTTATTGTGTTTAACACGCCATCCCCGACACATTGATTTGCGTTTGCATATATTCGAGAATATGATTTCTTGAGAAACAATATATCGTCACGCTAATAACCGAATTGCGTAAGTCATTTTTAGCAGTTTTAAGAAAAACGTAAAAAACTTCCTAATGATATTGTTATGCCATTGAGAGTCAACAATTTGCCATGGTTCAATTATTTGATCGTAGCCGGATTTAAGTTAATTTGTATGACGCAGTTAAGTGACGTCATAATGGCACACTGTGACTTAGGCAGAAATGTGTCTATGACTTGGGGACATACGCAATTTTGCAACTTTACTATATGCACCAGTCCTGAAAACTAAACATTCAAAAAACGAATGTAATATTCAGTATCTACAATGTCTAATCCCCAAAATAGCTAATCAGTTTCAATTACATTATTTTCATGTTTAAAAATATATATTTCATCACTATAACACATTCTGTACACCCACCGAAATAAGACTAAGATTAAATATAAAGAATAAAACAGCAATGCACCCAATATAAAAGCCAACCAAGGTGTATTGGACTCGGACAGTGAATATCACAAGTGCACGCCTCCTTATACTGTGGTATAAATTCAAATTAATACGCGCTAAGCTAGAATCCGAGATGCAAAAACTCGAAAATACTTCGCAAAGGTTATTTTGCCTTTGTGACGTCACAATAGTCCTGCGGGAACAATGATAATTCATTATGACGAAACAATTGCACAAATGTGCATGTCATACTAAATCTTCATTTTTATGGGTTTCGGAATTCTTAAAATAAAATCTGAGTTAACAGACAGGTGCGCAGCATCACATAAATACCTATTTTATAAAAAACTCAAAATTGCCAAAAATGACTTACGCAACTCGGTTATTAGCGTGACGATATATTCTTTCTGTTATTTAGTAAAAGAAGTGACTTAGAATGATTCTTCGAAACCAAGTAGGCAAATGTGAGTGGGTTAGCTTCCTTCTATTGTGTTGCTTGTTTCAATAAATTACCTATGAAATGTGTCCAAAACAAAAATATAGAGACTCCCAATACTATTTTTTTTACTGTATTTACTTTTTCTACTAAATTGGTTTTTGTGCTTTTGGCGGTGCAAAATACACATCTGAAGTTTTTAAAGCTCATTTGAGTTTACTATGACTAAGCGAAACAAATACTCCTTTTTATAGAATCTTAAACAAATTTAATAATTTCCAATGAATCTTTTACGATTTAAAAATTTTAGAATATTAAAATTCAATAATTTTGACAGACCTCTAATAATTAAATTTTTTTCAAATTTCCTCTGAACCCTGAAAATATTGCTGTTTTATTCAATTCGATGACCATTTTTTGTGATCTATGGGATCAAAGGATTTCGTCGCGCTTGTCCG